AGGGGGTGTGGGGGAAAGGAGTGGCAAGGATGCGAGAGGGTCTTCTGGAAAACAACAGATAATGCACACGTGTGCTGGCATGGTCGTTGCCACAGGCTTCACCTTATTTGCGACCTTCTTATAGGTGAAGGTGCAATGGACTGGGTCAATGTCGAAGTGGGATTGGAGGAGGAACTCGGTGAAGGATGAGAAGACAAGACGGGAAGTAGGGATAGGCATATTTAAACGAGTGGTAGATAGGGAATATGAGGAGGTGGTTGAAGAGGTGATGGGGGAAATAGCATGATATCTATTGGTAGGGCTGGTTGGTAGGATGGGATGATGGATATGCGTCGAATTTGTCGGCAGGATAGCCAGGACTCGTTCCGGGTTTGGCAGTGAATTGAGGCCTCCAAGTTTGGCGTTGATCTTCATGCCTAGATTCACACAATATTGGTCATTAGCTCTCTCGATTTTGTTCTCTTGGCCACGCTGTGTTGGGAAACCAGCGATAACGTCACCAGGTTTGGCGTTGATCTTCATGCCTAGGTTCATACAGTATTGGTCATTAGCTCTCTTGATCTTGTTCTCTCGGCCACGCTGTGTTGGAAAACTGGTGATAACGTCACCAAACAATTTGATAGTGTGGTAGATGTCTGTTGAGCTTGTCGGCGAGGATGATGGAAAGGGGGTAATATGAGAGAATATTGATGTGGTTAGTGCCAGGGATGGATGAGCCCAAGGGTGAGGTGTCGTTGCAACGATTCGGACCTTGCTGGAATCTGTGCGGTCATGTACTGTGATGTGTACTCCATTGACATCTTCAGTTTTTGACAACTGTACCAGCCGCTGCCAAGGCCATCCTAGAAGTAAGCGATAGGGTGTGTCGGGAACCACATACACATGAGCCCAAGTCTTAATTCCCTCGACATCAATTTCTAACATCTCCAGACATCCTGCTAATTCCTGTGATCCTCCATTGGCAGTTTGCATGCGCATGCGTACATCTGGATTGATTGGGGTGTTGGTCTTCTTCCATACGTCCTCCCGAATAACGACAATTTCTGATCCCTCATCCAACAATCCTAGTTCTGAGTGCGTCCCGTTTAACGTTATTTGTATTTCTTGCAGAGGTGTGGCATGCTCAACCAATATTGGAGAGGGTGCAACTAACATGTTGGTGGATAGTATAGAGGCTGGTGTGGGAACTTGATGTGTATGTGAGTATTCGACGGCTTCTTTCCTTAAGTCCGGACTAATAGACAATAGGTCTGATATTTTCAGTTGCAGGATGGGCATACTTAGGATGGTGTCGTAGATGCGTCGAGCTGCGTCAGGTGAGGCTGCCTTGGATTCATACTTGTACGCTGGCCCTTTCTTCGTGTCCGTATCATTCGTTTTTGTGGGATCTGGAGAGGCGGGTTCTGAGAGAGGTGAAGGAAGGGTAGTTCTCGGAACAGAAGTGCTGTCCACAACAGATGCAGCTCTGGACTTGGACCTGGTTATGGCCAGTACGTTTGCCTCTTCATTCTCTTCTTCTTCAACCGTTACTATGACTGCGTGATTACCAGCAACCAGTTTGCACTGGATAAAGTATGAGTCGGATATGAAGGCGGAGGAGGGGATTTCCGTGGAAGCTGGTGGAGTGGGCTCGACTCGAGTTGTTTTGATGGGAATGGAGTTAGCTCCTGTAGCAGGTGTCATGTTTGGTGTCGCCGAATACCTTGAATCGATAGCTTGCTTGAACATTTTGTTTCTGAATCGTCGTAAACGGGACCTATCCGGAAAGGCAAAGTACTGGCTGTCTCTAATAATCTGTCCTGCCCGTAAATATCCTCCTGCTACCGAACACATTCGCATGATATGAGCTCCTCCGCAGAAGAAGCAAGTGGCATTGGATGGGTAGGTAGGAGATGATGAAAATGATGGAAGGGGGAGGTATGATAGTGGTGTTTGAGTTAATACGGCATTGACAAGTTGCCGTAACTTAGGGGACACCCATCCATGAATAGCTGCAGGTGCCAAGCATGTGAGACATATATAGCACCCTGAGTATGCTGCATCGCCTATATCTAGTCCATGCATTTTACAAGCCAGGGCTTCGACCTTGTCGAAGTTGTCTTTGGGAGGGATGGGTGGTGTGAATGCGACACGCCTTGTGTGGACTTCCTTTCTAACATCTTTTCTCTCCTCTTCCTCATCTGAATCCCAGGTTTGTCGCAATGGTCGAGCCTTCTGTGTGCACCCGTCTCTCATTAGCTTGATGCGAGAGGTGATGGGTTCGTTCAAATCTGCATCAAACGTGTCATCAGAGAGCACAGACCGTCCTGCTTCGACAACCTTCTCGAAGTTAGTGGCTTCATTGCGAGTATAGTTTGCCTCGGTGTGCTGCAGTCATTGCACTATTGCGATTCGAGCTGAATGGGGAAGGCCTTGCCAAAAGTAACGATCTCGCTCGCATTCCGAGATTTTGGAATTAGCTACCAGCCACACTGCTATAGGACGGAATTGACAATAGTACTGTACTAGTTCCGTTTCGGTAGAAACATCTGATTCCGCTGTATTGAGGATGACTTGTTCGAGATCTCTAATGGTGTATCTTGCACCTTTGGCTGCTCCTGGATACTGTCCGATAATGTTTGCTTTGAAGATGCTGAAATCCCTACTCTCGTACCCCATGAGCATGACCCAGAACCTCTTGGTCTCGAGGTTGACATATCGAACTATCATTTTGCATTTGTCGGTATCGGTGAGTCTGCAGGACGAGGCTAAGTCTTCAAACAGTTCTAAAAATTCTAGTAGGTCGGACATTTCCCCACTAAAAGACGGGGCTTTGCTAGAGCCGGGTCTGGGCATTGCAGATATTCCCTTCATGTTCATCGACATGGTGGACGTGGTTTTCGACGAAAGCGGTTTTTGGATATGATGAGAAGTAGTGGGGTGTTGGACTACCGTGGGTGCTGGTTGAGCTGGTGCAGGTAGCAACTTGTTCTTAGGAACAAACTGAGGTTTCGGAATGGGGGGAATGGCTGTAGGGAGGGCAACCGTCGGGGTATTGTGGGATTGGGGAGGTATGGAAGGGTATTCTGGCATTTCGGGGTCAAAGGTTGCAGGTCTAAGAGTGAATGTGGATTGAGAAGGAAGGGGTGGAAATAGATCATTAAAATATGGTAACTGGCTTATGGTATCGTCTTCGGAGATGGAGGATTCAGATGGAGCATCAGATGTGTCTATGTTCTGGTTTGAGCTGTCGGCTCGGGTAGGGGTTCAATAAGCACCAATCTCATTAGGGGAAGGCTGAGTGGGCATTACTTCAATATAGTAATGCGGTGAAGCGGTGGTGATGGTGTTGGCGCGGGTTCTGGTTTTCTTTGTGGCAGAAGTGTTCTCCAGGAAAGCCAGCGCAGTTGGCTGTTTTGGTTGGAGACGGTTCTGCGCATTGGGATGATAATATTTAGTAATTGTGAAAGGACTTCGGAAGGGAAAAAAGAAAGAGTTCGATAAATCGAACTTGGGGTGCAAGGGGAGCTCGAAAGCAATTCCCTCGCAGTGGGCTACAAATATATAAGGCTGTTGTTGAGTCCGATAAGGGAATTGCGTGGCTCGAGGCGATAGGACTGTTCTTAGGATCTGACGTGAGTTCATAGTGGGGAAATCAACCAACGTTCAAAGTGAGTCTACAAGGCCGTATTTTATCTATGAAAGAGTAAGGGTCCTTAATTATTACAAACATGAAGGTTCAGTGAGACGGAGAATGGTGGTGCTGAGCCTGACAGAGTAGGAATAACGGAAATGAGTGAGAGTATGTTAGTTTTTGAATGAATGTAGTAATAGGGAGCTCGCCGTGCACAGGAATGATGAGAACCATTGGGTATTTGTAGGGATCTGCATGGGTGAACCCGCGAGTGTCGGCAGGTCAACCCCCACCCCCACCCCGAGAAAAACCCACACCCGCAGCAAGGGTACGGGTTGCACAGTGGGTAGTGAAAGAAGGACCCAGGGTACAACCCATCAAGGGTGTACCCGCGGGTAACAAATACTATGGGGAAAAACTACGACATGGTGTAGTAAACTACTCAACAATAATTTGATCCCACCCGTCATCGAGCTCCTGTTCATCGCCTTCGACATCAGGCAAAGAACTGATGCTGACAACGTCATCAGTCTTGACCAGGTTGAGTTTGCTCCAAAAACTGAGGCACAGCAGTGCGCACGTTGATTGTGCAGATAAGCGTGAGTGCACGTGTGAGAGTAAGAGCCGTCCTCGGCTGAATAGTCATTCAACGTCGACTGATGTGGCTGTTGATATTATTAGCTGTAGTATATGCAAGTTCAATTAAAAAAAACTCACCAGGAATAGTAAGGTAGTCCAGCGCCATCCACGATAGATGAGGGTAGGTGGTACAACATTCATGCCACCATGCGAGTGCATCAGGCACATTTTCGATGTTGGAGGTGAGATAGCGCTCGAGCTCATCACAGAGATCAGTTGATTTTGGCAGAGCGAGGGCAGGCATGTCATCAAACATGTTATTCATCTAGAATAGAATCAGTAGTCAGTAGTTACAGTTAGAAAAAAAGACGTACCTTATGCGACGTCTCTGTAGGTAAGTCTCCATGTCCAAGTCGTTGTCTTGAAGGTCGGCATCCAAGGCTGAATAAAGAGTAAATTGGTCACAGACAAGCTTTTCAGCTGTCGTAATCCAATTGTCCTCCCATTGAGCGTTCCTGAAATATATGAGCTTGTGATGCGGGTGTAGTACTATAATATGTGTGAATGTGAGCCATCAGAACAGAGACAAAAAAGAACGAACCCATGGCAATGCGATAGACTTCAGATTGATCTGTAAGTTGATAGTACCGGTTAAGTGTTACCTTTGCCAGCTGAACAGCTGAGCGGATTGAAGGATGATACTGTCTGTTGCGAGAGTATGTAGTGAGCTTTTCATCAATGAGATCCATGGCTGGAATCACGGTGGCTAGATTAGGTGTCGAGCGGGAGAAAAATAGTGTTGTGTCCTTTAGAATCTACATAGACACATAGACCAAACAATTGTTAGTCCATGTGTTGTGCGGATCTTTCTGGTGCTTACCTTGAGAACACTCCTCAGTTGTTCGGCAATTGCCCACTCCTCATCATTCAGCTCAAACTTCCGCAGACCAAGATCTCGATGTTGAGTCACAGTATCAACGGCCTCCCGATGCTCAATCGCATATTCCAACATATCGAATGTGGAGTTCCAGCGGGTTGAAACATCATGTGGCATGAGAGTAACAGGTGCCTGCAAGTCTTCAAGAATCTCACGCCATGCTGGGAGGACTATAGTCGTCGAATGTATAACTTTGTAGGCCAGTTTACGGAGCTAGAAGAGAGATTAGATTTGAAGGTGCGTGTTGGTGTCTTTTTGTTCTTACCTTCACAAGGGCTAACTTCACAGGAAGAATACTCTTTTCCAGCATGAGTCGTTCATCAGGATCAAGCTCTCCGACTTTGTCAACCCAACCGTCATCGTTATCCCTACCATTGTTATCCCCAACACCATATTCAGCTATCATCACTGCTTCCTCTGCATCAATCCCCTTGCTCAATACCTCCAGCTGCTCTGCTCTATCACCACTATTCTCAGGCTCATCCAAGGCTTTGTCGGCCTCTTTCTTCGTTACATCAAACTCGCGAATGAGCGATTTCGCTACGAGGTTTACTGTATGGAGAAAACACTGCATATGGCTTGTGGCCCCCCCAAATGCTGGTACCTCAGCTGCAAGGTTCTCAACCATGACATTATTATTGGAAGTGTTATCGCATGTTACACTCAAAATCTGGGCCGCACAATATCAATTTGTAAGTTGTCTCATCTCTTTTAAAATTTACCTTGTCTGAAATGCCAAATTCCTCAAGCATCTTTGCAAACACACTCGCCAGCTCTTCACCTGTGTGGGACTAACATAGCATTAGCTGCTGCGGCTCTAACAAGGTAAGTTTCTCACCTTAGCTACTTCAATTATATCTAATGGTAGGCTTAGTGGTATGCCCTTGTGCTCGAGGTGCACCGAGAATGCCACGAATGCTCAATGGTTTGGTGAACTCCAAGCATCCGTTGTAAAATTTATCTTTCCGTCATATTCCTGGTGAGGTTTTTCATTTGAATATTTCAAAGTGCGTGATTTGAACTAACTTGTAACATTTTAGCAACTCGTTGACGAGTCCGAGCGAACACAAGTCGAACATCACGCGAAATTGTGGATGGCGAAGGTATGTAATACTCTGGCCTTCCGGTCTTCATCAATGATTGAAATCCCCAATCCTTGACTATCTCGAACAGACGCAGGCTCTCCGAAACCCAATGCACCATCTCTGCCCTGGAAGAAGACAATTTAGGCTTAGGTGCCATCAGCAACAACATCAAGACCTCACCTTGTTTCTCCATGTGTGTGCTGACGGTGCAAGTAAGTCAATTTCCCCTTTCCTTTCCATTCGAAAGATGCCGCGATTGACCCGTTTTTTAGGATACTTCTGACAATTTTTGCTTGCACTTCATCTGCATCTTTGGCATCATCTGCAGCATTGAGTGCATCTTCCCCCCAGCAAGATTTTACATGTTTGCGCATGTTCCCCATCGATCGCACATCCTTTTTGTCCAGGAATCGTCGGATCGTCGCCTTGCATCCTTTCACACAGCACTTGAATTCATGTGCACGTTGACCACCAACTTCAGTGATGCAGGGAGTTGGGTCAAAGAATGCATAAACAGGTGATACCCATTCTTTCATGAGCCTCGCTGTTGCTAATTAGTGGTGCTATGTTTGTATAGCAGGAACATACTTCGCTCGTCCTCGGCACTTTCTGGACCTGAAGCCTCACTACCAGCCTCGTCTCCACTTTTCTCGCTCATGTCATCAATGACAATGGCATTGTTATACAATGCTTCTTCCTCTTCCTCAGTGCGAACAATGACACGGCGAATCTTACGAGGCTCTGCTGCCGTTCTCACATCAGATGGAGGTGGAGAGGCCTCGGCTACCGGTCTATCTTTGGATATATCTGCGGGAGGATTTTGTTTTGCCTTCTTCGACTTGTTGGAGACCGCACTTGCGCCATTTGCATCAATCATGCGCTTCTTTGACGGTCCGGAAGCTTCAAGTCTCTCTTCAAGTGCCGCTTTAGCCTTGTCCATGAGTTTTGTGACTCGTTTTGCAGCTGCAGTAAATATGTTTGGTTGCATGGCTGGATGTGAGGTAGCAGTCTAGGACAGGTATGCTTAGGATGACAGGACCAAAAGATTTTTTCAACAGTTGTGGCTTCTTTAAAGTTTGGTTTGGTTTGACATAGGTACTATATCTTGATTAGGTAGCAATATATTGTGTTTCGATGGTCTAACCCGTGTGCGGGTACGGGTATAGGTACGGGTGCCATAAAAGGCAACCCCCACCCATACCCCAGGTGTACCCCTACCCGTGACCCATACGGGTTACCCATACCCACGCAGTTGCCTAGGTATTTGACTGTTTTTGGGGTGAAGGAATGAAAATAAGAGAGAATGACGAGAGATAGTTTGGTGATAAGTTCAGGGTATAGTTATGAACGAGGGTGAAAGACCAAGCTCGTCGTAGAGCATAACGAGAAAGTGAAGGTAAGGAAAAAGAATGTGTCCGCGTGACTCGGATGTGAAGCGTGATGCTTCTTCGCATCAGTGAGTCACGTGGCTGACAGGACATGTGTCCGTGTGTCTCATTGTGAAGCTATAGTTGGGGCGTAAAGGATATGAATCCTTACAAGGTGGCGATATTTCAAAACTTGCAGTATTAGTACAAGCGCGTCCAGTCCAGTCAATTTACGTGTCGCATTCCTCACGTGCTAGTTACCAGTACATATGTTGTCACGTAAATTACTTAGTAATCAAAACATGGTTCGAAGCTTCACGCCCTCTTGCCACACTAGTGTGCACCACATACAGTTACACACTACCTGAGCAAAGATTAATACTTGGGCTCGAATGACGATAGGGAAAAATAAACTTGCTTTGTACATATAGTCTTCACATTACCTCCATTGCGACAGCAAGTTTGGCAGCCACACGCCGTGGCTGTTTCAACTGTCCCTTTCGATCTGCAGTAAACCGCGTAAGGCATCAAGTTGTTAAGATCTTGGAACGAAATGCATGCATATCCATCTGTGGATAACCGTACTTAGTATGCAGCCTGCACCTAGTAGGCCGCAAAAGTGCCTACGGAAGTTGTCCACACAGCTTCGACCAATGGGTGTTGTATCTGAATTAGATGCGATAGCTAATACGCCAGCCATCGCTGCGGCAGATATGACAATATTAGTGAGTGAAGTGAATTTCATGGTTCATAGTGTTTTCTGGGCTGCATAGGTTGGCTTTTATACGCGATCAGAGTCAGGTAAATGCTTTCATGTGCTCGCATCGCTGGATCTTGGGAATGAAACATCATAGTTTTCTTCAATACTTGTGAAAAGCGCTTGATTCTTTACTCATTCTAAATCAGTTTATCTATTGGGTTCTTGTGTTATTCAGGATGCGGCACCACGGCGGACGTACAGACTATGTGCAAAGCTATTGCTAGGTGTTTCTCAGAACTATTGTTGCTCATCGATTATTCAAATCCAATCATCCTAGTTCCTGCCGGGATTCCGTCGATCTAAGATTTCGATTTCTTTGTTTTTGGTCCCAGTGAATTTTGTTTGACCTGCGTGACTTATGGATAGCTTCTTGCGGTAGGCTAAATGATCCAGATTGCCACACACCAGAGCGACAAAATAATTATGAAAATCATTATTCAATGAGCCTATACTATCATGATCTATGCCGTGACTGGTACGTAGTCAATCCGGAAGATCCACTACATCTGCCACAATGGATGATTGAACAATTCAATTTCTAGAGAATGAAGCAGGGTTGCTAGAAGACAATGACAAAGCTGCGCTAGCTGCAGCTGTCCTTGTTGGCATTGAGCTAGATATATGATATCTTTGCCGTCTGCAGATGGGAGCCTTTCGAGTCCATAGAGGGATACCTCGTGGTAGGTCCCATTTTCCAGCCACAACGATCGAGCATGAATTACGACAATGGGGCTTGACGTCGACTTCCCTCAATCGGTTTGGATACATAGATTATACCCTATATAGATCCGTTTTACGTTATGGATCTTGTAAACCCTTGGGAGACAGTATGAGTCGGTCATACAAATCAAAAGCCTAAGTACATGACAGTGTGCTCGGGCAAGCAGCATTGCGAGGTAAATGCAACGGTACCTTTTGGACGTCGACGAGCACCAATTCACCAACTGGAACGTTCTGAGCACAGCTTGCATGCGTCTCAACGACTGAAGGCTCATCTGCTGTTGCCATTCGGATATAATGATCTTTTTATCAGCGAATGATAGCAAGACCAGAAAAGGACCATCCTGGTCGTTGCGACCAACATTACCTTCACAATATTACGACGCTGCTTGGTTTGGATCGCGTCTTTGTCACTCGCCGCAATGGCTCCATCACGGCTCAAACGCTCCGAAGGATTCAAAATGGATCAGGCATAATTTGATGCGCAAAATGTTTCTAGGGCCTCTTTAAAGGCAGTATCACAATGAGATTATTGACACACTTACTGTTGCCTGCATGCACTTGTAGCATGTCACTTAAGTAATCTTCTCCACCAATCATCTGAACGCAAATAGAATGTGCACGTATGATAGAGAAGTGACGGGCAATAAACACCAAACCGGATATTGATCATAAACTGCTCGTCGAACTAGAGAGACATAAAAAACCCGAAGAACTTACGCAAAATGCAGGAAGACTCGACAGACGACCGTCACATCAGGGAGCTCCTAATCCGACACCACCAGCGAGATAGGGTTCAGGGAATTAGGGATCCCGCTCTGGTTGACCGGCTAATTAGCACGACCCACAGTGAGGGCCTAATTGATGAGTGTAAATGACAGCAAATTCACTCAAATTCACCCATAGCTCTTTGACGCTGATTTGCGCTAATTTGCAGGTAAATTTGGTCTAATTGACCGTAATATACAATGAAGCTGCTTATCTCCATTCCGCCCACTCATCATCCATCGGTGTCGAGGACGAAGTCATGGCCATCACCTTTGGCATCGACGGACCTCCACGAGCAGCTGTTGGCTGTACAGGGTGGTCTGACAGAATATCGAGGAGGTACGTGGATGATATGTCAATGTCTTTACCCACATTGAACTCCGTGCTTTTCATGCCAGCTAAACCCACATAGTCCGTGCTATCACGCCAATCCCTGTCTTCATCATCCGAGTCTGAACATCTACCTTGATGTTCGTTGGTCAAGCTCGAAATGATGTCCGCGGTCACGATAGGTGGTCGAGTGGGTGGCGGGACAACAGGTGGTGTCTCAGGTTTACCATGGATGGTTGCATACATATCTCGCCATTTGACGGAAGGAGCGACTGTCGGTTCTTTGCTCATGTCAGCTTGCCAGCGGTGCCAATGATGAATCTGTATATGTTCTTTTAATGTCGAGATGTCTTGTCTGCTCCGAGTGGGGCTGTTAAGCCATGTGATTGTTGAAACTGTCCTCTCGTCGGCCATCGACACTGGGACGACGGAGTATAACTTGATTGCAAGGGCCTGGACATAAGAGTGAGTCAAATAAAAAAAATATTGAATGAATGTTACCCCAAGAACTTGTGCATTTTCGTCCTTTTGAACAGCTAACCACCAGTCTCGAACATTCTCGTGCTTGCGAATCTTACAATTGAAAGGATCCGCTCCTTTGTGATACTCCTTGAGCTCAACCTTCAATGCCTGCAGAGCCTCTCGTGGAGTCAATCCAGTGAAGCGGGGATTTCTCTCTTTCATAAGTTTTGCGGCGGCTTGGTCTGACCTTACCACATCATAAACATCACCATACTCGTGCTTGAGCATGAGCTGAAGGCTCGTGCCAACTCTCTTCATGATTGAATCTTCGGGGGATACAATACTATATGTCCCATTTGCTTTCGTCATATGGATGGGAGGCAGGTCAAGAGGATTGATATTCTTGTAGATCTGTGCAGTTCGGTGTTCTTCAGAGCGTCAGTGTTGTGACGGCACTGCAACGAGTTGTCCACCTACCTGGGTGCAAGAAAAATGCCGTGATATATGGATCATTTGGTGCGTCGTTGATCATCTGATTGAACCGCGCATTTGTAATTGTGCGAATGGCCAATTTGGTCTCTTCCCGCAGTCGAATTGTATTGCCTCGAAGGAGTTGTTCCATTTGTGCGACAATGGCAAGCCAGTACAGATAGACGTCTGCGCATGTTGTATGCGCAGATTCCAGACACTGAATTGCCTTCGTGTATGGTCCTGTAATTGCTACGAGCTTGGCTAGGGCAACTTGAAACATTAGCGAATCTGTGGTGTTCGCCTCGAATAAATGATTTCGTCCCTGCGCAGATGTTTGTGAGTTGTTACTTGGATCAAAATGGTACATAGTGTCTTACCTTCACGTCGATCCCCAGACTCGGATTGCTAACTATGGCTTGCATTGCAGGCAAACAGCGTTGCAGTGAGGCTGCAGACCAATGAATGTTCGCGAATCGAGTTTTGCTGATTTTCTCTAGACCCCAGCCAATTTTAAGAACACCGCGATGATAGTTGAAGTGCTCCATTGCGTAGCCTGACTTGTCCATGAAAGCCAAAATCTTTCTAAGATGGTCAGAGACCTGCAGGTAGGGTCCGAGTCATTAGCCTGAATCTTGATGAGTACAAGTATCACTCACCTCTTCAAATTCGGGCAGCTGACATATTTGCTTGGAGCACAGTGATAGTAAATGACATGCGTCCTGGAGGTTCAAGATATAAGGCCGCTTTGCCGACAAATCTCTGCGGCAGTTTTTCGTGTTTCCAGTGTCATCTGATGATGAGCCGGAGAAGTTATAGGGCCCGATTTCGGCAATGACCTATCGCAACATCAACGTGAGCTTTACATTTGTGCGAGCGGGGTACAAATTGGACTTACACCCTCCAACAACTCTCCAATATATTGGGCTGTATGACTGAGCATTGAGGCATCGTCGAGCTCAAGTAGAAGGGTTCGCCTGTCCGCAGTGGTGACATGAACAGTGTAGAATCGTCGAGCTCAAGCAGAAGGGTTCGCCTGTCCGCAGTGGTGACGTGAACAGTGTAGAATGATTTGGGCTTACGGATTTTTCCACCATCAAATGTAACGGTGAGATCACGTTGTGTTTTCAGATAGTCGAACATCATTTTTGTTATTCTTGCAGATTTGTTTGGAATTAGTGTATCAGCAAGAGTCGTTGCAGAGGTAGACTTGTAGTTGGCATTCAGGATGCTACAAAAAGCCTTGAACTCATCCGAATCAATGACGTGTGGTGGGATTCCCGTACACGTCACAAATAGCATGAGTGCTTGGTCACCTTTCTCCTTTAGTGCTTTATGACCTTCGGTAACGTACTTCTTGTTGAATGACGCAACCTGTTTTGAACTTGAAACGACCTGCAGCTCCATCCTTGGTTTCTTCATCAGCCGGTCTTCCACGTCCAATAGCATGACGTCATTCGAATCCAAGTTTGACTTTGACCCTGCTTCTAGGACCACACCTTTTCCCTTCCCTTGTACAGCTTTGGAAGCCATGTAATCCCTAGCTTCTTTGCGCCACTCCCTCGCCATACTCGGACATTCATTGGCAGCATGCTTCATGATTTGTTGCCGAGCTCTTGGCCATGACCAGGTGATGTTACAGCCACGGCTGGCAAAAACCTTGCGAAGCAGTGGATGCATCTTTGCACCACCTTTTCGACTGTCCTCGTCTTCGCCAGCACTGATATACCGGTCATCATCGAAGGTTGACAATATATGGCTATCGAGCTTCTGAACCTTGTGCTTTCGTTTCCCGGGTATCTGAGTATGATTGACTTTGATTGGCTTTTGTTTTGTAGAACTCGAGTCTGAGACAAGGACTGGCAACTTTATAGTTTGCCATCAGTAAGTCTATTTTATTGGACGGAAAAATAAGATTTAACTCGCAGCTTTTCCTGCGGCAAGAATGAGGCCTCTTGCAGCTTCGAGAGTGTCGTCAACCCATTTCTCCAGGATAACATCACCCGGAAATTTCTTTGTCCATGTTTCAAAAACGTGGACTATGGCCTCCATCTCTGGGCCTCGTTCAACGAGTTTCAGGCCATCAACTCGACTGCCCAACCTGACTTCTAGCTCTCGATTGACGGCAGCAGCCTCACCAATGTCCACAGCCCATTCAGCATCTGGGCTGAAGTTCGAGAATTTATACTTCGACTCCTTGGGAATAGGTATGTCTGCTGGCAATGCTGCAAGACAGAGTCGTAGTTCAGCTAGTTGATCCTTGAGATGTTGTTGCATTTAGCTTTGCGATGGGGAGGACAATATTTACAATATTTCTGCAACTCGAACTTCACAATTCTTCGGATTCTCGGTGATCGTCCAAATCGGCAACCAAATCAACTTATATATTTTGACTATGATGAGCCAGCGTGTTCAGAAATTAAGCTTTTTGCACTGGTCCAGCCGAAACCAGCCGAACTGAACCAGGACCCAAATTCACCCAAATTGACACCCCGTTTTCGAGGGTCTGAAATTCACACTGTCATTCACGGTAAATTAGCAAGGCAAATCAGCTGGGCAAATCAGCCCAGAATTTCAGACCCTCGAAAACGGGGTGTCAATTTGGGTGAATTTGGGTCCTGGTTCAGTTCGGCTGGTTTCGGCTGGACCAGTGCAAAAAGCTTAATTTCTGAACACGCTGGCTCATCATAGTCAAAATATATAAGTTGATTTGGTTGCCGATTTGGACGATCACCGAGAATCCGAAGAATTGTGAAGTTCGAGTTGCAGAAATATTGTAAATATTGTCCTCCCCATCGCAAAGCTAAATGCAACAACATCTCAAGGATCAACTAGCTGAACTACGACTCTGTCTTGCAGCATTGCCAGCAGACATACCTATTCCCAAGGAGTCGAAGTATAAATTCTCGAACTTCAGCCCAGATGCTGAATGGGCTGTGGACATTGGTGAGGCTGCTGCCGTCAATCGAGAGCTAGAAGTCAGGTTGGGCAGTCGAGTTGATGGCCTGAAACTCGTTGAACGAGGCCCAGAGATGGAGGCCATAGTCCACGTTTTTGAAACATGGACAAAGAAATTTCCGGGTGATGTTATCCTGGAGAAATGGGTTGACGACACTCTCGAAGCTGCAAGAGGCCTCATTCTTGCCGCAGGAAAAGCTGCGAGTTAAATCTTATTTTTCCGTCCAATAAAATAGACTTACTGATGGCAAACTATAAAGTTGCCAGTCCTTGTCTCAGACTCGAGTTCTACAAAACAAAAGCCAATCAAAGTCAATCATACTCAGATACCCGGGAAACGAAAGCACAAGGTTCAGAAGCTCGATAGCCATATATTGTCAACCTTCGATGATGACCGGTATATCAGTGCTGGCGAAGACGAGGACAGTCGAAAAGGTGGTGCAAAGATGCATCCACTGCTTCGCAAGGTTTTTGCCAGCCGTGGCTGTAACATCACCTGGTCATGGCCAAGAGCTCGGCAACAAATCATGAAGCATGCTGCCAATGAATGTCCGAGTATGGCGAGGGAGTGGCGCAAAGAAGCTAGGGATTACATGGCTTCCAAAGCTGTACAAGGGAAGGGAAAAGGTGTGGTCCTAGAAGCAGGGTCAAAGTCAAACTTGGATTCGAATGACGTCATGCTATTGGACGTGGAAGACCGGCTGATGAAGAAACCAAGGATGGAGCTGCAGGTCGTTTCAAGTTCAAAACAGGTTGCGTCATTCAACAAGAAGTACGTTACCGAAGGTCATAAAGCACTAAAGGAGAAAGGTGACCAAGCACTCATGCTATTTGTGACGTGTACGGGAATCCCACCACACGTCATTGATTCGGATGAGTTCAAGGCTTTTTGTAGCATCCTGAATGCCAACTACAAGTCTACCTCTGCAACGACTCTTGCTGATACACTAATTCCAAACAAATCTGCAAGAATAACAAAAATGATGTTCGACTATCTGAAAACACAACGTGATCTCACCGTTACATTTGATGGTGGAAAAATCCGTAAGCCCAAATCATTCTACACTGTTCACGTCACCACTGCGGACAGGCGAACCCTTCTGCTTGAGCTCGACGATTCTACACTGTTCATGTCACCACTGCGGACAGGCGAACCCTTCTACTTGAGCTCGACGATGCCTCAATGCTCAGTCATACAGCCCAATATATTGGAGAGTTGTTGGAGGGTGTAAGTCCAATTTGTACCCCGCTCGCACAAATGTAAAGCTCACGTTGATGTTGCGATAGGTCATTGCCGAAATCGGGCCCTATAACTTCTCCGGCTCATCATCAGATGACACTGGAAACACGAAAAACTGCCGCAGAGATTTGTCGGCAAAGCGGCCTTATATCTTGAACCTCCAGGACGCATGTCATTTACTATCACTGTGCTCCAAGCAAATATGTCAGCTGCCCGAATTTGAAGAGGTGAGTGATACTTGTACTCATCAAGATTCAGGCTAATGACTCGGACCCTACCTGCAGGTCTCTGACCATCTTAGAAAGATTTTGGCTTTCATGGACAAGTCAGGCTACGCAATGGAGCACTTCAACTATCATCGCGGTGTTCTTAAAATTGGCTGGGGTCTAGAGAAAATCAGCAAAACTCGATTCGCGAACATTCATTGGTCTGCAGCCTCACTGCAACGCTGTTTGCCTGCAATGCAAGCCATAGTTAGCAATCCGAGTCTGGGGATCGACGTGAAGGTAAGACACTATGTACCATTTTGATCCAAGTAACAACTCACAAACATCTGCGCAGGGACGAAATCATTTATTCGAGGCGAACACCACAGATTCGCTAATGTTTCAAGTTGCCCTAGCCAAGCTCGTAGCAATTACAGGACCATACACGAAGGCAATTCAGTGTCTGGAATCTGCGCATACAACATGCGCAGACGTCTATCTGTACTGGCTTGCCATTGTCGCACAAATGGAACAACTCCTTCGAGGCAATACAATTCGACTGCGGGAAGAGACCAAATTGGCCATTCGCACAATTACAAATGCGCGGTTCAATCAGATGATCAACGACGCACCAAATGATCCATATATCACGGCATTTTTCTTGCACCCAGGTAGGTGGACAACTCGTTGCAGTGCCGTCACAACACTGACGCTCTGAAGAACACCGAACTGCACAGATCTACAAGAATATCAATCCTCTTGACCTGCCTCCCATCCATATGACGAAAGCAAATGGGACATATAGTATTGTATCCCCCGAAGATTCAATCATGAAGAGAGTTGGCACGAGCCTTCAGCTCATGCTCAAGCACGAGTATGGTGATGTTTATGATGTGGTAAGGTCAGACCAAGCCGCCGCAAAACTTATGAAAGAGAGAAATCCCCGCTTCACTGGATTGACTCCACGAGAGGCTCTGCAGGCATTGAAGGTTGAGCTCAAGGAGTATCACAAAGGAGCGGATCCTTTCAATTGTAAGATTCGCAAGCACGAGAATGTTCGAGACTGGTGGTTAGCTGTTCAAAAGGACGAAAATGCACAAGTTCTTGGGGTAACATTCATTCAATATTTTTTTTATTTGACTCACTCTTATGTCCAGGCCCTTGCAATCAAGTTATACTCCGTCGTCCCAGTGTCGATGGCCGACGAGAGGACAGTTTCAACAATCACATGGCTTAACAGCCCCACTCGGAGCAGACAAGACATCTCGACATTAAAAGAACATATACAGATTCATCATTGGCACCGCTGGCAAGCTGACATGAGCAAAGAACCGACAGTCGCTCCTTCCGTCAAATGGCGAGATATGTATGCAACCATCCATGGTAAACCTGAGACACCACCTGTTGTCCCGCCACCCACTCGACCACCTATCGTGACCGCGGACATCATTTCGAGCTTGACCAACGAACATCAAGGTAGATGTTCAGACTCGGATGATGAAGACAGGGATTGGTGTGATAGCACGGACTATGTGGGTTTAGCTGGCATGAAAAGCACGGAGTTCAATGTGGGTAAAGACATTGACATATCATCCACGTACCTCCTCGATATTCTGTCAGACCACCCTGTACAGCCAACAGCTGCTCGTGAAGGTCCGTCGACGCCAAAGGTGTTGTTAATAGTTTGTTTATCGATACGTCGAGAATCAGCTTACCTAATCACGCAAGTACATACAGGCACGTTAGAGTTACACACCTCAGTCCGTTACACTACGAGTACGAGACTGAGGTGAGACATTCATTTAATATTCTAATACTCTTATTGACTCTCGTAGTATACACTCGTTTATTCTAGGTTAGTTTATAGTCCGTTACACTACAAGTACGAGACTGAGTATACACTCGTTTATTCTAGGTTAGTTTATAGTCCGTTACACTACGAGTACGAGACTGAGTATACACTCGTTTATTCTAGTCTAGTCCATCCGTTCGCTCCCGCACGTCCTACTACGAAACAAAAGGTTATGAGCCCTGACTGAAGCTCAGTCAACAAATAGCCTAGTAGTGACTCTATCCTACTCCTCGCACAATGTCCAACAATCCATCAATCTCGCAAGCTCAAAGTTCAAACTCGCAACCAACTGCCTCGTCAGCATCTAACTCCAGGAAAGCCATACAAGGCTCGAACCGCCTCTATGATATCCCGTCGTTAGAGAACGATGGTTCAAATTTTCAGAACTGGAAATTTAGAGCTAGGAAAGTACTCATCGTACGAAAGCTCTGGGGTATTGTTGAAGGCTCAGAAGTCCAGCCATCTGCTTCTGACCCTGACGCGGTCCAAGATTGGCTAGAGAAGAACGATGAAGCACATGCACAGATCACGCTCACGCTAAAGGACGAACCTCTAAACGGAGTCCTACACACGGTGTTAGCATCTGATGCATGGACAAAATTGTGCGAGCGATATGAAGGGAAAGGAAAGCAGAGTATAGCCTACCTTATAGGCGAATTATTCCGCGGAACACTCTCGGACGAATCTCCTATGGAACCGCAACTTAACGCTATGCGACAGAAAGCTCTAGTGTTGAACTCACTTGGTCAAGCTCTACACGACTCCCTGGTGGCCATAGCTATGGTCATATCCCTCCCATCTTCATACTCGACTCTCCGAACAATACTCATGTCGACGAGCGACAAGATCACAATCGAAGGCACCATTAGCCAAATTCTAGTCGAAGAAAAGTCGCGGCGAGGTCCTGAATCACAAACGGCCCTCGTAGCCAAGACTTCGGACAAGTCAAAGGAGAACTCGAGGACGGACAAGAAGAAGAAACCTGGCAACTGCAACTATTGCAAGAAGCCAGGTCATTGGGAGAGAGATTGTCGAAAGAAGAAAGCCGATAAGGCTAAGAGCAGTGACAAGGACAAGGATGACGAAAAGGACAAATCCAAGGCCGAGTTGTCAGCAAAAGTGGCACATGTAGTCGGAGATGACACACCATCACTACAGCTGTTTGTTGCACATGGACCGAAACACGAGTCACATCCAGCAGAGTGGATCGTGGACTCCGGTGCATCAGCGAGTATGTCGTGTCAACGAGACTGGTTCAAGACATTTCGCATGCTAGTTCCCACACAGCGTGTCATAGTTGGGGATGGCCGGTCAATCGAAGCTACGGGGATTGGAAGCATAGAGTTAGAAGTCGAAATCGGAGATGCGCAAACTCGACGAACCGTTTTGCAAGACACATACTATGTTCCCGACCTAGATGGCAACCTGTTGTCAATCCCACGCTTAGCAAGCAAAGGATACGAAGCAATCTTTGGACAACATACCTGCACAATAACTCGCAATGGCTCGATAGCAGCACTAGCAAAACGGCAACAGTCCCTATACATATTAAAGGGACGCACTTGCATTAGCGAAAGTGCTTACATTGTCGAAGGCCCAAGCCCACTGCTGAATGCGGAAGAACCAATCACGGCTCTCGCAGCATGCACATACTCGTCGAAGGCAACGTTCGAGACCTGGCATAGACGCCTTGCCCATATCGCCCCCGAATCCGTGAAGAAACTGTTCGAAAAAGACATGGTCAGAGGGATGGAAGTCTCGGGATCAATCACTCACGAAAAGCAAGTTTGCAAGCCCTGCCTCGAAGGCAAGCAGGCACGCAAGCCCATCCCAGACGAATCCATGATTGAAAATCCCCGGGTCTTACACAGGACATATTCTGATGTCTGTGGACCCATGGAGACCACTTCACGAATGGGACACCGATACTTCGTTACATTCATTGATGCCTGCTCGCATCACGTCATGGTCAAACTTCTCAAAACGAAGGACGAAGCACTTGGACTCACGAAAGTATACTTCGAGCGAGCAGAGGCAGAAACGGGCGAATGCGCAAACTATTTTCGCAGTGATGGAGGCAGGGAATATGGCTCTGGTGACTTCCTAAAGTACCTCGAGTCAAAGGGCATTCATCATGAAAAAACGAATGCTTACACTCCACAAGAAAACGGAGTCGCCGAACGAATGAATCGAACCCTCGTCGAATCAGCGCGAGCCATGTTAAACGATGCTGGACTTCCGAAGAAGTACTGGGGTGATGCCATACTCTACACGGCCCACATACTCAACAGAGTGCCAACTCGTGCCCTGAAGAAGAATATAACACCGCATGAGGCCTTTACTGGCAACAAACCGTCAGTAGCGCACTTGAGAATCTTTGGCTGCAAGGCACACGTGCACGTACCTGATGAGCGCCGTCAAAAGCTCGATGCAAAATCCTTCGAGTGCATCCATTTGGGGTATGCCGAACACCGTAAAGCCTATGTCTGTTTGCAGAGGTCCAGTGGGCGAGTAATAGAGTCGAGGGACATTGTGTTTGTTGAAGGGGATGATGAAGAGTCAAGCCGAGTGAAGATAAGTGTTGAAAACACTGAAATTCGTCAAGTCGATAAGCAACAAGACCAAACGAAATCACACAACTCACTGGCAAACCCAGGTCCAAGCGAAAACGGACAAGTGCACATCGAAGAGGTCACAAGCGAAGATGAGAACGAAGACTCGGACCCTGAGCAAACAGAACAGGAATTCCCTGTACTATCTGTAGGTCAACACGAAGTTAGCTCTTGAACCTCGCAACGAACCTCCACAAGGTGTCGCGCACAGCCAGAAGGTCCTCCGGCACCATACCCACGTCCAATTCCTCCATGCGAAATCAGACGCTCAACCCGCATATGAAAGACACCAGTTCCTGACGACGATCCCCGTTATTTCGTCAACGCGTATGATAGATCAACACTCAAGACTCACCAGGAAGCTACTGTGGAGACAGAGGAAATTCCCAGTACGAGGGGAGAAGAGAGAGCTGAAAACGTCGAAGATGAGAGTGAGGAAGAAACTGAGGGAGAAGAACGAGCTTACCATGCGGAAACGGCCGAAGAACCTAGGACGTTTGAAGAAGCAGCAAATTGGCCAGATGCGGACCTATGGCAAGCTGCCATGCTGGAGGAGCTGAAAGTATTTGAGAAGATTGGCCTATATGAGGCAGTGGAGCGGCCGAAGGACCGGAAAGTCATCAAGTCGAAATGGGTGTACAAGATTAAGCGCGGCCCTACTGGGGAGATTGATAAGTACAAGGCACGCCTAGTGGCAAAAGGATTTACCCAAGTCGAAGGTATCGACTACACCGAAACGTTCGCGCCCGTGACGAAATTCTCCACGATCCGAATTCTCCTTGCAATCGCAGCAAAATTCGACCTAGAAATCCATCAGATGGACGTGAAGTCAGCGTTTCTGAATGGTGAGCTAGAAGAAGAGATTTACCTCGAATTACCCCCAGGATTCGATGACTCGGACAATCTAGTGTGGAAGTTGAAGCGACCACTGTATGGCCTTAAGCAGGCACACAAAGCTTGGTATAAGCGGCTCTGTACCGTCTTCAAAGGCTTAGGTTTCTCGCGCTGCGAAACTGAGCACAGTGTGTTCTACAAGATCGTGAATGGGACCCACCTGATTGTTGCAGTCTATGTTGATGACAAGATGATCTTCTCGAAGTCACTGAAATTGATCAATCAGCTGAAGAAGCAATTAGAGGCCGAGTACGAATTAACGGACCTGGGAGAGGCCCGTTGGATCCTCGGGATGGAGATAATCAGGGACCGGGAGAAGAAGACAATCGAGTTGTCGCAACAGTGATACATCGAGACGATTCTCGAACGTTTCGGCATGCAGGATGCAAGACCTGTCACTACACCTATGGACTCAAACACCAGGTTGGTCAAACAAGATAGCGCAGAGGTAGACACCAAACCTTATCAGAGTGCGCTCGGCGCATTGATGTACGCGATGCTCGCAACTCGCCCAGACCTCGCATTTGCAGTGGGCGCATTGATCAAGCACTCTGCTACCCCAGGAAATGAACACTGGAACACATTGAAGCGTGCATACCGTTATCTACGCAAAACGTCTAACAAACGACTCACCTTCAGAGGAAATGGAGAGACGAGCCTGCGCAGTTTTGTGGATGCAGACTGGGCATCGGACGTCAACGATCGACGTTCAATAACGGGCTATGTCTTCTTGATGGCGGGCAGCGCTGTAAGCTGGCAGTCAAAGAAGCAAGACTCTGTGGCACTATCCAGCACCGAGGCTGAATATATGGCGGCGGCATCAGCAACGAAGGAAGCAATATGGATAAATACCTTTCTGGACGAGCTACAATTTCCCCAGTCCCAGAAAACACTCCTTCTCATTGACAATCAGTCCGCAATCTCTCTCGCGAAGAACGCCGTATTCCACAGCCGCACGAAACATATCGCGATCCGTTATCATTTCATCCGCGAGAAAGTTGATGCCGGCGAAATCGAACTCGAATATGTCCCTACGAACGCCCAGATCGCAGACGTTTTGACGAAGCCGTTAGGAAGAGTGAAGCACGAGCGTTTCATCGAGGGAATGGGAGTAAGTTGATAGCTGATAACTCGCCGAGTGGGCGTGTTGTTAATAGTTTGTTTATCGATACGTCGAGAATCAGCTTACCTAATCACGCAAGTACATACAGGCACGTTAGAGTTACACACCTCAGTCCGTTACACTACGAGTACGAGACTGAGGTGAGACATTCATTTAATATTCTAATACTCTTATTGACTCTCGTAGTATACACTCGTTTATTCTAGGTTAGTTTATAGTCCGTTACACTACGAGTACGAGACTGAGTATACACTCGTTTATTCTAGGTTAGTTTATAGTCCGTTACACTACGAGTACGAGACTGAGTATACACTCGTTTATTCTAGTCTAGTCCATCCGTTCGCTCCCGCACGTCCTACTACGAAACAAAAAAAGGTGATGGCCACGACTTCGTCCTCGACACCGATGGATGATGAGTGGGCGGAATGGAGATAAGCAGCTTCGTTGTATATTACGGTCAATTAGACCAAATTTACCTGCAAATTAGCGCAAATCAGCGTCAAAGAGCTATGGGTGAATTTGAGTGAATTTGCTGTCATTTACACTCGTCAATTAGGCCCTCACTGTGGGTCGTGCTAATTAGCCGGTCAACCAGAGCGGGATCCCTAATTCCCTGAACCCTACTGTGCTCGCATTTCGCACAATTCCAACCACCATTCTCATAACCGTCATTTATGCGGCAGTCTTCAGCACCTTGTTGATAACCGACCAGCTTCCCTCTGTGCCCAAACATACACGGGGCTTAGATTTTCAGCAGGCATACAGAGACTTGCACGAGGTGCGTTATATTCGTGGATATGCAAACAAGTAGTTCACCTTTGCTCTTTCAGGTGGCCGCTCGTCCGCATCCTTTCAACTCGCATGCCAATGTTCTAGTTCGGTCCTACCTCTTGAATCGCGTCAAGGACATCGCTTCTTCCTATGACCACGTCTCCGTGGATTTCGACCTTTCTTCAAATGCGTCTTGGGCCTCAGGACTCCTCTCCACCAACCCATACGCAGTGTATTACGAGTCTGACAATGTATTGGTCAAGGTTGAGGGGAGCGATAAGGAGTATCAAGAGTCAGGCGGGCTTTTGCTCAGTGCTCACTGGGACTCTGTCAGTACCGCTCCTGGCGCGACGGATGATGGTATGGGCGTGGTGACGCTTTTGAGTATGGTGAAGTACTTTGCGGAGAACAGGCCAAGGCGGACGGTGGTGTTCAACATCAATAATGGCGAAGAGGATGGCTTGAATGGTGCTCATGTGTACGCTATAATTTTTCTTCTATTTTACACTCACTTATCTAGCTGCCAGTTTCATGGAGCATCCGTGGGCCAATGTCACTGATACCTTCTTGAACCTGGAAGGCGCTGCCGCAGGAGGGTAGGCAGTTTGATGCAATTGTCCTGTATGACTTGCTGACCGATATGTTGAAGACGACCACTACTCTTCCGAACGACTTCTCGCGCTCCTCTGGCGTCTTGGAGCACTTCTCATCCTCACGCAAATGTCCTTACTGCCGATGCGTTTTCGCGTGGTGTTATCCGCAGTGGTACAGACTACTCGGTCTACGAACAAGCTGGACTCAAGGGGCTAGATTTTGCTTTCTACCGCGGAAGGAGCAGGTACCATACGAAGTACGATTCTATCCCTGGTATGTCTGACGACAAGAGCAAAAACGCGTTATGGTCAATGATGGAGGGAACACTGTCCTCGAGTCTCGTGCTCGCAAATGATGCAAAGGGAAAAACGAGGACCGAGTCCGCTGGACAAGGAAGTGAGCCAGTGTATTTCGACCGTAAGTTCTCTCCTTGCTATTTCATCTGGCCGCATCTTTAACTCTTCTCTTAGTTTTTGGTACCATTATGATCGTGTTCACATTCCAAACTCTAAGGATCGCAAACATAGTCCTCCTTATCGTCGGGCCTGTCATCCTCCTGATGTTGGTCTACTTCGAGCATATCATCCGAGTTGCGTCTTTTATTCGTTCTGGAAACTATCGTGCTGCAAATGGTGATGTACATCGCGAGAGCTTTGTGGTGCGTGCATCGGCGGAAATCAAACATTTCCTCAAAAGCTTTTGGGTCTGGTCCAAATTTTGGACTGCTTTGTTACTCGGTGTTGCCTTCCAGATGCTTTTAGTGGTAGGATATGCGAAGCTGAATCCATTCGTGAGTGTGTAGTTCCTCGCTCCTCACGCTCACTTATCAATTGTCAGGTCATTCACACTCACCCTTGGCTTGTGCTTGTGTCTGCGTTGTCGCTGGCTTATCTCACAACAGTCCTTGCTCTCACCTTTCCACTTACGAAGCATGGCGTTGTTCCTGCTCCAGAACAGCAAAAGCTGTCTATCCTTCTCCATCAGTATGTTCTGACATGGGCGCTACTCGTATATACAACATCAGCCATGACACTTGGGGGAACATATTTCATAACCGCTTGGAACGCGGTGGTTTTCCTTGGAGCTGTGCTCGCGTGTGTGGAAGGCATGGCTGGCGCTCGAGGATACGAAGACGAGGAAGAGATTCAAGGACAAAGGCGTTACGTGCGAGGTGTGCACTACGATGCCGTGGACACTGCCGAGAACGGCCAACAGGACTCCGAGAATGGCCACCAGCGCGTGGGCATAATTTAGGAAACTGAGCCGACAGAGATTACACCTCTCATCGCTCAGCATGGCCAGTCCAGGCCGTTAGGTGAAGAGCAGGGTGCTATTGGCTGGTGGATTGCCCAGCTGTTGGTTGTTGTTCCGTTGCCTGTTATTCTAGCGTCTCATATCGCGGTCATCGTACTACTTGCAACAAACCAGACGCTCACAGACGGAACCAGTCCTTTGAGTGGTGAGTGCTTAACGAATTTCATGTTGTGTTGGCTTAGTGAGCTGATGTGCCGTACAGTCTATGGACCGGTCTCGATTCTAGCGTTACTCATCGTACTTCCTATTGCACCATTCAGTATGAACATGCATCGCTGGCTGAACGGCATCATTCTCATGCTCTTCATCCTGTCAACACTCTACACTTATCTTGCGTTCCCATTCTCACAAGAAACACCACTCAAGGTCTATTTCGCTCAAAGTGTGGACTTAGACACGTCTCGCGTGGTTACCGCACTAACTGGTCCTCGTCAATTCCTGTCGACAGCGATTATCCCCCGATTCCCCTCTGCATTTGACCAACCAGTCAATTGTACAGATGCTCCGGACAAGCTTGGCCTGCAAACTTGTACATGGGAGGTTGGGGATGCATTTGTGCCCTCTCCGGGTCCGAGCAAGCGTCGTTATGGACAAGGTCCTAGGTCCTCCTTGGGGAAGTGGGTGACCACATCCGTTAAGCGTACGGGATCGAACAGCGCGCGCATCAAAGTACAAGGATTGAACACTCGAAGCTGTACTCTTCAATTCTCAGGCAAACGCGTGAAAAGATTCCATCTTTCTGGCGACGGCGGAAAAGGGTTGCAAGGCGGCTCTGGGGTGCCTGAAGACGGGCTCGAACAAATGCGACTATGGAGTCGGGATTGGGAGAAGGGGTTCGAGGTGGACGTTGATTTTGCAGGGAGTGGTGATGAGAAGGCGACGGGACGCGTGAGTTGTGGTTGGGCAGAGTATGAAAGTGCTACTGTTGGTGGGGGGCGAACTGGGGGCAAGATTCCGTCATTGGAGGAGGTGCTTCTTTTCTTGCCAGAGTGGGCAGTTGTTACGAAGAGCTCGGCCGCGCTATTTGAAGCTGGATGGGAATTTGAGGTTTGATTCGAATTGACGTAGGGAATAATTTGAATTTGAACCTAATCGCCACGTCGAATGCAGAGCTTGAGCTTAGACTTTTATATACAGGTAATTTACCCTTAACAGGTCCAGGGACCGTAACTGGTCAGCATAAAACTCCAAAGCCGCGCCCGACAATTCGTTTCACTGCAGTACTCAGGATGTTAGGTTTTCTTGTTGCCCTTCAAATCATCGGTCTTGTCGCGGCGTCCCCCTGGACCTCAGACCCTTCCGACAAATGTTATTTCAACCCTCTCCCTTCCATACCAACCTCGACTGCCAACCGTACCGTACCATGGGGCCAGCCAACGATTCAATTCGCAAATGGCACGACATGCTGTTCTTCACTGAATGAAATTCGAGTACAGCTGGACACCATCGATGCGCAATTAGTGCAGCTATTATCAACAAGGTGCGCTCTAAAAGAGTCTTGTATGATTCTTCACATGACTGAGATTCGCGCACCTTAGAGCTTCGTATGTCAGAGAAGCGACCCGCTTCAAGTCTACCGTTTCAGATGTCAACGATCCGTCTCGGAATCAGCAGGTGATACAGGGCGCTGTTGATGCCGCTCCATCAGTGCATCTGCCACAGATCGTCGCTGAGGTGGTGTATGAGGGTATAATAAATTCTAGTGTGACCTTTGAGGAATGCATAGTGAGCGCTACCCCCTATCTTAAAATTTATCCGCTCCTGATCATTCAAAAAGTTCAATACATACAGAGAGCTTCACTTGAAAGCACAACCAGCTTAGTTATAACTTGGGCGTTTGGTACTTGTACAGACGTGTACGGCCCTGTGGTGCGTTCGGGTTTGCTTCTTGAATCTTGATTGTTTTTATCGTGGCGACCATTTCTTTTCGTGACCACTGCATACAGCTGGCTGCTAGACTTTGATGAGAAACAGAAACAGAGTGCCTTCAGTCGTGAATACAAGACGTGTCTCGCGAAGGGTTGGACCACCTAGTTTTACGACGACGTAGCTCTTTTGACTGCTGTGATGCAATTCGAATCTCGATGCGGAATTTTTAGCCGTGTTAAACTTCGGCTGCTTTGCTCCATTTGCCATCACATATAGCAGGTCACGTTTATAACAGCCTACTAGACCGGGCCTTGGGATCATCGACATCCTCCACCGATCTGTAATTTATGCGGTGAGAAATGTTCACGAATGGGAGCAAAAAGGCAGTTTGGCTTGCATTGAAGTCAAGGTGACTGACAAGTTCGTATTCGCAAGTCTCCCTCTGATGCAGTGAATCACTAGACTTTACAGTGCAGTAGCAAACAGAGATACCAAGTCTATCATCCGGATTTCACGGTCTAGCGTTTATCGTTTCGGTGACCCAAATTTCGCGGCGCCGGTCTTCCGTGATGCTGAATGGACTATAAACGAGGGGGAAAGCTGGGCTGTAATAGGGACAGGTTCGAGGCAAAAGATGGCCCTTTTTGCAGGTGCGTCATACTAACGTTCCGAAGTAGAGTTGACATTGACAAATTAACAATGCACTTTAGACACACCTAGGTCACCTACGCATAACTCCTCCTCCGCCTCTACCTGAAGGACTATTTCCTTTCCTTTCAGACCCTCCACGCGACCCACACAACTGCGTAGCTTTTGTATCATTCGTGCATCGGTCCCGTGCAGCAGGTGGTGCCTTCTACGACTAAACTTTTCGATACGGCGCAGTTAGAGAAGAAGACCATATCACCCTCCGGGAAAGTATGTTTGGAGAGTACGACTTTCTAAACATTCAGCCAAAAGGTGGAAAGGTGAAAACGCCCGTTGAAATTGCACAGGACGAAGTAAAGAAGGGCATATTCGAGGACCTGACTTCGAGACTGGGTCTTTCATCCCTCTTGGATTTACCTTTGGTCGCTTTATCGAATGGCCAGACGCATCGAGCACGCATTGTGAAGGCTATTTTGTCTGAACCGGAACTCCTCGTACTCGACGAACCTTTGAGTGAGTGATTGAACTTAAATTCGACACGCACAATGCATAACGGCTGTGCTTTATCCAGCCGGCCTTGACGTCAATACACGCCCAATCTTATTGAATGTCTTTCGGTCACTACATGATTCTCACATTCCACGCATCCTCATGGGTCTCAGGATGCAGGACCCTGTTCCCGACTGGATTTCGCACATCGCTCTAGTGACGGGCGAAACTATCCTGACAGGCGTCAAAGATGAAATCATGTCCAAGTACGCGGATTATTACGCAAAGGAGGCTGAGCATAGAATGGCAAGCACCACTCAGTCATATCTGCAGTCTGGCCTTGATCATGGAAAGCCAGTAGTCGACACGAAGAACGTGAAAGTATCATACGGCTTTGAGCTATTAGGACTTATTCCGTTCCTGTCTGACCTTGCACAAGTTTTGTTGAGCTCAAGCCTTCAAGAAACTTTTTCGGTTTGAACGTTCATTATATCCTGGAATCGACCGAATCTGACAACTAATGTGGACATAGGAACATGATATCCGCTATGATCATCAGGGCCAACTTTCTACCTGTCTTGATACGGGACTATGGTGCACTGAAATGGCACAGAAACTCGGAACCCTTCAGGTGAACTCCTTCAGGGGGATTCTTAGAGTCGCCGGTAGCACGCAGATTCAGAACGTCAGTCCCATCCCCATCCTTTTTTTCTCTCAAATAATTCAATCTCCTGCATTTCCCGACACACCATTCTTCTATCTTTCCATTATGCCAAAGCGTATTCCTACCCCTCCTCCTGGAGACTATGAACTTCGCTAACTCACAGTCGTTCACCCTCAGGCTTATTAATACGTCCTTGATCGCCACTGCAACATGGAGGTGCCCAAGGATAAACAAGACTTTGCGCGTTGGGTGGCATGCTGCGTCGACGCAAAGCACTTTTACGCGTTTTTCTACGAGCCCAGTGTAAGTGGTGGTGTGGATCGTCTGCAGTGTATGTGGTTGACCTTCGTGTGTATGACATTCCTCATTGTGGCGCATATATCAGGCACGCGACATGGTCATTATCGAAATAGCTCGCGAGTGTCCCCAGCTCGATCGCTTAATCGGTGAGCATCGCTGTAGGGAGTTCTTCAAGAATTCATCCAAACAAGAACAGGATCAAGTCACCAAGGTTTTTTTATTGCACTTATAGCACTGGAAGACGGGCGCAGAAGAATGGTGAGTCAATCAGTTCAATCCATTTCAATTCTGCCGCCCGGCAAATTCTTACTCGATAAGCTCGATCGGTTTTGTAATAATTGAGGAATCTTGGTCACCTTCTACGAACGGATCAAGTGGCTAATATCATATCGGATTTCCCTCGCAGGCTGGGAGCGTATATATGTCGAAGACGCTTGGTTTAAAACGTGGTCGCCGAACAATCAGTAAGTTTCCATCCTTTATGACTCGTCAGTTACACGAGCTGACGGACCATGTCATTCTTCCAGTTCATTACTTTCCCTTACCCTGAAACTCGTTTCTGTGAAGTGCTGATCGAGGATCAGACCAATCATCGCACATGCAGGCCCCTTCCAGGCGCTGCAAAACGCCCTCCCTGAGATACTGACCGCTCCTGCACGTCGTATTTGCAGCATGTACTATTTGTGTACTAATACGACGTCCATCTAAGATCACAAGCCAAATGCCAGTGAAGCTAGTCAAAATAAAAAGCACTATGGTACAGTATGCTCAGACTCTTCTTTTTGTATCGTGGTGGGTGGCCATAACGTCCATGTCCTGGGTGCACAATGAGGAAGCACCGATGTATACTGTGATTGGGAACAATCCACTGCGCACGCGCAACCGCCTCTGATGGACACGAACATCTTGCATCACAAGAGTCACACAATCAACCCTTCAATAGGCCGTTGGCTCGGACAAACCTGAACTAGAACTGGACGTTGAGTATAGAATATATATAATACCAGGTAGGATAAGTGTACAGTCGAAGTCACATGTAAATAGTATCTGAAATCTCCATAATGCATTCATTGATTCTATCATCGTCGTCACTAAGGCCTGCAAGTGTTGAGTTCAGAGTTTGAGGAACGGAAAGGGCTTAGAGAACTCACCCTTCTCGGCACTTTTGCCAATGCTGTCCATGTGCCATGCAGCTCAAATCAAGCTCAGGACCTCCTCTGGGTATCACCATTGCAGTTCTAGGGCTATAAAACAGGCGTCGCGAAGCGAGTGGTACCCAGAATAAAAGCCGTTGTTTGGGCCCTACCACCCATCCGTTGTCATAGTTCAGGAAAAAGGGGGTCGAGGGGGTCAAACTGTGGTCGTCATGGGATGCTCCCTCAATGAGTTCATAGGTATCACATAGCGCATGGATAGAGGTGGATGAGAAGCGAATGAAGTGATTGTTCCAAGTGTATGATTTCATGGTAGTGGTGGCCTCGATCGAGCGATGTTCGACTGAGAGAGCTGGATGATCTGACTCGGCGCACTGTTGTGATGACTGCCTCATCCCTGCATCCCACAGCCGAATAGTGTTATCGTCGGAACCAGTGACCATGCGAGTGCCGTCCGGCGAGAACGAGACCGAGTTAACTGAATTCGTGTGCCCCCGCAAGGGCTCACCAACTTGCTTCCCCATCCCTGCATCCCACAGCCGAACAGTGTGATCCTCCGAACCAGTGACGATGCGAGTGCCGTCCGGCGAGAACGAGACCGAGAAAACCGGAAGAGTGTGCCCCCGCAAGGGCTCACAGACTTGCTTCCCCATCCCTGCATCCCACAGCCGAACAGTGTGATCGTCCGAACCAGTGACGATGCGAGTGCCATCCGGCGAGAATGAGACCGAGTTAACTTCTTCAGTGTGCCCCTGCAAGGGCTCACCAACTTGCTTCCCCGTCCGTGCATCCCACAGCCGAACAGTAGAATCCCTTGAACCGGTGACGATGCGAGTGCCGTCCGGCGAGAACGAGACCGAGTCAACTGCATTCGTGTGCCCCCGCAAGGGCTCACCGACTTGCTTCCCCGTCCCTGCATCCCACAGCCGAACAGTGTGATCCTCCGAACTAGTGACGATGCGAGTGCCGTCCGGCGAGAACGAGACCGACCAAACTTCTTCAGTGTGCCCCCGCAAGGGCTCACCGACTTGCTTCCCCGTCCATGCATCCCACAGCCGAACAGTGCGATCGTCCGAACCAGTGACGATGCGAGTGCCGTCCGGCGAGAACGAGACCGACCAAACTGAATCAGTGTGCCCCCGCAAGGGCTCCCCAACTTGCTTCCTCGTCCCTGCATCCCACAGCCGAACAGTGGAATCCCTTGAACCGGTGACGATGCGAGTACCGTCCGGCGAGAACGAGACCGAGTTAACTGAATTCGTGTGCCCCCGCAAGGGCTCGCCGACTTGCTTCCCTGTCCCTGCATCCCACAGCCGAAAAGTGTGATCCCTTGAACCAGTGACGATGCGAGTGCCGTCCGGCGAGAACGAGACCGACAAAACTGAATTCGTGTGCCCCCTGAGCACGTTCTGAACAGCCGGCCAGTGAATATCACGTCCGCATGCCACACGAAGAATATTTGGAAATCGTGCAGAAAACGTTCTCAATAGCGGACAGTTGGCAGGCGAGAATGGGAGTGCTGATACATATAGATGGGGTGTGCTGTGTAAAATGATGCCGCCGAAGACTTGAATGAACCTTTGTACGTCCATTGCGGTCAATGAGACATCTTTGAATTCAGGATGGCCCTGTTGTTGCGCGTGAGCGCTTTAGCTAGTACTTCGTAGTAATGTACTCACCGTTAGCCACTGGGGAATGAGTCAAAGGGCAGGAATCGCATTGATGAGGGCATTGATGAGGGCGAGTAACTCGAGCCAGAAAAACAACCGCTCGTGGTCGAAAAACACTTTCACTTCTTTCGCGAGCTCCTCGTCAAAGGTTGTGTCTCGTACGTGCGAAATCCAAAATCGAGAGGAATATGACAGATGGGGAAGGATGTACTTTTGGACTCGTTCTTGCAGTCCGGGGTCTTCGCTATTAGGTAGATACGACGACTTTAAATCGCAGATATTGAAGCGAAGACCGTGTTCCATCACTCGAAGAGAAGCGAATGCAAGGTCGCGTTGAGCCTTTGACATGCCCACGAAAAACTCTCCGCTGGTTGTGTCTGTCAAGAAATCGCGGAAGGAGGCGTGAAGAGGTCGGATTGGGGAATCTGGATTGGTGGTGCCGCTGAGGGCGCCCATACTTTTAACCACAAGATCGACGTCGAAAATGTCCTCTCGCATCGGAAAATGGCGCCTCATGGCGTTCAGAGAAGTTAAAGGGAGGGGTTCAGCTGTGCCTAGTATCTGCCCCATCACTGAGCGGAATGCAGCTAGCGCCGTCGGATCAAATTTCGGCGAATGTTGGACATCGGTAGATGTATCCTTGGGCATAATATTCGTTAGAATGAGGTGATACATGCTGTGCAACTTGGCAGGACCGTGTGATATAACTTTGTTGTAGCAATAAATTGGAGATAGCCCCAGATGGGACCCTTTGATGTATTCGCAGGCGAGACGCGCCCACTCGAAAAGCCCATCAGCTTTCTCAGCGAGGATTGTGAAGTCTCCGTCCTGGAAATTCGGTCCTTCCAACTTCTTTGATACGTAAGCACGAATGTCGCGCTCTGCGAATGCTGGTGGGATATCATCCATAGACATTTGTTTAATATGTTGAACGCCGCAAAACTCGTCTTTGATGTCACTAAGCGCCCGGGAGGTAACGATGAAGCGGAAGTTGTCTGGAAGGTCTGTGATTTTGGAAACGCCGGGCTGTTGATGTTTGCCAGCTAGAATACGGAGGAGGTCTTCCCGTGTCTCTCCCCCACCACTCTCATCCAGTGCATCGATTACGATCACGATGGGTTCCCCGGTTGATCCGGTTGACTTCTTCAGTGGGTCGATAAGAAGTTTTGCCACTGCTGGACGATATCCACCGTGGTCTTGAGCGAAATTGAGTCCTGAACTGCATCTGCCAATGCCCGCCTCATCTTCGGGTCACGGTCAGCCAGGTCGCGTGCGATCGTGGAAAAGATCTTTTCGTGGCGACGATCTGCTTCTCGCTGGCGATCAAAGCAGTAACACGAACCAAGCCCTCCCACGTCGTTGAACCACTTAGCGATGGTGTGGGCGATGGCCGATTTTCCTTTGCCTGCAGGGCCAGATAGCCACAGTACGCGTGGAACGTCGTCCCCAGTGCTCTTGACCCAATCCGTGATTTCGGAAAGGATTTCCGTGCGCGTCCCTTGCAGACATTCTTTCCTGGTATCTAGTCCCGCGCCCTCTGCATAGGTCATACCGCTAAGCTCCAGTATTTGTCCTGGAAAGGTGTGAATATATGACCAGTCGCAATGACGTCCAAATCCTTACCTGTGTGGTGGACCTGTATGACTACATCGTAAGAAGCCTGGTCCCGGAAGTTGTGCATGAGACTATCTAACACGTCGTTGTACTTTTGGATCGTATCTGTCGTTTCCGAAACGACGTTCTTTCCGAGTCTCTTCCCCAAGATGATAAGCTTGAGATGGTGCAGAGCGCAGCAGAGAGCGACACTCACAAAAGTTGCTGGTCTCCGAATAATTACTGATGAAATTGGCGCATTCACGTATCTGCTTAGAAATCTTTCCAAGGATGCTAGTAGCGCGCATAGACAATATTTGGTCAAGCTTCCCGTCTTGTGTTATGAAGTTGTAAACTTCGCACAACTTCTTCAGAAGTTTGAGTACCGCTGCGTCACAATCCGCTTGAGCTAGAATGATCTGTGGAAATAATTGCTGAGCTGTGAGAGATAGGAAGAGAAAAAGGGAAAACATACTTTGGCGGTATAAGACAACACGCCCAGTGCCATCTTTGCATATGGATGTAACTGTGAGCTAGATTAGTTCAGTTCCGATCAAGAGGAGGAACCATACATCAGCGATCTTCCCGATAACATCGTCGAATATCCTGAGGGGTTTGAGATATGTGTCCTGGAAATCGTCAGCAGCATCGAGATCCTCTGGTGCACCTTCTACGACAGATGCTGCAGGTATCGCAGGGCCTGAAAGTGGATGCATGCGATTTACAACCGCTTGTGCACCCCGAAGTGCCGATTCAGTATCAGCCTCGATTTCCACATCAGATGGAGCAGCCTGAACCCGTGCGGCAATCAACATTTAGAGAGAGCACAGAGACTATAGGGCAGATATGAGAACTTACATCGGTATTTGGGGTCGATGGACGTTCACCACTTGGAGGAGCAAGGCTGACTTGGCTGCGTGAATCCTTCGAGCGCTTGTTGCAATTTTAGTGGTGATCCAGGATGCTCGTCACGCATGTTCGTGGACTCACCCTCCTAAATCTTTTTACATCCTCCTTGAGCTTCTTTAGAAACTGTCCGATTTTGCTACGGGGTCGATGCTAGACGAAAGGTGTGTCAATGTCGGTGCTTGGAGTGGAGTGAAGTAGAGTGAAGTAGTAAGTGATGCGACGTACCGAGCCTCCAGGAGCTACTGCTTGACTGGATGATTCTTGAGTCGAAATCCTCGATGAATTGCCTTTCTGCCGAGTCATTGTGAATAGCAGTTGGAGGGAAGAGTAAGGGAAGTACGACAAGGGCTTACTCACTTATATGGAACCATTAGGGCAACGCCTCGAGGCGACCTTGAGGCGACCTCGAGGCAATACTTGTTCCAAGCAAAGAACGATGCTGGCAAACATTCCAATTTCTATCGCATCCGAACCCTTCTACGGCGTGCGCGTTGAGGCTATGGTTTGAGGTTATATGACTGATTGTGACATAGTCTCGACTGGCCAGACCTGAAATTTCACGACTGTTTGCATAATTCTAGATCTCGCGAAACCTCACAAGATGATGCTCCCATCCAAAAGCTATGTGCGCTTCAATAGATGTTTGCAAGTCAGCCCAAGACAAATATGATCACAACGCTCCCTCCAAACATTTACCGCCCGCGAGACTCAAAACGACCACGGAATATGAAACTGAGTGTATTGTGTTGCCCAGGCACATCAATATCTTACAGCTCGCCACGCCTGAAGCTAGACTATAGGTTCAGCTGGTCGTTATACCAATAATCCATGCTTCTGTGAAGAGCAATGGCGCAAAAATAACACTGATTGAGTTTTTTAAAGTCGAATGATAAACAACTTACAAACAGAACCTGGCGCATTGTAGTTCTTTCAGCACTCGTTGAGAAATCGAGCAGTGTCCACCTTGTGATCGAGCATGTCGGGCGTCAGATGGAGCTCCAAGAGACGTTCAGGAGGCGATAAGTTACGCACGATGTCGAGCTTTTACTTCCTCGTGAGCGCTCTGAAGCGAACAGGCTATGATCTGATAGACCATAATAAGTTGGGCACATCAAGCGTGCAATAAATCTTAGGGATGGGGTCAGCAAGATGGGAAAGTATGTCAAGACGAACTTGATTTTGTTGCCTATGGTCTTGAGCTGTTTAGCAACTTGAAATGCGACGACACTGCAATAACTGTAGCAGGCAATGATGCGTGGCGCTGTCTGAGTCCTTTTGGCTCCTGTGGTGTGATAAGATACAATTTCGATTGTGGAGCTGAATGTGTATAATGGACGCTGAATTGGAAGTATGTGGCGAAATTGAGAAAAATGAGAACTTCTCCCCAACTAGGATAGATGAAGAAGATGAGTGTGTTGTTCCCAATCAGTTGCAGAGAAACGATAGGGTCCTATTAATTCTCACCTTGGATAAAAAGGAAGTGATGGAGTTGATGGAAGATTTGGATGGTGATAATTCAGGCAGGCCAGGGTGCGTCTCTCCTGCAAGCTTCATCTTGAAGTTGGAGTGTGTGAATGAATGTCATACGTTGCGAGGATAGATATATTCACATCGATAGAAGTACCGTCGAGGTCGAACAAGTTGTCACTCACCAATAACTGGTGGTTGAATATCTTGGCAAGTGCCTGTCCAAAGTACTATGTGGATCATCGCACCTTTCCACCAAGCTCCTTAGCGCGGGCGATGTGCTTCGCCAGCCCTTCGCCCGTTTTCTTTATCTGGATGGAATGTACAATAATTTGAAATTCTACTCAAAGTACTTGCTTGATTCTTGGTTGGACGTTGTTGATAGTTGTTGATGCGGCGACCCTCTGCGACGACTAAGCTTAAGATGAGTCTGGCACAGATGGTTTTCTAAGCTAGCCGAAGCATGAGAATAGCGTAGAATTTAGTCTACGCGCAAATAAGCGAGGTGGCGCAGAAAGCCTCTTGCTTCTGACCACCTCGCATCAGTCTATCAGTTTCAGTCCAACGTTTAGTTTCTACGTCTTTTCGCTTTTCGAACATCTACTTTGCCAGTATGAACCCTAACAATGCAGTTAGACCCGACTATACGCTACCAGAGTTCGAAGGAGAGCGGCAACAACTAGTAGACGAAGGATTATCCGAACAGCAGGCCGCTCGATCCTTAACGGCGTTATGGAACTTTAACAATAACGCGGAGAAGGCACGATGGGCAGATAGACAAGAACGTCTAGAAGAGGCTCGTCAACGAGCTGAAGAAGACAAAGCCCAGAGGCAACAAGACCTTAAAGACGAAGAGGAAGCAACTCGTTTAGAAGACAGGAAGAAGAACAAGAATAAGTATGCGCCTGTCAAACGCGGAAAAGTACCTTCCGACCCTACTATTCTCCCAGCGCAATACGCGACTAGGAGATTGAAAGCAGGAGATTACTGCGAGTTGCACTATTTTACCAACAAAGGCCTCGACAAGGCCAAAACTTCGGCCTTGATTGCTGAACCGGATGCGCTAGTGATGCTCCCAGCATCGGACGGAGTACACTCGTGGGTTCCCGCTGCAGCGGTCAAAGATCCCAAAGCAGCCCCCGTTACCAAAGACGAGAATCTTACATAGGAAGAGTTTAACGAAGCGGCCCCACGCATAATTTCTTTCATGAAAGTACATGACTGGCCGGACAACAGAGTCAACATGCACATCCAATTTTGGACGGCGCTACAAGCCCACCGCTGGCGCCACGTGCCAGATGTCCTCAAGCAGAAAGCTCTATTGCTCTACCAGTCGCAACAGCGTCGACGCTGGCACCTCACAGTAGGAACTGCTCAAGGTTGGAGTCTAGAAGAGATCAACCAAGACCTTTTATTCGAAGCAAGAGAGGAATTATTTAACGAGAAGCGAGACAAAGACACGGCTTTCGCAATACAGCAAGCAGCGGCAGTTTATTCAGCCAAAGCTTCGGAATCCCTACGCTCGCAACATGCAGCGTCAGTGCAACACGTGCAAGCATCCCAGAAGTGCCCTTTACCTCCTCCCGAAGAAACAACGGGTAGTAACAAAAAGGTATGCACTGATCGTGCTCCTCTTGCTTCCGGGCCCCACCCATGCTGTGCAGTATGCTTGGGACATCACTCGCACCGAATTATTGAGTGCGTGGCTGCCCGCACATGGGACAAGCAACATGAAACATTCTCAGAGCGCATCCGCAAGAGCCTGTGGACAAAGGATGGGAAACAACTCTGCACCGCATGGCAGCGCGAAGAAGGCTGCACCATACCCAGACACGATGCACGACACATCTGTTCAGGATGTGGAGACTCATCCCATGGAGCCCAGAAATGTGCTCGAGCACAGAAAGCAGAACCCACTAACACCGTATAAAGTAGAAGCTTGGGCGCATGAGTTAGATAAACTTGGACTCTCTGAACACTTTGCAAAGATACCCGAAGGTCTCCGTACCGGTTTCAAAATAGATTTCCCCTCTGTCACTCATGTACAAACCCCACCTAATAAATCCTCAATTGTCGAATTCGAATCCGAGTTTAACGCAATCATCCAGAAAGAGATCGACAAAGGGAGATATATTGGCCCCTTTGAAGCAGACGTCTTAGAACACCTAATTGGTCCTTTTCAAACCTCCCCTTTAGCTATCATTCCGAAACCCGGGAAACCAGGAAAATTTCGGATCATACAAAATTTCTCCTTCCCGCATTCTCCAAGTATGCTCTTCCCTAACCCATCAGTTAATTCATGTATAGACGCCAACGATTTCCCAACAACCTGGGGAAAATTCTCAATAATATATCATTTAATATCTACCCTCCCACCTGGTTCAGAAGCAGCGACCCGAGACATAGCAGAAGCGTATCAGACAGTCCCACTTCACCCTTCACAGTGGCCAGCAGGCGTAATCCGAACTTCAGACACTCAGTTTTGCATAGACACCTGCACGGCTTTTGGTGCCACACCATCAGCAGGAGTTTATGGACATGTAGCAGATGCCGGAACCGAGATCTTTCGAAACCGAGGAATCGGCCCCCTAGACAAATGGGTCGATGACCATATATTTTTCAGGATAAGGCGTGAATTCCTTGAAAGCTACAACATCAGCAGGGCATCATGGCACAAAGAATTCGCAAGAGCCGGAATGAAGCAGTCAGGCGGGCGGCTTTGGTTTGGCGAATTCTGCCAGATCAAAGGCCGAATGGAAGAATCTAGTGAAGACCATTCAAAACCTTTAAAAGATTTATCACACCGCTCGAACCGTTCAGCTCACGATGCTCTATTCACATTTTGCTTCCAGGACTTGGATGATATATCCGATCTGCTAGGTATCATTTGGGAGCGCCTAAAAGATCAGTGTTTCAACACCTCCACCGTTTATATAGGTTTCACCTGGGATTTGAAATGTATGGTAGTAGCTTTGAGTCCCGCTAAAGTGGAAAAATACCTCAAGGCCATTCACAAATGGAGGAAGAGACGTGCTCACATTCTCGAGGACGTACAAGAATTGTATGGTAAACTACTTCACGCGTGTGCGGCAGTGCCTCGAGGATGAGCTTACCTCACAAGCCTCGAGGACATGCTATCAACCAATGGAGCTAGACCGTTTCTGCCGCACAGAGTGGGAAAAACTGTAGGCGAAGATTTAGACTGGTGGACAGACCTTTTGCAATCAGGAGGAGTAGCGTGGGACATCTATCCTACGACCCAACTTCAGAACCCCCTAGCTTTCTCAGACGCAAGCTCAGGCATCGGGATAGGCATTGTTATAGGTAAATGCTGGAGAGCGTGGAGGCTAATACCAGGTTGGAAAACTCTCCATGGAAAACGAGACATTGGGTGGGCTGAAGCCATCAGCTTCGAGCTGCTTATCTATGCCCTCGCCTCTCTCCCAAACATTAGCGACAATGTTCTCATCCACAGAGACAACACCGGCGTGGTGGAAGGATGGTGGAAGCACAGACACCGCAACAGAGAGGTCAACGGAGTTTTTCGTAGGGTCCACGAATTCCTACACCATCTACCCAAGTGTCTCGACATTACAACAGCCTACATCCCAAGCGAGTTCAATCCCGCAGACGACCCTTCCAGAGGAATACTCGGACCCGCCCACCTTCTTCTCCCTCCCATCAGCCTTCCCACCGAACTTAATCAGTTCATCATCAATGCAACACTGCCACTATCACCCATCGAGGTACGGATGCTGCGAGAAGGAAGATACTCTGTTCCCGCAGCAAAGATCATCAATCACGCACTCCTCAGACAGCAGGCAGCAGAGCGGAACAAGGCCTACTGGACAGAAGAAGAAAGTTTCATTAACTGTGCGCTCAGAGACGAGTGACTACATGAGTCGCAAACATTTCGGAGCACCATTACCCGAGCCCCCATCAATGTCCATACCAACCCCTCAGAACTACAAACCAAACCTCACCCCTCATCCTTCCAGCTTGCGACCCCATTGTCTTGCATGCGAACAGTTTGATACTTTGGGTTCCAGTAGGAAGCAGCACCAGACAGTTAGCGTCATCAGCAGGAGACCCCAACACTCACGAAGTTTCAGACGAACAATTGAACCGCATCCTAGAAGTAATGGACTCAGTTTGGGCCCTATCGACGAAGGAAACCTATGGAGCAGGTCTTTTAGTATTCCACGTTTACTGCGATGTCAACGGCATAGAAGAAAGCACACGCTGCCCAGTCAGCTCCAGTCTTCTGCTCGAATTCTTATCCAGTTGTGCAGGCATGTACTCCGGATTAGCGCTAGCCAATTATGCAGCTGGCATCAAAGCCTGGCACTTGCTCCACGGCAGACCTTGGCTTGTCAGAGCGGGCGAACTCAAAGCAATGCTGGATGGAGCTACCGCACTCGCACCATCATCCTCTAAACTGGCCCAAAAGACAACCCATTACCCCAAATTTCCTGGCTTCTATCCGCAAACACCTAGATTTAAACAAGCCGCTCGACGCGGCGGTCTTTGCTTGTATGACTACAACTTTCTACTGTATAGCCAGAGTGGGAAAATTCACCGTTAGAATGGTCAAAGGTTTCGACCCGAAGAAACACATATCCAGGGCAGGAATGGCAGAAACAACAGACCGCAACGGCCTCCCAATAACCAAATTTTCACTTCCTAGCACAAAATCGTCCCCAGTAGTAGGCAAAGAAGCATACTGGGCAGCTCAAACCGGCCCATCAGACCCCAAAGCAGCTATGGAGAATCACATTAGAATCAACGCGGCCGAGCCAGGAGCGCATCTATTTGCATGGAAGCACGAAAAAGGTTTGCGACCTCTCTCAAAAACAGAGTTCGCAAAAAAAATGATGATAGCGGCAACCGCAGCAGGACTCTCCCACTTCAAAGGTCATGGTTTACGAATCGGAGGAACCTTAGAGTATCTCCTGCGGGGAGTACCGTTTGACGTCGTCAAAACAATGGGAAGGTGGTCAAGCAAAGCGTTCACCTTATACCTTCGAGACCACGCGAAGATCTTAGCACCCTATATCCAATCCTCACCCACGTTAGAACCATTCACGTGTTATACCATGCCACCAGTACGCTGAAGTCACACTGTATAAGTGAGTACAACTCCTTTTCTCCTGGGGCATCAAGCTTCGCTGCATGCATCGTAGTCCTCCTAATTTTCAGGAACACAGCTCACCATTGATACCTAGGCACGGACCCTGTTTCAGTCCGGAAAAGCCCTGCGGGCTTTTGCCCAAACATTCAATGACCTTTGCCTCGTTCTCGCATATCAATCTAGAATCTCACATCATTCCAACATCTATATCATTATTCTCAATAGTGTTAACGAAATAGTAACCACACCGTTCTGACTATTTCAACCACGATAACACTCAATCATCTAGACACGTAGCATTGCAGCACATAGACTCATACCCATCGGCAGGTGTGTAAGAGAGCCCACGGCATCCAGCCACAAACCAAACACAACCACATGAAATTTCTCCGACAATATACCAAAACTTTTTGGGCTACTTACACACCCAGCCGACTGGCAAAACTTGCAAGTGGCGCGAGCTTTGGTTGTGTTGATTGCGTTACATTTTCACTGATCTGTACATGTGACTCGATATATGTGACGGCGTCAATCGTGTACCTCGTTATTTAATTTTTATGAGGCTCATGAGAACTCATTGTGATGTTCGCCATGCTCGAAACACATGTCAATTAGTGATGTACAGGGCCGGGCCCAAATGTCAGGCTTACTAGGGCCTAGGGCCTGGCCTGTAGTTTGACTGGGCCTGAGCCCCAGCTTTTGACTTTGTAAAAAATCTGTGGCTGTCGGCCGATGTCAGAGATATAAACTATACAGTTTTAAATTTGGTCAAAAAGGAAGTATGTACCCATACCGTAAGTTGGTCATGTTCATTAATCATGTCGATCATCGTATCTGACGATGAGTCCACGTCAGGACATGTTGTGTGTTGGCCACAACGAAATGTGACACTTTCATCACGACTCACCGACACCAACAATGATGCAACTCCAGAGCTCTCAGCCACAGGAACAAGCCTCCTGTGCCTGCCATCAGTGCCCAAAAACCAGTACCAACCAGCAGCAAACGAGGAGCAAAGGATGCGGTACTAGATGAAAGTACATCTGACGAGGAGGGTGCTACTAGTATGGAAAATGGACCACATACAAGTAAGTTTTTTTGTACATCTCATCTCAAGACCACTCAGTTTGAACGTTGCAGGCAAACGGCTGCGCCGCATTGCAAGCACTGATGGTGAGGCATCGTTTACAGATGCTTCCAGCCCATCTCAGGCTGCAATTGATATTCCAGGTACGTATTTACATTATCATGTTCTATAACTACTGGTCAATGCTTCTAATCAACGGAAGATACTCCGAGCATGCGCAATGCAACACCCATGGACTCCGAAGGTTTTTTATCTGACATTTGTTACGACTTGGATGGTATCTGTTGGCGACGCTCAAACAGAGCTTGTGTCGACAACGGTCTGTGGACGTCCTTGGGCTAGCCCAAGGTTAGGGGTCATACTTGGCGTATCTTCGGCAAGTACGATTTAACGCCTATGTCCAAATCGGGTAGCTTATGTCACGCGGGTGCGAGACGATAAGCTAAATCGGCCTAGGCTTACGACACCCGAAGGTTAATCGTAAGGATCGTCGTTAATTAGAAGGACAGAAGTCCGACTAGTTAACAGGGGCTTTGCTCATCGACGAAGTCGATGAGTAAAGGTCGAGACTATAGGCTTATCCGCGAAGAGCAGATAAGAAGATAGAATATAGACTGCTGGCGAGGCAGAAGGATCACTCTGGTGAGAGTAGGAGGTCAAGAACCAAGTAGATTCAAGTTAGGGAATATGGTACATGGTAGCGAGTTTATATAGAGGACAGGAGACGTATTAGTGGATGATAACTCGTACTACCGGGAGAGGCAATCGGTAAAGGGTAAGACCATAACAGGAAGGCACATTCGGTTTAAGTAGAACGTGCTAGATAAGAAAGTGAGTCAAAGGTCGAATTGAGAAGTGAAACGCACAGGGGCACGATCGTGCAACTGCGGATCTAAGTATAAGTCGCATGTGCGACTGCGCACCGAGTCAGAGATCAGGAAAGGAAACAGGGCAAAGGGGATGCGTCGTGCATCATATCATAGGTTTACCGTCCGGACGGTAAGGGTAATGGGACTGTCCGCAGGATCAGTCAGGTGGTGAAATGGAGCATGGGTATGCTTCGTCAGCAAAAGGATCCGGCCAAATGTACTGGCTTTGCTGAAGCGACAGGTAGAGGGCGAAAGGGAATGCCAGGATGACGAGGATGACAAGGGTAAGGTCGGGGTAAGGGTATGATGCGAGGGCTGATACGAGGAGGATTAGGAGAAAAATGGTAGGAGCCCAGGCGTCTAGATGTTCTTGTAACAACATTGATGTACAAGACCTATCCGCAACCCCGACCATTCGACATGAGGAAAAGAGCCGCAACGTTAGCACTTTTTTCAGCAAGCCATATGCACACAAGGCCAAGGATGGGAAGACTCGTACAGTTCGAGACTGTGAGCCATGCAAGTAAGTAGATTCTTTGATTTGCTACCTCCCAACTAACAGATTCATAGAAAAAAACATTACCCATGCCAGATCGTTAGCGACACTTCAACGTGTCGCTGCCACATTGCCTTTCGGCATCCGGTAAGTTTAGTACTTGAATCTTGATGCTTCATTTGAGTATTAACATTTATATCAATGTTTATAGGATGCCTATTGACAATGGTGCAAAACTAACAACTTCAAGGGAGCATCCCTTCACCTTGCTTTGCCAGCTCTCGAGGCCCTACATAAGGCATGGTCGACACATTCTGAGAATCCCAAGTACGAGCAATTTCAGGAAGCCTTACAACAAGGTGTTGCAAAGATCCACGAGTATTACAACCAAAGTTTGGAGTGTGATGCATACATCATTGCAATGTGTAGGTGATGTGGCTTGTCATATTATTAATACTAACTCCTGGGCCTGTTGTATCTAGTACTCGACCCATCACAGAAGGACTCCCACATCAAACACTTTTGGGGCAAGGTCACACATGCTGAGGCTCTCAAGGAAGCCGAACAAATTGTAGGTTGTCTGTTTTTGAGTGAAAGTATAAGCTTACATCTAGACTAGTTTAAGGAAGAGCACATTAAATTGTATGGCGAGCATGGTGTTCCGTCGTCACTGAAGAAGAGATCAGGTAAGATATATGGACTTCTCCGAGAGCTTTCCAGTGATGAAGAGAGTGGTGATGACAAGCTGGAAGAGTCGGAGGTAGATCCACAGTTGCCATGGTTGAGGGAGTTCCACCTCTATCTTAACTCATGCACTTCAGTTCCTGATAACATGTCTATCATCTAATGGTGGGGGGTAAGTATCATTTCATGTGAACTGTATTATTACTGATGTAGCTTAATATTGTAGGTAAATGGTCAGCAGTACCCTGTTTGGGCCTCTCTTGCTCGTGATCACTTGTCCATCATGGCCACTTCTGTTTTGAGTGAGAGAGCATTTTCTGCTGCTGCTCTGACTGTCATGAAGCATCGCAACCGCTTGAAGGGTGATATAGTGGAAGCAATTCAAGTACTCATATGATGTTTCAACATGATTTAATATTTCAAGAGGCCCCTCCTTCTTCAGCTGTAGAATTAGCATTGGAGGAACTGGATGATAGAGAGGAGGGTGGCTGTGATGACAACATCATACTGTCAGGTGAATCAGATGTCAAGGATTAGGTCTCTAATTGATTAGGGTAGTAAAATAAAATCTTCATCTTACCTTAGAAGCCCTGGCCCAAGCCCTCCGAAAGGGCCTGGCCTGAGTTTCTTCAAGGACCAAGCCCTCTAAAGCCAGGCCCGAAGCATCACTAATGTCAATTGGCAGCTGCTTGTCTGCATACTGTGTTGAATATAATGCTGTATACCAACACCCAAATCCACGACTGATGGACCGTGAAATATGGCAAAAGCTGAACAATGTACTGCAGTGCTTCGAGGTCAACAACATGACCATCTCAGAGTTCATAGAACAACTTCTGCAAAGCATGGAGGAGGCCCACACATCAGCAAAGAATAATCTAGTGCAAAAAGGCTCGGAGATTTGCACTCACCTCTATCAGTATCCCAACACTCACACATCAATATCTTTGTGGGCATATGGAATCATGAGGTCGGCACTCAGTGCTGAGATCAAAGACCTAACATGAAAGGAGAACAGATTGCATTTCCATGCCAAATCTGTGACGACAGAGCAGCTAGAGAATTTGTTTATGCCTCAGCTTGCAGAAAAAATCAGAAGACACGCACCAACTGTTTGGAGATTAATATTCTCGCTTCTTGACACTTCAGATGAACAACGGAGCATGGGGAAAAGTACAGCCAATGACATAGTGATGGCAGAAGTGTTTGCGGATGTGGAGTGTGACCTCGGGGAGATTGGTGGTGATGATGGGGTAGATGAATCTACAATGTCAGATACAGGTGATGAACAAAGGAACAAGCCGAACGACTTACACAAGCATCCACCGAAACGGTCCCATGCTCAAGTAGAGGCAAGAAATATGACACTGCAGATAATCGTCAGTTTCATTCAATTGCAGTGATGCTCGTAGACTCATGCCCATACAGAAAACTGTTGTGTGCATCAGTATTATTCTGCAGAGCTCGAATGAAAGATGCAATTACTTACAAGGTCTCCTTGGCATATTCTTCCACTCCACAAGCGTCCCGCAGAAGGTTATCGATGTCCTGGCACATGCAGGCTTATCAATGAGCATTACATCAATCCACAATGCGATACACTCAATGTCCAAAGAAATTGCAGCCAACATCAAGCAAGGTATTCAATCACTCAAAGTGTCCTTTGCGTATGACAACTTTGACATCAATTTCAAAACATTGGAACCTACCATTGGTCATCGTTCGACGTTTGTCAGTGCAACATCTGCTACCTCATTGCCACTTGTAGGTGTTGACAACCCTGACATGCTACGCTGCTCAGCAGCATTATGGGCCACCGATTCTCATAACCCTGCACCTTCGACAACGGCTGTTGAAATCAATGAATTTGACATGCTAAAACATCACATCAATGACACTTACAGCAGGCCCAAACCAGGTGAACATATCAGTCCACGACTAACTGCCTTTGCCTGGCATGTATGAAATATTCTTGTCCACCATGGCCAGTACTTTGGATTGTTTGCGGAAAAACTAGGAGAGCTGGAATCAGTGCTACAGATACCTGTCACAAAGACGGATCAAATACCTTTCCGTTCCATGAGGATTAAGCAATTGACTGCTGACGGAAATATGGAGGTGATGGAGAACTTGCTGCGACAAGGAGGAATTGGAGATCCAACAAATAAGGATTTCGAATCTGCTGGAGATGTTGACATGTCAGAACACGTCTTACTCATTCATGGTGATTTACTCACCAAGGAACAGCTTGACACAGTTTGTGATACACAAAGAATTGAGAGCACACCAAAAAATAGATTTCAGTATATCATCTTCTTGCCCAGGTTATTTCACTACAAAATGGCATGCACAGACGTAATATGGAGGACATACCTTCAACCTAAAGAAGGCCGAGATGACTCAAATAGCATGTTCCAGCATGTAGGCATCTTGCAACCACAAGAGACAGGGCGGATATCCACAAAACCTGGTTTCAGATGCATGCATGACATTGTAATGATGGTTGTGGCGCTGGGCTTGGAACCAGGCAATCCAACACCTACGTCCATACCATTCTCCAACCTCCCTTGACCTTCCGAAGGCCGCACGCACTTGTCTGAACCTTCCGCAGGCAGTTCTTGCGTTCTGAGGCCCATCTGAACCTCATGAGTTACCATACCATGTCCTATCCTCATCCTTTTGACTTCGCTGGTGTGTTTTCCCTTATTCTAATTATATGTTGACTACGTCTTAGTGCTACATGGATAAATTCTATTGGCATCCTGTTGGGAGCCTCAGAATATGTATAAACAGTATGCATTGCGGCTTATTACATGTATACTTGCATTTCTGCTTGCCTCGCAGCTTATTACATAGGTTTGGACTTGCTTATCTCACTACTAGTTTCGCCTATGGATTCTGGTCTCTCACGGAAGTAGGATATAATCTCACTCGCTGGCTACTGATACTTCACTTCACTTCCTGTACTTCGAGTCATAATTAGTAGAGTCACCTCGGTATAATTGTAACTGCGCAATCAATCTTTGTTCATTTGGAACAATTGTTTGGCTAGACCGCTGCCAATTTTGCACTTCATTTATTCTCGAGTTCCGATAGATTAGTGTCATTCTGGACTTCAGACGTTTTGCAAAGTCTTATACTGTTATTCGACACACCGACATACCAACATATATTGATCTTCGGACAGCTTTCACAAATCTCAGAAGGCATCACACTACTTCGGACAACACTTTCGCAGCTTCAGACGACTTTCGGTCACATCAGACAAGTTCCTCGGTACTTCAGACGTAGTCTCGGAACTCCAGACGGACATTAAAGAGGTTTACTTCCAATATCTTGTCTACTCTTTGACTGTATAAGATTTCCCTTGCATTATCAAGGTAGTTCTTTAGGTTGTCTCTTGGGACAAAGCATACTCGCATCTCTCAGGACTAGGGACTCACATTCTGTAGAGCCCAGCCCAGATCTACTCTTTACAACATCATACACCATGACCTGCATGCATTGATTCTTGAATGCTGGCACCTCGAAGCACAGTTAAGACAGCCAGTCGAATGGCAAACACTGGAGAAGTTTGGAAAATCGGAGGTGGAGTGGGATCTCCTTGTAGAGATGTCTGAAGTGATTGTTCACAAGTATGTCGCAACATCAGGCAAGCTTGGTGAACTATGTACCAGACCAGTTAGTGAACAGGACCAGCAATTTGAAAACCAATGTCTTCGGAATCGGGATCAGCTACTCTATGTCGATATCTGCCAGGCCATGAATGCTGGTGATATCGGACAAGTTGAGGCATCTTTCCTACCATGGATCTACATATTTTGTGTGACCGGCAAGCATAAGTATGCGGCACAAATCAACAAATTTTCAATGAACTTACAATACACATATCCCAAAGACCTTTGGTAAGCAAACCATCCCGTTGTGCCCTAAAATCAACAAGTTAATCACAACAATGTAGTAACATAATACATCTCAACTTACTTTGCAATCCTATGGGAAAGTCCAATGCTTTTTGAGCTGTGGATTGGTTAGTAGAGCGAAACAATCTGTACACAAAGGTGGTGGTTTTGAGTGGCAGTATTACTGTATCGTCCTCATGCATTCGGCAGGTCATTTTTGCAGGTACAGGTCCGAACCACACAATTGACCACATCATCAAACAATTGCCATTGATCAAGGTGTTCTGCAACTGCCACATCATCATGGAGAACACATTCTACCTAAAAAACCGAACCATACGGCAGACACACCCACACATGACAACCACCATTGAGAAGCTTCGATCATATATCCAGTCGACATCAGCATATATACCACAAGGCAAGAGTGCAAAGCGAGTTATTGAAGACCAGATTGTGGTTAGAATGAAGCTAATACAGCAGAAAAAAGTTAGCCAAACAATGTCCAGCGAAGAGTGCTATGAAGCAGAGCCAGAGGATTTTCAACTAACCTTCAGACGGTGCCATATTTTTATTGTTTGACCGGCCACCTCTTTGCTGCTTAGGTACATACTTCGGACACAGATGGTTTGATGCTAGAATATAGTTCAGTACTTGTACGAGTGCAAAAACACCAGGAACATACCAATATGTCCTGTCTGGCCACATGCACGACATGTTGACGGCTTTTTGTGATGTGGTTGCTGGTTGAGATTGTGAGCAGTGGAGAGAGGTGGATTATCGGTGTCTTAATAACTGAGGGTCTTATATAAAGTCGTGTAAATGTAATGACACCAAAATTACACTTTGGATAAGACTGCTTGCCAGTCCTCAATTAACATGGTCTACAACTTTTCCTATTTCGTGGTAGATAACGTGTGAGTTCTTGGGAGGATTGCTAAACTAATCTTTTTATAAAGATCAACCTAGCTGGAGCTTTACTTTTCTTTATTGAAACTCAAATCTCTTGTCTAGGAATAAGCTTCTAGACACGTAATTCGGTTTCTGGAATGTATTTGCCTAGGAAATCTCCTTCTAGGCTCTGGACTTGGATACTGGAACTAGTAAGACGTGGTCTCAAATATACGAAATATGACCAAGATCACTTGGTCTATGGACACCTGACTGTGAGACAATGGTCTCAAATATACGATATATGTTCAAGATCGCTTGGTCTATGGGACAACTAGTGAGACGTGGTCTCAACAATATGATAGATGACTAAGATCGCTTAGTCAAAGGGTACAGAGCAATGAGACAAAGGGGTTTCAAAGACAATATATGTGACCAAGAACACTTGGTTTATAGCACTAAATAAGTTTTTAATGTAAGAACTTTATAATTTCAAGGGAATTCTTTTCCCTGCACTTGTCTCACTTCAAAAGGACTAACTTTGCAAGTGAAATATCTGATAGGCAGATAGCTACAAATGGGAGATCATATTTTTTGGGGGAGAATGAGCTCTCCTTATATACATTTTGTGTGGGAAAGTAACCTAGGTTCACAAACAATAAAAACTAAGGAGGACCAATCAAAATATTGGGTCAAACCCAATAAAAGAATAAAATACAAGTGAAAGATGGAGCTATGACATCATTATGGAGCAGAACATTCTGGAATGTGGAGTAATGACATCATAATGACATCAAGAGTGACATCATTGTGGAGCAAAAGATTCCAGAACCTTCCATGAATGAGTCAGAGTGAGTCATTGTGGAGCAGGGCAAAGGGGATGCGGCATGCATTGTATCATAGGTTACCATCCGGACAGTAAGGGTAAAGGGGACTGTCCACAGGATCAGTCAATGGGTGGAACAGAGCATGGGTATGCTTCATCAGAGAAAGGGTCCGGCCAGATGTACTGGCTTTGCTAGAGCAACAGGTAGAGGGCAAAGGGGAATGCGAGGATGACGAGGATAACAAGAGCAAGGTTGGGGTAAGGGTGTGATGCAAGGGCGAAGATGAGGAGGATGAGGAGAAAAATGGTAGGGGCCCAAGCATCTAGATGTTCTTGTAACAGACAATGTCAAATATTTGAGAGCCCCATCAGTCACAGTAGCACCAGTTGGCTTGATCATGAATTGAGGAAACACTGTCAATCTTGCAGAAATAAGCTAAATCAATGATGCGGTTTAAAATCTCATCTGCCATTATCAGCTGCACACCAAAAAAGTTGTTGCCACCTGCACCAATCTCTATCAACTGCTGTCTTTGCCACTCCCGCAATTCATCTCTCAATGCAAAGTCTCCAGGGCCCATTTGATAATCAGACATCTTGAGTCTATTTGGTGCTTGAGTTTGCTTGGGTGGGTGTGTGGTAGGCGCAGGAAGGATGAAGGAGCCGATATGACACGAGTCACAGCACAGACAGGAAGGTTTAATAATACAACACACACAGCCAGGATGACACACCAGGGATCTGCTGGTGTCTATACAATTGTTAATGAACGTCACAAGTAGTCACATGGATTATTAAATACGTACTTAAGCAGTTGGTGATCTTGGGATTGTCAAAATATTCATCTGAGACACTGTGATGGCAGAATCCATGAGCTCGAGCATTGATGTAGGCATCCATTGCAGCAGCCTCATACTCTTCATTATTAAGGCCCTTTGGAAGAATTGCTTGAATGGTATGTTGGAGATTTCTCATATCCGGATTTCCACCTTCCATCCGGTTCCCCACACTCGCTTCATGTGTGATACTTGTCAATTTCTGCTTCTTCCGGCTACTTCCATCACTATCATCAACTTGTTTTCATTTTGCTGTGCATGCGTTGGCTCTCGCTTGTGTCTTCTCTTTCTGATGATCAATGTACTGCGGCTCAACTAGATAAATCCCAGTCACTTCTGTGGAGATATCTTGTGCTGCTCTCCCTAAGCATTGCCAGAGTGTGCAAAGTGACGAGGTATATTTCCACTGGATTACTAGCGCAATGTCACGAAGGTCAAGACCCTGTAAGATATCAGCTTTGCATGCATGTTTAATTGTAATGACCAGCCATACTAGCAGCATCTGTGCAAAAGATACCCCATATTTCTCCTTGCCGAAGGTTCTCGATCATCTCAGCTCGAAAATTTGCACTCATGCCCAAATGAAACCAGACTAGCTTGTTGGCCATGCTTGATGGTGCTTCTGACCGTGCAAATTCACACAATTGTTCCGTCTCCTTGCGCTCATTGCAAAATACCATGAATTTTGGAGGAGGTGAGTCACCATCGAACTTGAGGACACATTTTAAGTCATGCATGCTGTTTAAAGGGTCCAGCATCCTGATAACCATTAAATGGATGTTTGGACGGTCATTGGTGCGACGTCATTCTGTTGTTTGATGGTCGTGCATCTGAAGAATGGACTTGACATCATGTAGTACATGTTGTGGCAGTGTGGCAGATGCTACATGAAACATGACATGCGGAGGTACTAGCCAATGAAGTCAACCAAGCTCAGCATAGGAGGGGCGAAAGTCACCACCCCATTGGCTGACACAATGTGCCTCATCAAAGGTAATGCTGAAAAGTTTGTTGACAAATTGTGGTGTCTTCCACAAGGTATTGAAGTGACGGTCCGACAATATTCTCTCGGGGCTGATGATTACAACACAAAACTTCCAAGTGGCAATATCCTGTTTGATGTGTAAAGGTAAGTCAGAATATTCAAATTCTGATTTATATCTCACCTCGAATGTTGCATCTGTTGCTGTTGCGGCAGAAAGATTCACCACAGGGATCTGAACTTGTTGTAACTCTGTGACATTCTTTTCTCCAAGAATTGTGAGTGGAGTGATCAGAATAGTGATGCCACCATTGTTGAACAAGAGAGGCATCCAGAATGTGAGTGTTTTTCCAGACCCTGTAGGTGACAAAGTGACAATGTCTCTCTGTTTCAGCTGTGCTTGAGCAGACTGCACTTGCCAATTACAAGGTATGAAGCCAAAATGTTCTTGGACCGTGGTGTGCATAGTGGCTATTGACGGTATGTCATAGTTTAGGGGGAGCGAAGCCATCACTGACGCAGCAGTACTGTGCAAAAGATAGCCTCAATAAAAAAATAAATATTGCAGTACACGATTGACGCTGTCACATATATCGAGTCACATGTACAGATCAGTGAAAATGTAATGCAATCAACACAACCAAAGCTCGTGCCACTTGCAAGTTTTGCCAGTCAGCTGGGTGTGTAAGTAGCCCAAAAAGTTTCGGTATATCATTGGAGAAATTTCATGTGGTCGTGTTTGGTTTGTGGCTGGATGCTGTGGGCTCTCTTACACACCCATCGATGGGTAGGAGTCTGAGTCTGACACAAGTTTAACATCGAACTCTGTTTTATTTCAATGGCTCAGTTGTTCTCATGCATCTCACCTCATCAAGTTTTGAGTAATGTGTTGTAACTACTGAATGTCAACATGCAATGTTCGTGAACGTCGATCCAATGGCTCAGAATTTGTAAGTAGGCTAGGCCGCAGTGTTTCTAGCGCCAGTGGCCAGCCACTGACTAGCCTGGAAAACAGGTTTGGCTTAGCCACTGGCGGTACGACAGCGGTTGGCTTTTCCCAGGAGCAACAAAGCTTACTAAGCTGGAAGAACACAATATCATTGGCTGGTGATAAAGGCTAGATTGTACTACTCATCATGTCATCGAACATTTGCTCATCATCTTCACCTTCCGCATCCATGTCGACTAACTCATAAAACTCGAATTCATCATCAATTGATCTCATCCCAAATGCTTCAGTCATTTTTACCCAGCTCTCGTCTTCGAAGTTGAAAAGTTGTTGAAGGGGGATATCATGAATGCAAACCCCACGTCTATGGGGTCCTCATCTTCCAACGAGCACTGTGCGAGAATGGATGCAATGTGCCCAAGTGAGTGGTCATCATCAGTGGTGTCTCCATCCTGTGTTTCTGGCTGCTCAGACTCTGATGATAGATCATCAGGAACAGAGTCCAAGTCTGCAGGAGTTATAGTCACAATGGCTGGTGGGGGTAGTGGGTCGGGGATGATTTTCCTTATGCGACGCAGACGGCCCTTTTTATCCCCCATCTGCATATACTCATCTCGCAAATGCAAGCACAATTCTGCCAAGTCTGTGAGGCCTTTAAGACCGAGACGTGAACGAAGTTTTGTGAGTACTGTGCCAAAAAGACTAAAAAGACGTTCACAAAAGGCCGAATTTGCGCAGATCGAAAAAATTCGCTGAGCGAATTTCTGCAATGGTGTTGGCTCAACATCTTGAAAATGTATACCGTCGTACATCTTGAGAGGGTCGGGACATTTTCGCTACAGAATGTTATGAGTGACGAGAAAAATAGTTATAGACAGATTAAACATGCCTCAACCTCAGCCGCACTTCGAACCAAGTCCACCCAATTTATAAATTCTTCGCCATAGTCCCCATGTCCTTCTAGATACTCTAAGAACTCCTTTCAAAACTTGTCGGAGGGTGTGTTAGGGAAAAATCGACCCCATAACTTGACAAATAATGTCATGAGTCCTGCATTGGTAAATTTGCGAAGGCGAGCAAAGGGCTTGATCCTGTAAAGAGGGTTCAAAACAACTACAGCTAGAAATACATCTTGATCACATTTGCTCCAACACTTTTCGAGAGAATCAATGATAGCCTGAATCATCGAATTTTCTCCGACTGATGAAGCCTTCCCTTGTAGCACAGTATATCTTGATATTAGAAAGCCGAAAATGATCAAAACTTCATTGAGATGACAGTGTGCGGCCTGAGCAATGTTGATTACCAATGATAAGGGCTGCAGGTGACTGACCATCCTATGAAAATTTCGATTCAGCTGATACTCAATGAAAAAGGAATGATTTTTTTACTGAGCCAGGGTCATCCACATCACTGGGTCTTCAATCAATCCCAGCATCTCCCTTGCCTTTTTTCGTGAGGCAGCATCACCCGTAACTATTTTTGAATCCTGTTCGAGACTTTTCTCCTGCCTGACGAGAATGTCGAGTGCAAATTTAAGATCAAGAAGTGGTCTGAAGGCAAGATAATGAGCAGTCCATCTGGTCAAAACTGCACGGATTACAGTGAGGACACAATTAGGATGGGATGAGTTAGTTGAATTGAGGGCAACTTGGATATCTCTTAGTGTTGCTAGAACAAGTGTCTTGCTTCGAAGCCAAGAAATGAGGTCAGATGCTTTCTTTGAGTATCCCAGGTAAACCGTGCCACCAGATGACTTGAAATAGTCACCAACAATAAGATTTATCTTTGCGACAGTAGTATTAATAATTCAGAGTGACAAACAAGACACTGGACATAATTACCTGGTGAGCATAGCAATCTGCAGATACTAATGATTGAAATTCCTTGACAAGCTGTTTTCGAGCTGCCCAAGACTCGCCTGATGCATCTGATGTAACAGCAACAATATTTGCCTTCCAGTTGAGTTGAACCTCTTCAATAACACTGATCATAAGAAGTTTGAGGTGTTGTCACGAGTACCTTTAACAAACCATTATTCTTTCCTGAACCTCCCTAAGCGCCAATACACAGCGTCTAAGGCTAACCCTAAACCTACCCTGAAAGCGTCTATCATTCCCGAAATACCTTTAGCGCCCACAACACGTGTCTTCGATGTGACTGATGAAGAAGACGAGTTCTTTGATTGTGAATAGATTAGATTAGATACGATAAGATAAGATACGGTCACGTGATGCTTCTTTAATATTCTACGATGTTCTATGGTACGATTCCCTTTCTCTTTTTATGATTGGCTAGTAGTTGTAACTCAGTTTCAATCTCCGTCTCAATAGTTGTATATAGGTAGCATGTCTTGGTCGATAGTTCCTTAGTTCAAACCTCTTGTATCTACAACTGTAGCAATCCAAGACGTACTTGCTCATCGTCCTCTTCGTCCGATAACCTTCGTTTGAGTCCTAGTCTCTGCCCAGCGTTAATTCGTTATTGGGTTGTGACATTAGGTTTGAACTATAGGAGACTCCGACTCTTTGCACACCGCTCGCACATCTCTCATCATCATTACACGTTTTCCATTGCCCGACCTAAACAGTCGCGACCATTTTCTGAAACCCATCCTTTTGCTCGCTTGAGCTTTTTACGAATAGTCTTTTGTAGTTAGTAGTCCTATACCAGGCCCTGCCTTACATTGCAGCCGCCAGTATACGGAGGTGTTGACGACATTAGGTGTCTCGCTACAACTTTGAGTGCTGGCCCAAAACCCTGCCTGCTCAACGTTACTATAGTTGCTTTCATACCTACACCTTTTTTCATACATACGTAGAACCTTTCGTTAAGTCTAGTGGAACTGTCGCATCTGCGGATAGTCCTACCATCGTTACCACGAGGATTTAGATACGGGATTCTAGTGAGACTCGCACTTGTAAGCTTCGGCTGGAAGAGTGATAACTTGTCCTAGACCTGTACCCTTTCGGTGACTGAGAAGTAGCACACACGAAGCACACAGTGTTTTTCCCACTTAACAAAGTGTAGCTTTACGTACTCCTTTTTAGTTAGTAATTAGGGAAGTGTCAGTCGGGTTAACTAAAGAACCCTTTGACCCTAAAGGACGAGGTTGATCCAGTTAGTACTGGGGACCCCTTTAGCTTTCCATTTACATATCCTTTTTCCCTCTCCCCTTTTCATCATCTTTCCTATCCGGAAGAGCCGTTACGACCCGCTCTTCAACAGTCATTAGTGAATCGGATTCCAGAACGCACCTGGCACTATGGCTGAAGTCAACGAGACAGAAATGGGACCGGAGAACCCTCAAGAACCCCAAGAGGAACCGGGACCACAAGGCATTGCTATGCCAATAGAGTTCACCAACTACGTACAAAATGCTATTCAAATGGCAACACACGAACTGTACGTAAGGACACAAGAACTCCTTAACCACAACAACACTCTTCGAGCACAGAATGCGACTCAGGAGCTTCAACTCAGGACCCAAAACTCGCAAATAGAGGAACTGAAGAAGAAGCTTGAGAGATTTGCACAATCCCCGAATACTTCGCAAGTCAAATTGTCGAAGCCCACAGAATTCACTGGAGACAAAGATTCGATCTCCATAGAAGTCTACACCACTCAGTTGGCACTATACATGTCACAATGGCCACTGATCACAGACAGGCAGAAGATTACAACTGCCCTGTCTTTTCCTCAAAGGATCTGCTGCTAAATGGGCGCAGAAATACTGTATTGAGCTTGACTCCAAGCCAATATCCTTTGAGGACTGGACGAAAGAATTCGAAACCATGTGGGGCCAAGACTGACAGAGAAGGAAAGGCTATCAGGGAGTTGGAAACCCTGAAGCAAGGATCTTCATCAGTGCCTGAATACGCAGCAGCTTTCAAGCAGAAGGCTGCACTCACTAAATACTCCGACTACGACCTTCGCCTTAAATTCCGATCTGGCCTACAAACCCGGATCAAGGAGCAACTCGCTCATATCCCAGCGTCTGAAAAAGACACCCTTAGGAAGCTCATCGATTACTCCATACAGATTGGACGTAACTACGAAGAGCTAGACGCTGAAAAGAAGAAGAGTAATTGGTGGACCCCTAACAAGGAAACCCCAAGAACCTTCAATAACCAAAGGCAGGCTGGTCCTAGCAAAGACAGTGACACTATGGATGTGGACTCCGGCAAGCAGAGGGGATCTCCCAAACCCCAAGGAAAGCCTGGCGCTTTCACCTGCTACCGCTGTGGAGAACAAGGCCACATAGCGAGAAACTGTAAAGGTGCGCCAAAAGCGCAAGTCAAAGCGGCTGCAGTTGTCGAAGAAAACTCCGCGCCGAAGTGGTTCACAGATTGGATCGCTTCTAACAAAGGCAAGGATTTTTAAAGGAGTTGAAGTCAAAGTCTGCAGACCTAGACCCGAACAATTGTTTCTCTATTCTTTCTACGTTTCAAGATGTATCAGAAGTAGATATTAGATCCAAATCTGAGCATTTTTATATTCCGATAACGTTGAAAGGAAAGAACCGACAAGCAGACGTAAAAGCACTTGTGGATTGCGGTGCATCAACATTATTTATCAGTGAGAAGTTTGTTGAGAAAGAACAGTGTGAAATGCCGTAAATTATTAAGGCCTATTTCAGTTCAGGAACATTGATGGATCGCTAAATGCCGCTGGATCAATGACTCATTTTGCAGAACTAGGTCTAAAGATTGGTGATCATGAAGAAGAGAAAGCAGCCTTCATGGTTACAGACTTAGGAAGCGATGATGTTATTATCGGCATAGATTGGCTGAGATATCATAATCCAGAGATTGACTGGAATGCAGGACGATTTGCACTTTCTCGATGCCCTGTAAAATGTGAAACTAAAAAAGAAAGAAGACAAAAAAAGAAAGAAAAGAAAAAAGAACAAAAAAAGATAGATGATGTACCTGATCTGATTCCTACGGACGATGAAGACGAGGATGAAGAAGATATGTCGATGAAGAGGGCGACGGTTGAGGAAATAGAAGACGAAGAAAGTCCAGAGAGACTATGGATTCATTATAAAGCCTCGGTTGCCACGGAGCAGAAAGTAGCAGAAGAAGCTACTAAGAAGAAGCAGTCGGTAGAAGAAATGGTACCTGACTGGCTTCATGATTACCTGGGAGTTTTCTCAGAAGAAGAATCTAAGCGCTTCCCTGAAAGAAAGAAGTGGGATCATGCGATAGATCTTAAAGATGAGGGCGATCTTCCGCCAAATGCGAAACCTTATCCGTTATCACCCAAAGAGATGGATACATTGAAAGAATGGTTAAAAACCGAGACTGCACTGGGACGTATCAGAAATTCACAATCTCCAGTAGCAGCACCTTTCTTCTTTGTGGCCAAAAAAGATGGCAAGTTAAGACCGGTGATGGACTATAGAAAGCTCAATGAGAAAACGGTGAAAAATGCATATCCGCTACCGAGATCTCAAGATTTAATTGACACTTTAACCGGTGCCACGATGTACTCCAAGATGGATGTACGATGGGGATACAATAATATTCGCATGAAAGAAGGAGATGAGTGGAAGGCGGCCTTCAAAACGCTGTTTGGTCACCACGAACCGACCGTGATGTATTTTGGACTCACGAACTCGCCTGCAACCTTCCAAACTATGATGAATGAAATTCTGAGAGACCTAATAGATGGCAAAACAGTAGTCGTCTACATTGATGACATAATGGTCTTTACGAATGGAAATAGGGAGCAGCACCGAAAGGTGGTACGAGAAGTCCTGAAACGGTTGAAGGAGAACGACCTGTTCTTGAAGCCTGAGAAATGTAGCTTCGAACAATCTAAAGTCGAGTTCCTCGGATTGATCGTGGAAGAAGGCAATGTGTCGATGGACCCTGTGAAAGTAGAAGGAGTATTGAAATGGCCTGTTCCCAAATGCGTAAAAGATATCCAAGCATTCATGGGCTTTGCCAACTTCTATCGAAGGTTCATACTTGGGTTCTCAGATATAGCCAGACCAATGAATGATCTGCTAAGAAAAGATGTCAAATGGGACTGGACGGAGAAGCAACAGAAAGCTTTTGATGAACTTAAGAAACAGTTTCACAGAAGCTCCCGTTCTAGTCATGCCAGATGTTGAGAAGAAAAAGAAAATAGAGACCGATGCTTCAGATTACGCAACAGGAGCGGTTCTCTCTCTACTGATGGAAGATGGATTATGGCATCCAGTAGCATATTACTCTAAGTCAATGAATGATGCGGAAAGAAATTACGACATTCATGATAAAGAGTTATTAGCGATCATTAGAGCGTTGGAAGAGTGGAGGCACTATGTGCAGGGAGCACCTCACCCGGTTGAAATATGGACAGATCATAAGAACCTAGAATATTTCATGACGAGTCAAAAGTTGACCAGAAGGCAAGCTAGATGGAGTCTTTTCCTAGCGGAGTATGAATTTACACTCCAACACAAGCCTGGTGTGGTTAATGACAAAGCAGACCGTCTTTCTCGGAGATCAGACCATAGAGGGGGGGTAGAAAACGATAACTCAGATCGCATCCTTTTGAAACCGGAATTCTTTACCGTAAAAGCTGCTAAAAGAGGTCAAGTTTTGGTGCATGGAGAGAAACATTTACTCCAAAAGATACGAAAATGCACAGAACGAGAACCTGAAGTCGCTAAAGCATTAGAAACGCTAAAAGCAGCACCGGTTCAATTGCGTAGAGGAATCGAAGAGTGGAATGTGGAAGATGGATTGGTGTTATTCCGAGGATTAGTTTACGTTCCAAATGACAAAGAGATCCGCCGAGAAATATTGGAGTTGTTTCACGACTCTCCACCGGCTGGACATCCTGGACGAGCTAAAACCTTGGAATTGATTTCCAGAAACTATTGGTGGCCTTCAATGACGAAGTATGTCCACGATTACGTAGATGGTTGCGATAGGTGCAAACAAACGAAAGTGCTTCCGAGTAAACCAACGGGGCCTTTACAGCCAAATGAAGTTCCGGAAGGACCTTGGCAGACAATCACCTGTGACCTAATAGTGGATTTACCAAAGAGTGAAGGGTGTGATAGCATTTTTGTAGTCGTTGATCGATTTTCGAAACAAGCACACTTCATTCCCACCACCAAAGACATAGACTCGAAGGGTATTTCCGAGCTATTTCTGAAGAATGTATGGAAACATCACGGAACACCGAAGAAAGTGATCTCAGATAGAGGAACTCAGTTCATATCAAAGTTCATGGGACAAATGTCAAAAAGATTAGGAACAAAATGGTCTGCGTCGACCTCCTATCATCCCAGAACCGATGGACAGACTGAACGCGTAAACCAAGAAGTAGAACAATATTTGCGCATGTTCACGTCATATAGACAGAATGATTGGGTATCTTGGCTGCCGATAGCAGAGTTTTCACACAACAATGCAGTCACAGTAACCGGTCACAGTCCATTCAAAGTTCTCTATGGGTATAACCCAGATTTCACGATCCATCCAAACTCTATGTCCATAATCCCCGCCGCCGATGAGAGAGTTGATCAGATGAAAGAAGCGAGAGATGATGCCGAAAATACTCTGAAAATGGTTAATGAGCGTATGAAGCGTTTCTACGACAAAAGAGTAAAAGAAGCACCTCAGTATAAGATAGGAGACAAGGTCTGGCTTGACGCAAAGAATCTTAAACAACGTCGTCCAAGTCAAAAACTGTCAGATCGTCGTCTAGGTCCCTTCGAAATACTAGAGAAGATTGGTGAAGTGAACTACAAGTTGAAATTGCCAGAAAAATATCAGATTCACCCGGTTTTCCACGTAGAATTGCTTACGCCATATCACGCATCTCGATTAATTCCTCATCCTCCTCCCAACCGACCACCTCCAGAATTGATTGACGATCGGGAAGAATTTGCTGTAGAAGAAGTACTAGATAGACGATTGTTCCGAGGAAAGCTGCAATACCTAGTGAAATGGGAAGGATACTCAAAGGAAGAGTCATCTTGGGAGCCAGAAGAAAATTTGAAGAACGCCCCAATTCCTTTAGCGGAGTTCCATAAGAAGAATCCCACGGCTGCAGCCGGAAAATACCGAAGAATCAAAGGCTCAGTACTGTTTACGGAAGATTTCAAAAGATGGAGAGAAAAGAATATCCGACCTTCATTCGTTCGTGATGACACTCACCTTAGAGAGGGGGTAATGTCACGAGTACCTTTAACAAACCATTATTCTTTCCTGAACCTTCCTAAGCGCCAATACACAGCGTCTAAGGCTAACCCTAAACCTACCCTGAAAGCGTCTATCATTCCCGAAATACCTTTAGCGCCCACAACACGTGTCTTCGATGTGACTGATGAAGAAGACAAGTTCTTTGATTATGAATAGATTAGATTAGATACGATAAGATAAGATACGGTCACGTGATGCTTCTTTAATATTCTACGATGTTCTATGGTACGATTCCCTTTCTCTTTTTATGATTGGCTAGTAGTTGTAACTCAGTTTCAATCTCCGTCTCAATAGTTGTATATAGGTAGCATGTCTTGGTCGATAGTTCCTTAGTTCAAACCTCTTGTATCTACAACTGTAGCAATCCAAGACGTACTTGCTCATCGTCCTCTTCGTCCGATAACCTTCATTTGAGTCCTAGTCTCTGCCCAGCGTTAATTCATTATTGGGTTGTGACAGGTGTTGGGCAGTTTTGTGCTGAGCAGATACATCTACTACTCGAACCATGTGGACCTGATTTTTCTGAATCACTATAGGTAAACTTCAAACAGTTAAAATAGTCTTGCCTGTCAACTTGCTGTTGTGATCATAAATGCCAGCAGGTAGCAAAAATTTACACCCATCCATCCATCTGTCTGGAGCGTCACATCACTTCCACAGCAGCAGTTTTTGGCGGCTTACTGGTACTTTTCGACTTCATGTGGGATAATGCAATTGGAGAGTTGATAACTCGAGATTGAATTTGCGAAGGGGAAAAACTTGTTCATGAATCTACAAACTGCTTGATTTTCAATCCAATTAAGGGAGAACCCGCATGATGTAGTGATGTTGGCAATATGAGTCTCTAAGTGTTCCTGAAAAGCTGGTGTCCAGTGCGGCCGTGAAGGAGTGCCTCCACCTGTAGTTGGGGTATCTACTATCATGTGATTCCGAGGCTGCGATATCTGCCACACTCATTTTAATGGGGCCGGCCAGGATCCTTTACCAAATGCTGGACTACTGGTACAAGATGAGGCAGGGGGGAATAATAGTAGTGACTGAGACCATGAGGATGGGTTACTTGAATCTGGTGGAACATCAAACAATCCGACAAGTGGAGAAGGCAACTGCAACAATTGTTGAATATACATGGGTGAATCAAGACCGAGGCTGGTTCCCAGTAATTGTGGTGAATTCAAACTAATAATCTCATGATTGGATCTTGGTGCTTTGATCCACCCCCTTTCGATACACACAGTGTGTGCCTGTGCATGGACTTCTGGTGGTTGATTATCACAAGAATTGAGATGTGGGACTATGGTATCAGGTCATCCATGCATCCATGGACAATTTCAGTCTCTGATGAGACTCTCTGATCGTGACCACACTGAAAAATATAACCAACAGAACTTCTGCAAGTAGTATTGAGATACTTACAATATGCGATAATTTGATCATGTGTTTGCACATCATTTCGCAGGCCTTGGCGCTGCTCCTCGCGATCCTTCTGCTGCTCGTCAATCGTTTTTTTAATCTTGCAGGCTCCACACATCACTTTCGGTCGTCTCTCTTTCTCGTTTGCATAGGCCACAGGGAGTTTCTTCTCAAAATCTGGGTGGGTATCAAAATATCCCCACCACCAGTCTTTGGGCTTTTTGTTGCTCATTCTAAAAGCTGGGAGTGGGTAGCACACGATGTTGCGTGGAGGTGATAGCGCACATTGATATTGCCATCGATAAAACTGATCTACGAGACTCCATACAGATGGGAACTACCTTCTATTTCGGGTATTTCGCCAGAACACTGCCACTGGCTGTAGCCTGGGGCTAGCCCATAGGCTTCACACGTCTTACGGTTGGCTCGCCACTGGCGGTAGAAACACTGGTTGGCACCGAACGAAATATTTTCGAAACGCGATTTCGTGGACCTTTCCGCAGGCGAACAGAGTATCGTTCTGTTGATGCGGGCACTTGTGAGCCACCCCCAACTTGTTTTGCTGGACGAAGTTTGGAGTGGGATGGACGAAAATATGGTCCGCGCTGCGAGGCGCCATCTTTGCGAGGGAGGCGTTGGATCTGACCAAGCAGTAGTGGTTATCAGCCACTGGGAGGAAGAGGTGCCTTGGACATTACGAGATGGTTTGAGAAGATTTAAATTAGATGATGGGGAAGGACAAGAGTTGTAAAGCTCTTCTCCGGAAAAATCGAGCGCGTCAGAGATAGAAGGTATCGTTTACTTGATCCTTCGACACCTTGGAGGAATAAGCAAGCCACCCGTATAATTCCCCTTTCCACTACAAAGTGAAATATACCATCCTACATTGCGGGATCTTCAGGCATGCGAATAATAAAGTCTGCCCTCCCTTCCACGCCTACAATAGCGGTTTCTACTGTTTCATTTCGGTCGCACAAGAAATAATCTTCCTCCTTCAAGCCTTTGTCATTTTGCGTTATCACGACCAAGTAGAGTTGCGCTCTGCAGGGTGAAAATATGAGGCAGTGAACACCCAACACAAATATTGAAAGCACTGACACATTGACGTCCAAGCGGAAGCTCTTACATGCCCCGGCGAGAACTTTACCTATTCGTGTATGGGGCTTCGCGCTGAACTGTGCATGCTGCGCGGAGGGTTTGTGCTGGATGCTAATGACGAGCTTGTTATGTGTGGGGTCAGGTGCTGATTTGGCTATGTAGATTCATCAGCAAAATGGATGATCTTGCAAACAACGCACGTTGCTGTGTCACTTGAGTCGCCTGAGGCTGAGACTCCAATCGCCCTGCCAATTGTTGCTCTTGCTTGACAGGTTGGCCTAATGCTGTGGTGTAAGATATCAGACGACAAAGGAGGAGATGCACTACCTAGTGGCTTACGTGTTCCTAAGGGAGCTCGGCCTTCTTGGGAGCTTCCAGCGACTGACGATACTCGTACGTGCGCCGGAGAAGTTTCCTTTTCCTTCTTAATTGGCCATTCTGTGCATATATATTTCATTGTCATACATACCGGTGTAGCAGACGGGTGTGACTCACCAGGGACATGCGACATGTCTTGTAGATGAATAGCGATTGCTGGGTCCTTGGCACTGGGCGCCGAGGGCTGAGTGTCACCAATGACAGCAGCGTTCTGTGTCTGCTGCAAGTCTGCAGCTAGCCTCGGGTTACGGTCAACAGCCTTTGGACTATCTTCGTCATCAGACGCAATGACCCGTCGTCGCCGACGATATGGCCTAGTCCGAACATTACTCTCCTCACTCTCCTCCGTCTGCTCGTTCTCTTCCCGACCTTCCTCCTCCTTCTCCTGCTCCTCTTTATCCTGCTCTCTCTCCATCTCGTCCTCGTCCCGTGCTTCGTCCTCCACGACATTATCATTGGCCTCTGCTATACCACTGTATTCTCCCTCTCCACCTTGCCGTTCATCAGAGTCTCGAACTTGCTGGTGCACCCGAGCATTTTCATGTCCTTCTTCAACGGGTTGCGATGCCTCTTCGCCGGACAGTGGACCAGGCATGACCTCCTCCAAGTACACCTCCAGACAGCAGACAAGGTCCACCAAGCCCTCTTCTTCCCATGCCTCTTTATCTACCTCAAAGGCTGAGTCGTCCTCGCAAGGCGCGAAGCTAAGGTTGCAGGTCGTTCGGAAGCGCAGGGATGAGAGTGGATGGTCTTGGAGACAAAATTTACGGTGCGCAAAAGATTGAAGAGACTGGCATCAAAAGCATAATTTAAAACTCACGAGAGAGATCAACATGACACGCACTTTGAACTCACGAACTTTGGATGTTGGACCCTTCTGCGTCACCACCCTTTTATCTCCGTATGATATCGTTAAGAAACGTAGTGGTATGGCGTCCCAGTCAATGCAGTTGTGGATCATTGTATACCGGGTTTGATTGTAGAAACTTGAGTACAGGTGTAGAACTTAACGCGATATTTCAAAACTTGCAGCATTGGTACAAGCGCGTCCAGTCCAGTCAATTTACGTGTCGCGTTCCTCACGTGCTAGTTATACTAGTATTACATGCCACGTAAATTAGTAATCGAAACACGGTTCGAGGCTTCACGCCCTCTTGCCACACTGGTGTGCACAACATACAGTTCCACACTACCTGAGCAAACATTAATGCTCGAATGGCGGTAGGGAAAGATAGGCTTGCTTTGTACATATACTCTACACCGTGCCCCCATGCTCACAGCAAGTTTGGCAGCCACACGCCGTGGCTGATTCAACTGTCCCTTGAGATCCGCAGTAAACCGCGTAAGGCATCCCGTTGTTAAGATTTGGGAACCATTCGCATTCATATGTATCTGTGGATAACCGTACTTAGTACGCAGCCTGTACGTAGTAGGCCGCAAAAGTGCCTACCCATGGACAAGCCGCAGCTTCGACCAATGGGTGTTGACCGGCGTGTTGTATTTGAATTAGACGCGATAGCTAATTCGCCAGCCATCGCTGCGGCAGATATGACAATATTGGTGAATGAAGTGAATTTCATGGTTCATAGTGTTTCCGGGGCTGCGTAGGTTGGCTTTTATACGCGATCAGAGTCAGGTAAAATTGTAAATTCTTTCATGTGCTCGCATGCTGGATCTGGGGAATGAAACATATGCCAGCTCATGCCCTGTTGCATAGTTTTCTTCTACTTGTGAAAAGCGCTTGATTCTTTACTCATTCTAAATCAGTTTATCCATCGTTTTCTTTTGGGTTCTTGTGTTATTCAGGATGCGGCACCACGGCGGGCGTACAGACTATGTGCAAAGCTATTAGGTGTTTCTCAGAACTGTCGTTGCTCATCGATTATTCAAATCCAATCATCCTAGTTCCTGCCGGGATTCCGTCGATCTAAGATTTCGATTTCTTTGTTTTTGGTCCCAGTGAACTTTGTCTGACCTGCGTGACTTATGGATAGCTTCTTGCGGTAGGCTAAATAATCCAGATTGCCACACACCAGAGCGACAAAATAATTATGAAAATCATTATTCAATGAGCCTATACTATCATGATGTAGGATGATCTATGCCGCGGACTGGTACGTAGTCAATCCGGAAGATCCACTACATCTGCCACAATGGATGATTGAACGATTCAATTTCTAGAGAATGAAGCAGGGTTTCTAGAAGACGACGACAAAGCTGCGCTGGCTGCAGCTGTCCTTGTTGGCATTGAGCTAGCTATCTTTGCCGTCCGCAGATGGGAACCTTTCGAGTCCATAGAGGGATACCTCGTGGTAGGTCCCATTTTCCAGCCACAACGATCGAGCATGAATTACGACAATGGGGCTTGACGTCAACTTCCCTCAATCGGTTTGGATACATAGATTATACCCTATATAGATCCGTTTTACGTTATGGATCTTGTAAACCCTTGGGAGACAGTATGAGTCGGTCATACAAATCAAAAGCGTAAGTACATGACAGTGTGCTCGGGCAAGCAGCATTGCGAGGTAAATGCAACGGTACCTTTTGGACGTCGACGAGCACCAATTCACCAACTGGAACGTTCTGAGCACAGCTTGCACGCGTCTCAACGACTGAAGGCTCATCTGCTGTTGCCATTCGGATATAATGATCTTTTTATCAGCGAATGATAGCAAGACCAGAAAAGGACCATCCTGGTCGTTGCGACCAACATTACCTTCACAATATTACGACGCTGCTTGGTTTGGATCGCGTCTTTGTCACTCGCCGCAATGGCTCCATCACGGCTCAAACGCTCCGAAGGATTCAAAATGGATCAGGCATAATTTGATGCGCAAAATGTTTCTAGGGCCTCTTTAAAGGCAGTATCACGATGAGATTATTAACACACTTACCGTTGCCTGCATGCACTCGTAGCATGTCACTTAAGTAATCTTCTCCACCAATCATCTGAACGCGAATAGAATGTGCGCGTACGATAGAGAAGTGACGGGCAATAAACACCCAACCGGATATTGATCATAAACTGCTCGTCGAACTAGAGAGACATAAAAAACCCGAAGAACTGACGCAAAACGCAGGAAGACTCGACAGACGACCGTCACATCAGGGAGCTCCTAATCCGACACCACCAGCGAGAGCAATGACGCGGACGATGACAAAGCAAAAAAAAAACGACGACTCGGAAGCTGCGGCCATGAAATGTCAAACACGATGACAATGTAGAACTGAACGGTTTATTTCTCGATTATATCACACTGAACAAGTTTCAAAGGGCTTACATCATTTATATGAAACCATTATGACAACGCCTCGAGGTTGCCTCAAGGCAGTACTTGTTCCAAGTAAAGAGCGATGCCGGTAATCATTCCAATTTCGACCGCATCCAAATTTTCTACAGCAGCGCGTTGAGGCTATGGTTTATTGGGTTATATGGAGATTGTGACAAAGTAGGTCTCAACTGGCCAGACCTGAAATTTCACGACTATTTGCATAATTCTAGATCTCGCGAAACCTCGCAAGATGATGCACCCATCCAAACGCTATGTGCGCTTCGATAGATGCTTGCAAGTCAGCCTCAAGAGCCATATGACCACGATATTCCCTCCAAACATTTACAGCCCACGACACTCAAGAGGACCACGGAATGTGGAACTGCGAGATATGGCCAAAGGTGACGAGGGTGTCGTGTTTCCCAAACACATCAATATATCACAGCTCGCGATAGCTGAAGACAACAGTTCGGCTGGTCGTTAAGCCAATAAGGCTTGCTTCCGTGAACGGGAATATCGCTGAAACACTGGCAAGACTGTGGTTGAAGAGAGCTGCACTTTGGGAGTCAGATGATGAACGACTTACAAACTGAGCCTGATGGATTGCAGTTCTCTCCGCACTCGTTGGGAAACCCAGCAATATCCACCTAGCGAACGAACATCTGGAGCGTCAGCTGCTAGACCACGTTCATGAGGCGACGAGTTACATACGATGTCAAGCCTCATGAGCACTCTCGGGACAATAGCCTATGATCCGATACGAGACCGAGGAATTGGGTGAGTTGAGCACGTCAATCATCCGGTCAATCTTGTGCGTGCGGTATGTCGAGATGAATTTCACTTTGTTGCCCATGCCAGGTTTCGAGCTGCTTGACGGCTTGAAACGCGACAATCCCGCGATGACTGTATCATTGGGGCATCTTGACTCCTGCGCTGTGACAAGACACCATATCGGTTATGGAGGTGAAGAAGAGATGACTGGACTCGAAGCCACGAGGATGGAGTGTGTATAATGGACGCTAGTTTTGAAAGCATGTTAAGGAAGTGAGAACTACTTACCACCTAGGATCAATGAAGAACTATTCCCAGGGAAACGATGGGGTCATATTAATCCTCACCTTGGAAAACAAGGAGTTGGTGGAGTTGGTTGAAGATTTGGATGGTGACAATTCAGGCAGGCCAGAGTGCGTCTCTCTCGCAAGTTTCATCAGGTGGATGTCATTAGGTATGATAGACCTATTCACATCAATAAAAGTACAGTGCTCGTACTAATACCACTCAGTAGGGATTGTGTTGTTGATACTTGTTTCAAAGGAAGAGAGTGTAAGTCATAACGGTAATATGCTACAAACACTCTTCATAATAGTTCCCGATATCCAGCATCATCGAACTCTTCGGCTACCACTACCTTGCGATCATGTTGCTCGAGGTAGTAAACAAGTCATCTCCTTGCATCCTGACCTACTAGTCTACAATACATCTTCAATATTATCCAGCAAACGTCTAATAGGTACACTACAGACAGGATGGTATCTATACAACAGCGAGTCTGATGGACGGATGTCGTGCTGACACGCCAACATCGCTGGTGTATCCCACAATAGCTGGTATCGCACAAGTGTTGAAATTTGCCACATATCACGTACTAACATCCTCATGTTTCCACTCAAGAAGGGTCAGAACCTTCCCCTCTCCTCCAGGTATCTTCCCGCTGTCGAACAACCCTCTGTTCACGAACCCGTTCTTCTTAAAAACTCGGTTGCTACGGGCCAATATTCCCAGCAAGAGTGTGCGCTACAACATGGCGGACTCGTTCTTTTGTTCATGAGAAATCATTTATCTCGGACAGGTTGTGACGTCTATACCAAAAATTGATGTGAACTGCATCTAAAAAGCCGAGTTGGTCGAAGCTCGGAGTGGGTCAACGTTGACCTGTTACTGTTCCGGAATTGATCGGTTCCCAAACTCAAGAAGAACAAGGTATAAGCATTTCAGTCTAATACTTATACCCGCCTTCGAAGAGTTACCAGGCATGATGGCGCGGGCGGTGAGGCTGAGTAGGTGGGTATCCTTGAAAAGTGTGTGGGGGGGGAGGGGGGTGGGGCAGGATAAAATTATGCAGTGAGATCGCATCTGTGCAACTTCTGAGCATCCGCCACTTGTCGGAAGAACCCAGGAGTTTCGCCAACCGGTCTGACAAAATCGGTTGTGCCTGCAGAATCACGCAGGGTGGTAGAACCCGGAAGAACTCCAGGGTATGATATATCCGAGACTGCGCGGACATGTGTTTTAGGTCCGATAGTAAGCTCGAACATGAAACCCGACAAAAAAACCGACATCCCTAAGATAAGACGGTGCATGCTGGAGGACGGAGGACATCCCCTCGTGTCACTGATCAAAAACAATTTTGAGCACCTGGAACGATCTGAAAATGGCTCGAATTACTACTACCATGAATATGGAAGTTCACTCGCTTGCACTTTTCTCCACCGGATGTGTTGTATACTTGTTGTTACTTGTATGCAGATAACCAATCCGGTAGAACTGAATCCACAGTTCTGCCCAGCATTCGGCGATGCGAGCGCATGGGAAGGTTTGGCTGTACCTGACACTGGTCGTGCATAAAAAGCCAACCTACGCTGCCCAGAAGTCACCATCAACATTCAGCTATGAGATTCACTTCACTCACCACTATTGTCATATCTGCGGCAGCGATCGCTGGCATAGCTATCGCGTCTGATTCAGATGCGTCTATCGGCGCACGCTGCGACTCCAGTAATGAGCACTTTTGCGGTTTATGTGCAGACTGTGTACTCACGGTTATCCACAGATACAGAGGGGTGCCACGTAGCAAAGGAGGAAGATTATAGCAACAGGAACGAAGCCCGTATAATCTGCAGTGGAGATCCAAATTGTTAATGCTGCATACTTAGCATGTTGTGCGCAAGAGGGGCCGAGGGCGTGGAGGAGGGAGCACTGTGCCAGAGCTCGTATCTGATCCAGTGTATTTTTGCTATGTAGAGAGTTGTGTGCGAAAACATGATGACTGCATTGCGAGAGTATCAAGGTTAACAAAAGTTGTGCACCGGGATAGAGACCTCATGATCAATGGCAGAGCAGACGACAGCAATGCAACATAGTAGTACTACACACCAATACAAATGAAACCGATTCTTTGCTCGAGTTGCACTTTCTTCCCGAAATATGGAGCATGCTTGAGTGTAGAAATCACCCCAACGATGTGTTTTGCGATAGCGTGCGTGCCAACGATGCCGGCGGATCCTGAGGTTTACAGTCCAGCCTCACGGCGAATGGCGAGACCGTCATTGTCGACGGCGGTATTCTATGCGGTATATGAAATGTTATTCTCCTTTGATATCAAGTTGTGTTAGAATTCATCTCTCATCACGAAATGAAATTGAGGCTGCCTCATAATGCTTACCATGGCAAGTAAGGTAGACCCAAGTACTACTACTCATGTGGCTATGTTACAAGAAATAGTGGTACGGTTGGCCGTCGCAGCAATGAGCTTAGGACAAACTCGAGCTCGCTGCTGACAGAAAAGAGCATGTTGCTCCTCAAATCAATGAATATATGGTCGACAAAGTGTTGAAATTGCCAGTGTTTGCGTTAATGACTATAGATGGAGCGTGAGAATCACAAAATAGACTTGAAAGTGACCTAGTAAGTCTTTCAGTCTAATACTTATACCGGCCTTCTAAGAGTTACCAGGCATGATGGTGCGGGCGGTGAGGCTGAGTAGGTGCGTGTCCTTGAAAAGTGTAGTGTTAGAGAAGTGAGCAGATAAAGATGAGGACTACATGCTTATAGGATAGGGTTAGCAGAGTAATCAGAGGCAACAATGATACCTGGTCGCTGACTTGGTGATGAGAAGGTGTACTCGGATAGGATGAGCTAGCGCATTACATTAACAGAACATTATTATTAGCGTAGTTTATCGTGCAGGTCCTGACTAGCTACTAATATACAGTGTACAATGATGAATCAGAATCACAGCCACATCCTATCATACGCACGCGCCTCGCTGATCATGCAGGGGAACTCGCTTTCATATCTGAACAACATCACGGTACAGGCTGATCTCATTCCCTATCACCTACATCAATCAAGTGAACTGCGGCTCAAGAAAAGAGAACAAGCAACGATGTAAGCAACGTATGATAAATTATTGATGATTCGGATGCATGAGGCGTTGATGTTATTCTCCCTCTTTTTGTCTCTTTAGCCTCCCTCTACTGTCGCTGTAAAATGGAGTTCGACTTAGTCTGTGAATAAACAGCTCTTTGTAACGCTTACGCAAAGGCACGGTTCTTTCTCTTTCGGCTCTCCTTCTTGCCTGCATTTCGAGCTAATTTCCGTTTGGCAGCAGCTTCTGGGTTGGTGGTCGCCTGTTCAAAGTGGTGAGCACCAAGTGCAAAATGAATAGAACCCAACCCACCTTCGTGGCCCGCGCTACACGTCTTTCTTGTTGGATGCTGGATGCTCCCTGCCTGATGCGGTTGTATGTATTGGCAAAAACCGTCGTGCCAACTTTGTTCTGAAGCAAGTCGAGAAGTTCGGCAGTCGTGACTTTCAGCTCCTCTGCAATGCTATGAATATATGACCAGTTTGAAAAGCGACATGCATACCCATTCCGGCATCTCGGATTGTATCGTCCTCCGTTATCCGATAGACAGGTGTAAGTATGTGCGTCAAGAACCGCTCGAGTTGATTGGCCTCCATATGAGAGGCCATGGCAGCAAAGAAGCGTAGAATCGACAAGGGAGCCAATGACCAGGTTGTTTGGTTCTGAAGCAGGAAAGTCAGAGGAAGTTAAATATAACGGCATGAAGCGAACTCACAGAAGTGTTACCGCGGTTCCGCCGTGCGATGTGGGCTGAGCGAGCTTGATACGACAGTTTGGAGAAGAGCCAAGGTAGAGGATCCTGAGAGCGTTTTTCTCGGCTCATTTGCGTAGGTTTTGATTGTTCAGCAGAGTCATCGCTCTCACCAACATCCGAGTCCATCTCGGCTGCATCGTTGATATCACTCCCGAAGGTCAAGGAAGAGGGGACAGTGCAGAATAGTTTTCCGATGAAGAAAAGGTTCTTCACAATCTGTACACCGAGAGGTGCGTCGAGATTGGAACTCTTCAATTGTGTGCATAGCTTCCCTGCAATATCTTTCATCAACTGGAGAGTAAGGTGCGAACTCTCGAGAGTGGGGGTGGGGCCGTAAAACGCGAAGAACACGCCCAACAGCCGACAAGCTGCAGAGCGTACCCAAGCGTGCGGAAAAAGAAGGTATGGGACGAGTTTGTCCTGGGTACTTTTTACCGCATCAAGCGTGTGCTCGGGTAAGGTCTGCAAAAGCTTTGAGACAGCAAGCATTGCCTGGTACGGCGGTTGCCATTCCACGTCAACATCCATGTCTTTTCCATCGCCATCCGACAGAGTGCTATCGTCCAAGATCTGTTGAACATCAGCAAACAGGGCAGCAGCATGCGGGGAAGCTTCTCGCTGTAAAGCGTCGATGATAAGCCCGTATACCTGCACCGCCACTGCCCTAAGTTTTGGCTGCCCTTGTTGGCTGGCCCATGCATGCAGATGACCAACAAATACTTTTCTCTCGTCCTCTCCCAACCTTTTGATCAAGCTTTGAAGGACTGATGCAGAGGCTTCTCTGCAAGACTTATCCTCGTCGTTGGCAAGACAGAGTACAAGGGCAACGAACATCATCTCCGCGTGTTTTGTCAGCAATGCAGAGTCGAACTTGTTCACGAGCGCGCCTAGGAGTTCCAGAACACTTGAACGTCCTGAGGCATGTTCGTAGGAAAGATTTCGGGCAAAGAAACCGAGGGTGGTCTGCAGTCTTCCGGAGCCTTGAGGATAGTCAAGGAGAAACTGAAGGAGAAGGGACCGAGCGGACTCGCGAGTCTGTGTCGCTTGTGACGTGACCAAGATAGCGGATACGTCAGCCATAACGTCGTAAAGCTCAGGTACAATCAGTCGTCGTGCCACAATAGCTCTCAGTAACGCAAAAACGGTGCTCTGCCTGTCGGGATCCTCGAGGTAGGGTGAAATAAATTCGATCAGAAAGAGTAAATCTTTCTCTTTGACTTGAGCGCCATCACACTCTCGTAGTATACTCGCCAGAGCTTTGAGACCAGCCTGAGCAACTTCGGACTCCCCACTACCAGTAGAACGGACGATGGCGAGTATTTGACGGGCAATGACCGGTGCAGATGACGAGACTGACTTGAGTGGGCACTGGAGAATGCTAACCGACGCCTTGAAAGAGGCAATAAGGACCGGTTCCGAGGATGAATAGAGGGCATTTCCGATGAGCTTTACAAGCGGGTCTAAACGATCGATGATCTGCTTGTCTTGAAAGTCAAATCGAGAGCGTCGGAACGCAGTATTGAAGAGCTCCAAACCGAAGACGACAAAACTGCGGAGTCCGATAAGTCAAAAAGACACGGTGAATGCATAATACGAGGCTCACCGGAAAGAATTATTTGTATAATGGTCAGTGTCCGCGACGATTTGACGTTGTCGCTGGACGATAGCATCAGCTTTTTTGATAGTCTTGCTCGCTTTGGGCTTGGGAACTTCCTGCAAGAATTTGGCATTTTGACTGATCAGGGTGTGGCACAGAACCAACAATTCAGCAGGTGTAAGCCTTGCATTGCTATTGAGTCCACTAGCAATACGTCTGAGAACCTCGTCAACCTGCTGCAGGATCTTCAAGGAACCCGTTTCTGCGATGATAGAGCGCAATGGCAGGAGGAGCGCGCTGACGCGTTTGGGAGAAACGTATCGAGCAGCCAACCCGAAGCAATCAAATCCCTTGGAAGAGCTACTGCGTACTTCACGCATTTTCGTCCGAAAGTCCTCGTGCTGCACATCCTTTCCTGACTCTCCAAAAATCACTTCAGCGGAGACATGGGCAATATCGGCGACACAGTCATCCAGATCTTGAATGGCAGGGTCATTGCTGCCCTGTGCAGATGTGACATGGGTAAGCACTGCATGGAACACAAATGCTAGAACGTGTAGGTGTGGTCCACGCAGGAGTGCTGCGCGGAGCTCCCGAAACAAGACAGGTAGATAAGGAGAGCCAAGTGCGACAGCTATCTTGCAGATCGTATCTCGCACGAGATCGCGAGTATCTTGCGACTTGCTACGCAATATCTGACTGAGGGCTGTTAGGAGCCTGCCTACTTGTAGATCTCTGGAGGCAGAGGGTAAGTGCAAGGCGACCTTAGCAATACCCATCGATATCGGAATGCGGAGGGAGTCCTCTGTCTCGTCGCGATTAGAGAGGTAAGCCAAAAGCGAAGGTAGAAGACGGGCATGAACAGCGTCGGCGATTTTTTTGCTGTCATGTTTATCAGCTGAGGGAATGGGCAGCGATTCCTCTGCCAACTCCTCGTGGTCGCTATTTGCAATGTCATCTGCAGACGTATCAACTTGTTGCACAGCTTCTTCGACGGAAAAGTGAAAGTTTTCAAGGATTGCAACCAAAGCACGGACGTAGACCCGGACGCCTTCACTCTTGTCTTTTGATGCTCGGATGTACTTGTGCACGAGGGCCGAGTATGCGCCCCACCCCAGCTGTTTCGCAATGCGCCCAGTCGAATTGATCGCCTCCGAGACGAGGAGATGATCGAGCGAGGCTGTTGGAACAATATAATGCTCAACGAGCGGAAGAAAGACCTCAACTAGGGTTCTGCTGCGCATGGTCCCCTCGTCACAGTACTCGGCAAGGCGTCTCAAAGCTCTTGTGCGACGATGAATCTGTATGTGATGAATATTGTTGAAGAAACTAGCTTCCTCGTCACCACCAGCAAGGAGTGGACGCATCTCCTGCAGGGAGGAGATGCTAACACACTTTGATACTGCATACGAGATAACGCCGAGCGACTCTGCACAGACAAGCTCGTGCTTGGATTTCAAGGCGTTCTTCAATGCCGGAAGGGTAGTTCGCATGAGAAGCGCTTCGAATTCTGAATTTGATGGGTCGCATGTAAGGTCGATAAAGCGTCTGATTGTGAAAGCGGCATTATTGCGGATGGCCAGCTCGTCGGCGTCCTGCACAAAAAAAAGAGCATTCGAAAGGACAGGAAGCCATTCACGGCACGATAACGCAGCGTACTTCTGCTCGTTGAGCAGCATGAATGCAGTCAACCGACGATTAAAGTCAGGTTCATCAATTCGCTTCGATGAGCAGGCATTGAGTGATTCAAGCAGGCTTGCAAGCTCTTGGATACTCGGATTAATCACTGAAAGTTTATTGAAAGCTGAAGTGAGGGCGAGTCGAGAAGCAGTGAAGCGAAGTGACACAAAGAGCTGCGAAAGAAGTTCATATGCCTTCAAGAATTCGACCGAGGAGGAATCTGACAGCTCAGTCAGGAGAGGGAATATATGGCCGAGGGTGCTCAGAAGTTTGACTTTGATTTTCTCAGATATGATTCTGCTGGATTTGCGCAACAAAGGGGAGAGAAGGCTGAGAAGTGTCAAGGCCTGCGTAGAATCTTCAGCGTAATGGGCGACCTCTGAAAGTATGCTGATTTGGCGTTGAGTGATTGGACTTGAAAGTGCTGCATCGGCTTTCGTGCGTTCGACCAAAGTTGTGAGGTTCTTGAGCAATTGCGATATATGTGGCTGAACGAGCAGATCCAAAAATTTACTGTCATCCACGGAATACGACAGCAGGCGCTCTACGATGTCGAAGACTCTGTTGATCACTGCTGGTTTGACGTTAACCGCCACAAGACAGTCGAGAACCTTCGGCAGTACACGAGGGTCGTGCTGTACGAGGTGGACCGAATATTCTGGCCGACTTGTCCAGACATAGAACAATTCCAGGAGCGCAGAAGGGGCTTGAGTATTTTCTTGATCCAATAACTCCAGACGTGGAGTCACAATAGCGTGAAATGATGCAGAGAGATAGGACGTGAAGTCGAATTCGACGGGGCAGCGGAAGAAATCAGCAAGCCGCTTGAGACCTTGTTGCCTCAAATGACGCAAAACTCTGGAATTGGATACCTCTCCGGACTCGCTCTCCTCTTCATCCGCCTCATCTTCCACCTGCTCATCCGCATCGACTGCCGTCACATTCGACAAATGATTCTGAGCATTAGCAACGATATCAAGTGTGGTTCCGAGTAAAGCTGGCCAATATGTGATTAATCTCGACCCGAGGTTCTTCAGCACGTCACCCAACAAAGTCAGGTAACCAGACTGCTGCTTTAACAAGGTATCTGAGGAGATAGGACGCAATGAGAAGAAGTTGTCTTGATGGGCATGGCTGTCCGTTTGCATTGGTTTCAACATCAGATCCACTAGAAGATAGAGCTCATCGTCTGTGCATCCTGCGAGTGCTGTCAACACGGCAGCTCGGCGATCACTGACTCTAGAGCGACCCTTCTTTTCCAACATAAGGCCATATAGCAGACGGATGATAATATCCACTACTTGGGGTCGGTCCCTGATCTCTATCGATGACATTTGCAAAGACGTCAACTCATCTCTCCATTTGGTTTCGTCGAGGAGTACACGTAACTTCGCCTCGTGATGCTGGAGGTGGGGTGACTTGTATGCGAGCAAACATGATAAGGATACCGTTTGCAGTGCCCGATCGGGATAGGATAGGAGGGATAGGTACAATTCTCGCAGCGTATCTGTGGAGTGTAGAGCCTTAGGATTGCTAAACTTGCTGAACAGCGTCAACCACGCCTGAAGCTTGTATTTCGGCAATCGTGATAGAGCACCCGGACTTGCGATTGAAATGAAATATGTCACTAACTCGCGGTTATGTTTTTCCGCCAGAGATGTACATTGTCCGAGAGTGAGGAGGATCTGAGCTTCGAATGTGACGGGATCAAATCGATCAGACGATTTTTGTTCCTATGTCCTATCATTAATAAGGCGCTAGTTAAAGCGCTAACTAGAAGGCTTACCGAAATGATGATTTTGCGGTGGTGGAATTTATCTAGCCAACTCACAGTGGCACCTCGAACACGATGTGCGGTGGGATCCCTCCAAGATCGTTCTTCTTCCCAAGGATCCGTGTCATTCTGATCATCCTTAGTACTGGTCAGCCAGTCAGGAATTTGATTGGCTCCCAGGGGCTGTTGTAGCTCCGAGAATATGACATTCCAGACGACATCGCCGAACTTTTGGACTAAAGAAGAGAGAGCTTGTGACGCTGGAGACCATATCGGTCGTAGGTTGACCTTCAATTGAGCTAATATGATATCAGCGAAGTGCTGCATAAAGGGAACAGTATACACACAAACAAGCCACCGAATACAGATATCAGCGGAAAGTGAACCATCATCTCTCACAACCTGGTATAATCTGCCTATTCGAAGAACGCGCTCACGCACACCATGCATGTCAAGGGACACTTCATCGCCCTGCAGACAGCGCTTCAGCGCTTCGTGTTCTGCGGGAGAAGATTTGACCATCTTCGATGTCAATAACCCCAACACATTCGAACGCAATGATCGAGAAGGGGAAAGCAACCGTGATTGTAGACGGGAGTATAATTGGGCGATTGGAAGAGACTGAGATGAAGAAGGGCTATCTCGTGTCAGTAAGAACAAACCAGAATGAAGGCGTGGAATTACCGTGCTTCAAGAAGTGCGACTAGACCTATCAATGCTTTGTCAGACCATGACCAATGCTCCACGATCTTCACCGTCCAGGCAGACAAATCCACTTGCGTTTCCCATGAAGCTGGCTTGCATCGAGACAAGGCCTGCATGCATGTTCCGATCACCAAGGCCGCATTAGCATGTGATGCTTGCCAATTCGCCTCGGGTGTGGGCGTGTTCAGTGCGCGTTCAATGATGGGCACCAACAAGGGCGCCAACGAGTCGACAAACACGGAGAGACTCATGATGTCGTACAAGTCATCCACCGATTCATCACTAATTTCCCAGCTAGATAAGCAGGTTTGGATCCAGCTATCGACGCTTCGCTTCCAGACAATATCAACCTCGCCCAACTTGCCGGAATGTTGCAGAGATGCAAGAAGACGCAACGTGAGGGTCGGCTCTGCCTGAAGGAGACTAGGAGTTGCTTTGAGAAGGGCGGGTAGCCCGACGAGCTTCCAACCACCCCATCCTAGCTCTGCGAGGACACCACAGAGCATCAAGCCGAGGGAAGGGACACCAAGAGCCCGAGTGACAAATGCACGTCCTGGTCCTGTGGACATTGACATGTCACCAGCAGTGAGGAGTGAAGATGTAAAATTCAAGATCCCGGAATGCAGAGGTACATCAAGCGGCAGCGACGCCAATGTTGAGGCAAGCTGTGTTAAATGGTTTGCTACAGACACAAAGTTCAACGTGTGCATAAGACTGGAAAATAATGACAACATACCAGACAGTCGCGACCCTTGACGAACTGCACAGATAACAGATGTAATTTGCATGATACGTTGAAGATCTTGGTGATTTACACCATCAGCCTGCGACACGGCACAGAAGCGATCAATGATGAGGTTCGCGATAACCGAAAATCCTTCCGGGCCATTACAGTGGTGGATCAAGGCGGTCAGCACACGCCGCAGGAGAGTATACGACAATTCGGGGCGATCACTTGTTAGGTGGCAATCGACAAGAGAAGCTATTGATGATCCCGCACTGGTGTGCAAGGTTTGGGAAACAGACTGCAGGTGTATTGAGATTAGTGACCAAAGCTGAGCAGCAATACGCACTTTGCACGCAAAGACCATCATCCACGCGCTGGCATCCTCGACACCTTCCAAATTCTTTGCCATCAAAATTACGGCTCTCTCCCTCGCGACGCTCTTCAGCCGCCGGAGTACGGAGCCCCAAACCTCGGCGGCGGCACGCTGAACATCCGAATTGCACGTTGGAAGTACTGCACGAAAAGAAGACCACGTCTGGTCCAGAAGATCGAGATTGATTGAAGGTACAAGAAGATACCTAAATAGTCCTGACAGTGTCACTAGGAGTGCTGTAAGGGAGGGTGCAGAGATAGGTTGTGGAAGAAGTCGCAAAAGGACCTCTAGTGAATCTGCATATGAGGGAGCAAGAGTGGTTCGTAGATCGTGAGCCAGCTTATTCAGGAGGCTAAGTAATTATGTGGTTAGAGAATGTTGAATCAGGTATTAAGCCGAGATGCGCACTCAAGCAGAGCTATCAAAGCTTCATTGTCTGATGCATCCAATGCACCTTTCCACAAGTCGATAATATCCTTCCAGTTATGCAAGAGTATAGGCATAGATATTGAGAGCGAGTCAACTTTGTTCGCGAACCGAACAAACGCTGGGGAAAGATTGAGTTGTCTCCATTGTTGAAGAGCTAGGTAAAAGTGGGATTCGTTGTCCTGGACCTGCTTCAGCAATCCACCTCGACCATGAGACCAACCTCAAACTTACCGAGATATCATGATCGAACTTAGTGAGGTCAAGAGCAGATGGTAGATGAACCTCCTTTAGGCTTTTCTTGTATGATTGGTGCTAAATAATGCGCAGTCAATCAAAGGAACGAGTTCGACAAGGTTTGAAGCACCTTGAATCGGTTTGCGCGGGGAAGCGCGCTAGTTCTCTCGAAGTCTAAGCCTGAATCTGAGTCCGAATCCATGGCTTGCAGGATGTCGCAAAGCACTGTTAGCAAAGAAAAATGGCACTACCGGTTACGAGGACAGGTGGTCATGAGGTGAACCGTGAACGCTAGCTGCTTCGGCTAGTCCAAAATTTCTGATCTCGAAAAGGTTGTTTGGATCAGAAGCCTTTGCCAAACAGCCTGTCCCGGACTCCGACGGATCCAATTTCAGAATTTCCGGCAGCACCGTGACAGCTTCCGAAGTTCTAGTTGTTTGAAGCTTTTCGTCCACAACCGGGATGTCCGAGGAACCGACGTTGAGTGCCATACTCCAAGACATTCTTCAGGCGCACGTATCATCATTGGCAAATGACTCGTCTTACGAGAGTGCTAAAGCGAAACTTGCTGAAGAACGCAGACGTCTGGGCGGCCTGGGCCGTAATTGGCGCATGACGAAGGTGCTCAGCTACGAAAAGCTCGTCTTAGTCCTAGCACTTGTGCTTCTTCCCCTCGGTCGTCACTTTCATGGGCGGCGGGAATTTTCCGTTTCTTGGCTGGAGAAGTCCATTGATACGGTGATGGGGGTAGGTTTCTTTCTGAGGTTCATTGCAACTATCTTTGCTTTAACGAAACTGTTTCATTTACCAAGTTATACATTCGATTCATTGTGTCACAGGCTGAGACCATGAAGAAATTGGCGTCCAACGACGATTTTCCAGATTATCAGACTGTAAATGCCACCCTAGAACAGGCTGATAATGATGGTCCCGAGGGTGCCGAAGCTCAGAAACAAATTGGTCTGTGGAAAACGCAGATCGCTAACTCGCAGGGCATATCAGACCTTACAGTTTTTGATGATGTATTTGATGACATCGATACCTATACCGAAGAAGTATTTAGCGCATGCGCTCACACTGACATAGGCGAGAAGACCGATGCATACCTAAGCGCTCTGACGCGGTACCGTCCCAAGATCATAACGACTTTGCGAAAAAGGTGGTTGGAAGCGAGCAACGAGGCCATAGAGGCAACCGATATCATGCGACAATATGATAAGATCACAGCTCGTATTGCTGTGTGGTTGTCACCTCAGGGTGATGCAAACAATGCACCCATTCCCCTGCTGTCTGCTTGGTTGCTAGACTATGCGTGGTCGTCTCTGAATGCCGTCAAGGAAGGGGTCATCGAAGTATGTGGTTTTTCTATCTATCCTCGGCCTCTGTGTTGAATATCACGCTAACTAATTCCAGGTTTGCAGGTGGTTTGAGCCCCTTCTCGAATATTATCCTCTTCTGCACACGAAAAGTCATGAAATGGATGACAAAACCGAGGTCATGGTAAACCATGTAGCAGGGATCTATGCACCAGATGCAGATCTACAGGTATAATAAGTGCGTGTATCACAAGCTGCTCGCTGATGATCGTCATGAAAGCTATGTCATTTCTTGTGGGAGCGCCGAAACACTCTCATCTTCCACCTTCACAACACGATGTCGACAATCAGTGAGAAGGAGACTCAACAGGACCGTCCCAAAGACATGGTGCAGATCAATGATACTTTCGACAAACTTCCAGGAGATGAAAAACGAGCATTCAAGCAGCTCCTTACATCAATGAAGAACGCTTCAAAAAAGGGCTTACACTCTATGTATGGAATTGGTGCCCACGCCATGCGCGTCACAGCATGGAACTGGAGGAACAAGGCACTGAAGAATGCGAAGCGTGATATTGAACCCTTGGTCAAGGCAGTGTTGCTCGAATTACAAAAAGCAAGGAAATACAGAGCCGCAATCTTGACGGACCCCATCGTCGCTGGCCTCAGAAAGCAACTCGAGGATATTCTGGTTCGAATGATGAAACTGAACTTTGGCTCTCGACTTGGTAACAAACTTGTGACGAGCACAACGTGGCAATGGTGGGACGAGATAAAGATTCCCAAGGATGTCACTCCCATTATGTCTACTAACATAGACGAAAACTTCAGGTTAAAGCTGCGACAGACTCAGCTAGAGCAGCAGGATCAGGATGCGATAACCGGGCTCGTCGCATATGTCGAACATATGACTTGTGCCAAATCAACAACTGAAAAGGACAGTGTGTTGAATTCGGAAGTCATCAAGACGTTAAACGCCCTTGTATATGTAAGTGCTAAACGGTCTACCAAGGGAACAGATTCCCTGCATGTAACTTACACACGCATCAGGCTCTCAAGTCCAACAGTACTCGTCTCCATAACTGTAGCATGGCGAGGGATTCAGATTTGTCTTGCGACGTCGGGGCAGCCGTTCATCTCAAGATTCTCAAAACGAGCGACCAAGACCCAGCAACCTCTTCAAAACGAGAGCGATCCTCTACTGGTCTGTGCGTCGGGTTTCACTGGATGTCCCATCTCACTGTTGATATCTAGTCTCCGCATTGCCCGGCACAATGAGGAAAAGGGTTTGCATCTCTCCCTCTCGAAATCATGTCACTTCTGATGACGATTATATCTTTCGTTGATTCTCGTGCTGTATCTAATTCTTCATGTGCTGTTTTGTTGGGGTTTCTCTGCACGCTCTTGTAAGTACAACTCATCTACTAATCCAATTACGTATCATATATCATATACCTCGTAGTTGATAATTTCATGGTCATGCGGAATTGCGGCAAGTCTGATCGCGCTCGTCTTAGATCAACGAGTGAACGGCAGCGGTACATGTTACTTAGCTGAAGTCTATGTGGTGATTGGCCACCGCTGCACCAAGGGCATGTCAATTTGTACGAGCACTACCTTCGAAATAGTAACCTTCCGTCGAATGGAACTCGAATTCAGATTGATATATTTGTTCGGAATCCGGTCATACTACAGGCTATACTTCCCCCCACTTAAGTTCCGATCATTTGATGACGCTATTAGAAGAACGCAGATCTTTGATTCATATAGTAACCACAAGCAGTATTATGAAGTACAAGTGTGGTTATACACATCGACGATCGTGGTTGTGTGCCATGTTGAGCTGTGCTACCAGGGTCTCTGTGTGGTACATGGCGTATCAGTTATACAGTCATAAAAAGTCACAACAAGGGCACCTGATGAAAGGCAGTTCGAAATTACAGAAAAAATTAAAGCATCCAAGATGAAAAAAAATGAGAATAACAGGTGAGAATAACTGAGTAAAACTAGTAAGCAATGGCTTGGTACGGATGGTCCGTTGGGGGAGTACACATCGACCACATAGTTCCGTCTACGCAGTAAGCAGGTGGAGGAGCCTCAAGGTCTGAGTGAGTTGGGGACATTTCGCCCTTGTATATGCTAGAGCGATTGGAGCGTGGTAGTGTGCACACTGGGGAGAGCTGACACTTCGGAGCGGGGGGTATGTATATTTGCGTCGGGTCTGGGTCTGAAAAGTCCCAAGAGCCATCGTCCTGCTGGTGAGCCACCCGCAACGGTTTCCGCCCTGTTAGGAAGTCCATAAGGATGTACATCTCTCATAAGTAGTAAGAAACTTACTGAAACTGAACTTGGACTCAATCGAGAGTCGAGTATTATCTAATGTGAAGATGCGCCGTATGCGGGGGGATAAAGATGGATCAACTTCATCGGCTGGTCTGCGACGCAGGCGTAGAAGAAGCCATGTAATGAGTGCAAACAGGAATACACCGACAATGCAAACGGTCACAGCTACGGCTACAACATGCCAGTCTCTCGGAGGACTGAAGTCAAGGTCTGTCTCGGTCTCGGTGGGAGCGGTGGAAGTATCGGTAGGACTTGTGTCGTGGGTGAAAGGCATGGATATGGTGTTTCAATGTTGAATCTACAGCTGATCTATGGGTCACAACTCGGAAGGTATTATTCAGTATGAACTCACCAGATGTAATGACAATTTTCGGACACGAGTTGACAATTAGTGGGGACAGAAAGTTAGAAACAGTCAACGAGCGAGAATTATCTGTTTATTCCAAGTGAACCAACTGCAAGCATGCTCTCGAGACTCGAGTGTACATACGATTTATGCTGTATTAGGAAGTTCTAGACCACTCAATTGGAGTGCAATTAGTAGTAGTACTTGAGGGATCGACGTCGACGCGTGATATAAGTCTGGATTCAAAAGTAAAGGAGTGACGATGGATGTGGTGAGGGATCAAAAGACTCATCGTGCCATGTCTTGATTCTCTTGTTATAATTGAACATATTTTTCTCCATGGAAAAGGCTTCCTTGTGCTTCGATCAAAATCAAATCGGGTTAGTGTGCGAAAATATTATTAATTACATAATGTAATATTTCTCATATTCTATCTTCACTGCCAAGTCGACTTCTGAGTCACAGAGACAAGTACGAGAATATTGTTAGCATCGTTACATACTGACCTATCCTTTCATCCTGCCTAACAAAGCGTCCCTTGCGAAGCTCAAGAGACTAGGCCGATCGGAGTCCTCAGGCAAAACCGATATCGAATCGTGGTTAGTCTCGACAAACACGTCGCACGAGATGGACGGTGAGGATACGAGCGGACAATCATGGACCAGAGATCTCGTACAGGAGGACTGGCAAAAGGCTATGCAAATCGCTCAGGGAAGACTTTTAACCAGCAGTACCAGAATTCGGCTGCAGTTCTTGCAGGAAGAACTCTTATGGCTTGCGAACAACGGAGGCATGTGTTGCCAGTTCACAGTAGTCGAGCAGCATCGTAATTTCAAATTGTTTTCAAGGATTGAGCCTCAGGCAAATCATGGATGTTTTTAAACTCCTGACGCAAACATACCCCCGATACGTTGATAGCGCTTCCCGCGATGCCGTAGAAGAAGTGGGAATGTCGTTGATTGAGAAGGATGAGACGGCTGACGCTGGCCAAAAGTTGGGAGTCACAGAGCAAGTTCTAGGTTGGCTTGCAAACGAAGTATCCCACATGGCTAAGCGTGGTTCACCAAGGTCTGGTTCTCATGTCTTCACTTCTAGATGGTGGTTGATATTGGCGTATCAGCACATACGCCCCTTCAAATATATTCGTTCTCTTGAGCTGGACATGTGGGCTTTATGCAACGTGTCTGCGGTTTTCTCCTGGCTTTACTTCTTCTCCTCCATGGAAAGTGCTTGTCGAAATCTTCGCGACGCTTCTTGATATGCAGCTAAACCGATCTACGCGAACAAAGCCAACTATGCAGAAAAGTGCATTTGTCCGTACACGCAGAGCCCTTCGGTCTGCACCAGAAGAACTTCCCACTCTCATGGCGACACTCGTCGCTCAAGCAAAATCTAGTCAAACTCCCCTCATACAGATTTCGTTGCTAAGTTCTGCTGTGGATGTGACACTTCGTCTGAGAAATGTGAAGGATGAATCCCTCACTCAAATTCCTTCTGCGATCAAGGTAACACAAGCATGTTCTTCGAGTGTACACCTGCTGAATATGATGCCAGAATGACATCCTCGATCTTTATACGACTTGCGTTGTGATGTCCAAAAATCCTGTTCCATCGCATTCCTCTGTAAGTGCCTATATACTGTCACCTGATATCAAATCTCAATATATGTCATGGCAGGGCGCGCTTCATGACTTCATAAGAACTTGTGTAACCTCCAGCGATCTAACAGCGACTATATTGCCAACTATGGAGAAGGCGCTTTTGCGATCACCAGAATATTCACTAAGTGGTATGCAAGTATATTAGGATCGCCGATATTTGACTAACTGCTTATAGTGATCGCCGATTTTTTACTTGCGTATTCTCATGACCTCGACTCCGCCACATTCAAAAAACTCTTCACTGCCTCCCTCAACTCCGCAAAGTCTAGCAACCCTACCGTGCGCACGAATGCCACGGGGCTTTTCAGCGTCCTGATCTCCAAGGACATTAGCTCTAGCAGTGTCAATGCAGCCCTCACGGATATTTTAACACTGCCCAAGGCTGGTAAAACTACAGGCCCAGAGCATCGACTTACGCTTTATGCAATGCTCACCGCGATGCCGCCAAGTGCTGAGGTGTCAGCCACTGTCGTGCAGAATGTGCCTCAGCTGCTCGTGAAGGAAACCAATGAGCCGGCTGTTGGGGTGTTGACATCGATCATGGCGGTACATCTCACCTTCATCCTCAAGGCAAATGTGGAAGTACCTACAGATGCGACAACTATGATTGCGAAGGAGATGACCAACACGAAGCCCGTCATCAGGAGAGCTTTTGTATCTATCGCTGGGTCGGCGCTCTGGAACGTTGACAAGGTCGACACCGATGCTGTTTTGGCTTTTTCAACGCGCATCATAAACGCTCTTGAAACGAACCTAAAGGTTGTGACCGCAAATCCTCTGACTGCAGCAGTTGGTCCGTTGGAGGGATATGTTGCCCTTGCTCTGCTCATGGGTCCTCTAACAAATACAGGGAAGTTTGGTATGTTCATTCTCTTCGGTCGATGCTGTGTTTCGTACTCATTTGTACAAGGCGATATCATAGCTCGCAATGCATCCATCGAAGTTCTGACTGGCACACAAGCCAAGCCGTCATTCATCATCTCAGATAAAGTATATCAAAAATTAACAGACGTAGAAGATGAATTGTGGCTTCTACGTGCCGCGAACCTGTCTCTTTTCCGCCTGAAGAACGAGCTAGCTAAAAGCGAGCAGTTACGGCTAGTATAACTGTCTTACATTGCTTCTTTCATTTTGACATCATTTTCAGGTTGCAAATCGGCTCAGTTTTTGTTCATCTCTCCATTCACTCACAGTCATCTGAAGTTCGCAGGACAGCGATTCAGACTATCGAAGCGGCTGTTCAATTACTCCCACAGCTTGTCATTCCGATCCTGCGTGAAGCGCTGACAGCTTCATTGATCAAAGAGAAGTCGGCTGTCGTCAAGAGTGCATCAGTGACAGAAGAGACGGAAAAACCTGCCCCAGACAATCAGCGAAGGTGTGCAGCACTGCTACTGTGCTGTAGCAATATTAAGGATGAAACTGGCGCGGGCGAGAGAGACGATCAACTAGTGGACCTCATTGTTTTAGCACATCACTCTGCCGTTTGTGAGCTTCATTGTTCACTACCCTATCGACTACCGCTGAACATTCTCAAAACGTATTAGGTCGTCTACCCCGCATGCTATGGATCGAGTTGTGCCAGAAGGCTGGCGTAGACCCGCACAATTTAATTTCTCGCCGTGTTGACCAAGCAATGTCAAGCCTTTTGACAGCATCCACCATTGATTCAAAGGTATTTTGTATTTCCGTGTCTTCTAAACGCGCTGACAATTAAAACTCGTGGATTCTCAAGTTTGGTTTTGCGGACGCGAGCTACCGAGCAATTAGCACATTGGCGTTTGTATGTCCCGAAAATGTATTACCAAAGATCATGGAGCAGTTACGTGCCGACATCGACCCTTCGAAAATCAATGCACTGTCCGAGGCTGAGTTCGGTATCTGGGAAACGCCAGAAGGCATGACGTACGTAGATGGTGAGTAAATGAATCATATGAACTACCCCATATTCATTGTATTCTTGCTGTGCAGTCCTCTCCTTCCAGAAGGCCGAGGAAGGTCCTAAAAAGGGGAAAGATGCCGACATTGCCCGCTGGGAGGCCGAACTTCGTAAATCGCTTGCGAACAAGAAGGGCGGTGCGACAGCTGTGCTGTCGAAGCAAGCCCAAGCACTCGTACAAGCACAGCTGGACAAGGAAGCAATTGTGCGACAGCAGGTCACCACTATCAAACTCAATCTACAACGAGGGCTGTCGTACATTCAGAGTTTAACGTCTATCAATGTCTCTGAGTTGCGCATGTATGTTTCTTCCATTTTATCACTCCTGTTGGAGGGAGCTATGGGTCAAGGATCGAGGTTGGTTGGGCCGCAAGCATTTGAAGCTTATTTGGTAGGTTTGTGTGAGTTCCATAGATGCGCTTTGTACTTATTTCTTCTGTGCTAGGACCTCGCCAAATGCTGCTCAACACGTTTAGATACGTTCCGCAAGTGGGTTGGTGTGGCGACATTGCGAAGCCTTGAGATAGCATCGGTGCCCGAGGAACTGCAGGCTGAACAACTTAGCAGTGGGTTTTACCTATCGTCTGAAAAACAAGCCGTGTATTGATAATTTTCCAGCTCTTGTGCTACGTGTTCTCTATCGTCTGCGATCGCTATCGGAACAGACTCCATTTGATGCCGCAACCTTTTCCTATGCATTCCCACTTCTTGCGCAAGTGTTAATGAAGGGTGGTGTAGACACCGGCCAAGATGATGGCGATGAAGCGCTCGAGCAAATAACTCTCGTGCTCGACATCATCAGGTTTCATTGCAGCGAATGTTTGTCTTCGGTGTAGAAGTTGATGCATTACTAATATTCTTGCAGTTTCGGATGTAGCATTTCCCCGAACAGCAACCATGAAGCACGTCCTCCACGTCATAAGACATCAGCCACGACTTAGTAAGGAAGCTTCATCTGTTCTCATTGACCTCGGAGAGGCTGTGCAGTCGAATGCGACCCGCGAAGAGATTGGTGTTCTCATGGATGGCACATTATTGCAAGAAGTCTATGTCAGGAACGCTTGTCTGCAAGCCATCCAGGTTAGCATCATTCGCTTGCAGTTTGCTCTACTTCAGTTCATCGTTTTCGTAGCCATTCGATTTGACCGATCTTGATTGGTCTCCACAACTTTGGATATCCTGCCATGATGACGACGAGCAGAATGCCCGTCTCGCCAATCACGCATGGGAGGATAACGGCTTGGATGTGCCAGAAGATTTCCTCGACAAGCTCATGCACTATCTCGGTATGCAGTTCATGTTTCTATACCTTAAATTCTAATGTGTGTATCAGAGCATAACAACGCATACGTTAGAACCAGCACGGCATCGGCCATAGCGGAGGCTGTGATTTATTGGCCTCGAAAGAGTGCACTGACCATAGCTGCTCTACAAAACTTCTACCGGGAAAAGGTACGACTTTTCATCCTTCTTTACCTGCCCGGCTCTAACTAGTTTGAAGGCAAAGATTCTTGCACCCGAGTTCGACGAATATGTCAGTGCCATATTGAACTTTTCGATTGTGATCCTCACTTGGTGCCCAGGGCATGGTTATTGCTTCTAGCCTCGATCGCTCCGATCCATGGGCTACCCGGGTGGCAGTGGCCCTTGCATTTGAACACTTGGCTCAATCATTCACAGAGGACCAGGTTGAACCATTCTTTGTATTCTTGATCAAGGATGAAGCATTAGGCGACAGGTCACCGGACGTGCGCCGCGGCATGCTTCGGGCTGGAACTGCTGTGATCGACATGCATGGCTCAAAGCGGCTTGCGGGGCTACTCTCGACTTTTGAAGAGCATCTAAGTGGCCCAAGTGCCGCGAATGAAACTGGGGATCAAATCAAGGAAGCCGTTGTCATTCTGTTCGGACGCGTTGCCAGGCATCTCGACGCCTCGGACACACGCATTCCCAGTATCGTCAACCGTCTGGTTGAAGCTCTTAAGACTCCAGCAGAACAAGTTCAAATAGCTGTTTCCGACTGTCTTGTCCCTCTAGTCAAACTCATGGGCCCAAGCGTTCGTACGCTCGTTGATCACTTATTTGAGGAACTCTTCGATGGATCGAAATATGCCAGTCGACGGGGAGCTGCCTATGGTCTTGCAGGTACCATCAAGGGTTTCGGGGTTGGCGCCATGAAGGAATACGATGTCATCAACCGTCTCCGGACAGCTGCTGAGGATAAAAAGCGTTTTGAAACGCGTCAAGGTGCAATGTTTGCATTCGAAACTCTGTCAAATACACTTGGTCGACTATTCGAGCCATACATCACATTTATCCTACCCATTCTGTTGACAGCGTTCGGTGATACGACAGCAGACGTACGCGAGGCTGCTCAGGATGCAGCAAGGGTAATCATGGGTAATATGTCTGGATATGGCGTTAAGCTCATTCTCCCTTCATTATTGTCCGGTTTGGACGAAAAACAGTGGAGATCCAAAAAGGGCTCCATTGAATTGATGGGCATGATGGCTTACTGCTCGCCCCGGCAACTATCACTATCACTCCCCATTGTCATTCCACGCCTTACTGGCGTTCTGACGGATACCCATGCTCAAGTCAAAACCGCAGCCAACAAGAGTCTAAAACAGTTTGGAGAAGTCATCAATAACCCTGAGATACAGGCTCTTGTTCCAACGTTACTGAAGGCGCTTGTGGATCCTGCGAAGACGACGAACGCTCTGTCAGCCCTCCTGAAGACGTCGTTCATGCACTACATCGATCACTCTTCTTTGGCGTTGGTGAGTTACTGCTTCAAATTGTTGTTTTCAAAACTTATAGATCGCAGGTCATACCCATTATCGAGCGTGGACTAAGGGAACGAGGAACAGAGGGCAAGAAGAGAGCCGCTCAAATTGTTGGTAATCTCGCATCTTTGACGGACTCTAAGGATTTCGTACCGTACTTGTCTTCGCTCTTACCGTTGGTGCATCTCGTTCTGGTCGATCCCGTGCCGGAAGCACGCGCGACTGCTGCCAAGGCGCTCGGAACGCTTGTTGAACGTCTCGGAGAAGCCCACTTCCCCGACGTTGTTCCCGGGCTTTTGAGAACACTTAAAACCGATACCTCAGGTGTTGATCGACAAGGTGCGGCTCAGGGTCTCAGCGAAGTGCTTTCCGGACTTGGCATGGAAAGACTTGAAGGCCTTCTCCCTGACATCATTGCCAATGCGCAGTCCCCTCGGAGTACCGTGCGGGAAGGTTTCATGTCTCTCCTCGTGTATCTACCGGCTACCTTCGGCGCTCGATTCCAACCACATTTACCGAAGATCATATCCCCCATTTTGAGCGGACTGTCTGATACGGAAGAGTATGTTCGAGAAGCTGCTATGCGAGCAGGGCGAATGATTGTTACCAATTACTCCACCAAGGCGATCGACTTACTCCTGCCTGAACTTGAGCAAGGCATGTTCGATGCTGGCTGGCGCATTAGGGTGAGTCCTTTTTTGCAGCATATTTTTGCAGGACTTTACCATCGGTCGTTAGCAATCATCAATCACTCTGGTTGGAGAACTCTTATTCAAGGTATCAGGCATTAGTGGAAAGGCTGAAGTTGAAGATGAAGAGGAAGTGGCCGATGTTGCAGTCGTAGAATCTTCTCGTCGCGCGCTCACAGATGTTCTTGGCGAAGAACGTCGTAACCGCATTTTATCGGCATTATATCTTGCAAGACAAGATGCAGTCAACGTTGTTCGGCAGTCTTCTGTTCACATCTGGAAGGCACTTGTGCATAACACACCCCGCACTGGTGAGCCACGCAGATATATCTAATGGTCCGCAATTGATGATGACGACATAGTACGTGAAATTCTCCCGGAGCTGGTTGGTCAGCTGGTGAAACTGTACTCTAGCGAGGAGTTTGAACAGCAAGAGGTAAGCTCATACGGCATAATCAAATATTTCTTCGTTCATCCCTTTCTTCAAGACTGCCACTCGTACCACGGCGGAGCTAAGCCGAAAGTCTGGCGAGAAGGTTTTGGGCGAAATTTTCTCGATCCTCCATGTCAAATCGCATTCTCCTGATATTCGTACTCGCGAAGGTGTCTGCCTTATGCTGTGCGACGTAATGTAAGGACGCTTCTTTCCTCCCTTTCGCAGTGTCTCATAGCATTCAGAGAGAGTACATCCGATGCACAACGTGATGTCCATGAAAATGAAATCATCAACATGGTCCGTGCCTCGCTGGTGGATGACGACGCTAGTGTACGTTCAGCGGCTGCGAAGGCATTTGATGTACTTCAAGAGCATCTCGGCGCGAAAGCGATTGACCAGACGATCCCTACTTTGTTGGAGGCTCTACGCCAGCCAGGTGCAAGCTCAGACACCGCACTTCAAGCCCTCAGGGAGGTCATGTCGGTATGCATCGTCCTTTTCGTATGTGGACCAGAATGTACTTATCCGATTAAAGGTCCGGGCGTCTACTGTTTTCCCTGTTCTTATCCCAACCTTGATTGCCACACCTATGACGGTTTTCAATGCCAGAGCTTTGGCGTCTCTTGTTACCGTTGCTGGTCATGCCTTGAGCAAGCGCCTCATCGTCATCCTTGGTGCATTGGTGAAGGTTTTGGAAGGAGACCAAGACGATGAATTACGGAGCGCTATTGACGAGGCTGTGCGCGCACTTTTAGCCTCGATTGAAGACCCGGAAGGTTTGAACACCTTGATGTTACTATTCCTTGGATGGTCAGTTGCCCCTGCTCTGTAAGCTTGCATGTTTACTTATTATCTTCCGTCTCAGGGCCAAGAGTGATGCGCCTAAACGACGGATTAGCTCCTGCAATCTCTTTGCAGTGTTTTGCGAGGAATCTGACCTAGACTCGACGTTATACCGTGTTGACTGGGTCCGCCAGCTTGTTTCTCTCTTTGATGACCAAGAGGTTCTAGTCCACACCGCGGCTTGGCAAGCATTTGATGTATTCGTCAAGTCAGTGCCAAAGGAAGAGCTAGAGTCCCTTGTGGTCCCCCTGCGCCGGACTATCGAGAGTACGGGTGCACCTGGCCGATATGTTCCTGGATTCAGTCTACAAAAGGGAGTTGCACCCACCGTCCCTATCATTATTGCAGGTCTCACGAATGGCAGTAACGAACAACGCGAAAATGCAGCATATGCTATTGGAGATTTGGTGGAACGAACGGAGGAGTCTGCTATCAAACCTTTCGTGGTGCCATTTACTGGGCCCCTCATCCGTGTTGCAACACAAGCCACCACATATCCTCCTGGTGTGAAGACCGCCATCCTCAGCGCACTGGCCTCCATGCTCGAGAGAATTCCCGGTCATGTTAAACCGTTCTTCCCTCAGCTTCAGCGCACGTTTGTCAAGGCAGTTAGCGATACATCCTCTGTCGTTGTACGAACTCGTGCAGCAGATGCGTTGGGTATCCTCATGCACAGCCAGCCAAGAGTTGATCCTGTTGTCACGGAGCTTATCGCAGGTGCGAGATCAAGCGAGGAAGAGATTGCTGCTAGCTTTGTCCTTGCATTATCGAATGTCGTGAAGAGTTCTTCCGCGCACGGTGGTATTGGAGACAAGGCTAGGGAATCCTGTATTGAACTTGTCCACGACGCATTCCGGGAAACACACGAGGGTAAGTTTTATAGAGGACTTGGACTGGTCTCGTGCTTGTGTTGACGAATCTGTTAGATCACTACGTTCAGGCAACAGCGACATTGATAGCCTCATTATCAGCAAATCCGCAATCACTGAAGCCGATTGTAAAGTTAGTGAAAAGAACGCTTCTATTTGGTTTGACGTATTGACCGTCATCATCAGTGCATACCTGATATCTGGAACACCTCCATCGGCCCTAGCATCGCATGCCATCGTTGCTATCCTATCTCCCGATTCGGACCATTACCTAGACCCAGCGGCTACGCTGTTCGCTAAACTGGGGCTCTTGCGCAGTGTGGCTCTGAAAGTCAAAGAAAGTGCTGGCAACGAACGCCCCACTATATCAAGACCTGCGAGAGAAGCCAGAGACATATTGAAAAACATGGTAGCAGACGAGGAGAGCCTTGCTGGGATATTCTGATGCATTTTGGCTGTGCACCATCTTGATGATCTTACGAACATTTCTCTGATCCTATCAATGATTTACCAATGGGCTGGCTCTCAAAAGTCTGTAATACATATTCCATAGTTCAACAGATGTAAAACACGAGGCAGATACATTCGGAAACAAACTTGGATTAATCATTTCATATCCTGATGATCACTCGTTTAGAACAAATTACTCCTACATTAATACTAGCTTCTCACTGAAAATTTCACCAGGCGGCCTGCGGATATTGTATGCTGAGCGAATGCTAACATGTCGTTTTAGTAGATATTCCACAACGCAAGAATCATCGTGATGTAATCCAGCCCCGAGACCTTTGACGTAGCAGAATCGAAAATATTGATCGCCGAAACGAATACTTACTACGGACGTTATGTATGCAATCCCGTTACGCAAAGTTCTGAGCATACAGCTAAACTTGAAGCGGTGCCTGTCAGCGCGCTACGACTCAGAAGCGGTGGCCGAGCGTGTATTCAAGGAGTACTACCTCAGAGGCAATAGTGCTCTCGCTGACCGCAAAGTTCGGATTATTCATGGTTGATCCGTCAAGAGATATGAATGGGTAGCCGAGTGACCACAGTGTTATCGAGTTGCTGCAAGCGCACCTGTTGGGAGAAAAGATCTAACACCCTATGATACTATCTGTAGGGCAAAATAGTGCTCATACCTATACGCTCCTGTATCCTGAATGCGTATGAGTGGGTAGTGCTGGATATTTTGTAAATTTGCCAAGTTATTTTTTGAGATTCAGCCTTCCCCGGGAGTCGTTTGTGTGAAGAAGTTCCCGAAAACAAATGGGAAAAAGTCGCAGCGGGCTATGTACAGGAGCTTTTCTTCTCACAGTTCAAACAAATACAGGAAGTCATCCATTTCAACGTCCCGGTCAACGAGATGAGTCTAAAGAATTTGAACGGCAACTTACGCTGTTGTGCGATACTTGGGATCTTTTTCAGGGCGCCATGAGTGCTGCTCACTGGCAGGCTTGGGGGATACGATGCAATAGAGAACAAAAGGCTCGTAAAAGAAAGAGGGAAGAGGCTGACTCAGATCAAATACCCATGCGCATCACAAGATCTAAATCACTCCTAAATCTCACTGGTACGCCGTCCTTCAACGCTCTCAACACCCAAGCTCCATGACGATCAACTTCATACCCACCAGGCCATTTCAAACGCAATCTCTCATCCACATCAGAGAGACTCACTTGTCAGGCGCTCTGGCCATATCTCGCAGTTCCATTTTCCGTGGCCGTCTCGAGTCTCGCGGGCTGTAAATGCTTGGAAGGAGTATTGTGATCACATCGGTCTTGGGGTTGATTTGCAAGTATTTATTGAAACGCACATAGCGTTTGGACGAGAGCATCATCTTGCGAGGTTTCGCGAGACCTTGAACAGTATAGATCATCCAAATACTAGTCGTAAGTCTGGCCAGTAAAGACTGTGCTTTGTTACAATGACCCATATACAGCCTATCATGATCAGATTCAACGCACACGCTACAGAGAAATTCAGAATTCTGCTTATCGATCAGCGCTTGCGTGACACTGCCTCGAGGCATGCAGTTATTTTGATGTGAGCCCTTTTTTACTTCGCTTCAACTGCTATTCACTAGCAACGACCATAATGGTCCTTTTCCGGTCTTGCTGTGATTCGCTGATAAAAATATCATTATATCCGAATGGCAACAGCAGATGAGCCTGAAGTCTTTAGTTTTTGAGATGCAGCCCCTGTGCAAGCTGTGCTCAGAACGTTCCAGTTGGTGAATTGGTGCTCGTCGACGTACAAAAGGTACTGTTGCATTTACTTCTCAATGCTACTTGCCCGAGCACACCGTCATGTACAACTCATACGGTCTCCCAAGGGTTTAAAAAATCCATGGCGTAAAACATATCTATATAGGGTATAATCTATGTATCCAAACCTCATTGTCGTAATGCTTGATCGTTCTGGGTGGAAAATGGGACGGGGTATCTTTCCATGGGTTCGAAAGGCTCCTATCTGCAGACAGCAAAGATATCATATAGCCAGCTCAATGCCAAGGACAGCTGCAGCCAGAGCAGCTTTGTTGTCATCTTCCAGCAACTCTGCTTCATTCTCCAGAAATTGAATTGTTCGATCATCCAGCGGCCATTGTGGCAGATGTAGTGGATCTTCCGGATTGACTACGTACAAGTCCGCGGCATAGATCATCCTACATCATGAAGTATAGGCTCATCGAATGATGATTTTCGTAATTATTTTAGCGCTCTGGTGTGTGACAGTCTGGATTATTTAGCCTACGGCAAGAAGCTATCCATAAGTCATGCAGGGCCAGGCAAAATTCACTGCCTTTTACTTGTTTCTGAGGGAGGAGGGACCAAAAACAAAGAAATAGAAATCTTAGATCGACAGAGTCCTGTTAGAAACTAGGCTGATTGGATTTGAATAATTGTTGAGCAAAGACAGTTCTGAGAAACACCTAGCAATAGCTTTGCACATAGTCTGTACGCCCGCCGTGGCGCCGCGTCCTGAACAATTCAAGAACCCAAGAAAAAATGACAAATGAATTCATTTCGAATGAATAAAAAAGCAGGCGCATTTTAACCAGCGATAAAATTGCGGCCAAGTCATTTTTATCGATTGAATTTCACCGAGCCCTTCCCTATGCCCGCACCAAACGAATGAACTAGAAGCAACAAAGCATGAGCTGGCATCTGTTTCATTCCCGAACATCCGGCGATGCAAGCGCGTGAAAGCGTTTGTTACCTTACTCTGATCGCGTATAAAAGCCAACCTATGCGACCCAGAAAACACTATCAACCATGAAATTCACTTCGCTCACCACAATTGTCATATCTGCCGCAGCGATGGCAGGCATAGCTATCGCGTCTGATTCAAATACAACACCGCATGGTAAACCCTGCAAGCCCAATAGTAAGCACTTTTGCGGTCTACGTGCAGGCTGCGTACTTACGATTATCCACAGATACATATCAGTGCGGATCAGGCCTCAACGGCTTTAACAATGGGAGGGATTACGCGTTTGTCTGCGGACAAGTCGGAAAAATTATAGCCTACACGCAGTGTCCCTGCGTAGATTGCTGTAAGGCCACTGCTAATGACGCCAAGTGTCACTACTGACCAGAAGTAAAGTGAGCCTGTCTTTCCCTACTGCCCTTCGAGCTCGAGTATTAATGTTGCTCACAAGAGGGCGTGAACTTTTGAAAGATTCTCAGTTGTAGACTATAGTTGTGGATAATCTCCAGCCTTTCGGATCTACGGATATTCAATAGTAGCCCCGAGTTTACAGACATCTGTATTGATCCTTCTCAAGATAGTAGAGAAATATCACGAGGGATTGCCCAAACCCGCTGCACAAAAACAGTCTACTGTACTGCAGAGAATAACATCGGATAGGACTGATCGCGTAGCAATCGATCCAAATATGAAAGGGAGTCTGTGAGGAGAACATGTGCAAGTATCTCTTGACTGGTCGGTAAACACATAAACAAGCATCAACAATGCCATATCGTAGCGGCGCTCTGCAGCGCCATTCCCCGACTCCGCATGAAGACACCAAGAAAACATATGATTTGTAATACAACGACATTGGACGCATATACTTTCGAGCCAAGACAAATATACACCAAAAAAAAGACAGCTCGAATCTACTCGATCATATCGTACTCCGGCTCGTCATCTTCAAGCATAGTGGTAAAGAAACCTTTTTTAGATGGCGACTGGTCAACTGCCTCGTCCACGGCCCTTCTTTTCCCTTCCTTAGCGCTTAGTGAGTCCACGAAAGCGGTCTGCATATATTTAGCACATAGCAGAAGCTGCATGTGCTGGAGCATGATCTGATACACGCGAGACCCCTGGGCATCATGGGGGTTGATAGGATTGTTGCGTGGTTTGATAGTCCATCTGTGAAATGTCAGAATAGCGAACCTTGTGAATAACCAAAAGCTTACAGTTTTAAGATCACCTCTAGCTCGACGATGGCTCCCTCTTCAAGTTTGGTCTTGTAGTCGCCTACATGGATACCAACACCATGTTCATCTCGGACGTCTGGGGACTGAACCCATGTGCCACGCAGATCGTATGTATTCAACAAGGCAGAATACCGTCTCTTTGAATCCTCGAGGTCGCAAATGCACCACCGGCGACCTAACGTGCGCATGATCAGTACCTTTTGAAATTCGCCAACCCGATCTTTCGCTCATGCCGTATTAGTTTGCATTGTTCAGACTGCGAAAGGACTTGATGACCGAGCCGGTCCACTATGGTAGGTCCATATTCATACAACAGGATCTGCAAAATATAATGTTCATCTGTTTGACCACAAGGCTGAGATTGTGGTAAGTAACAGAGCAAGATATCACACACCACACTCAGACCAACACACTGCAAATAAGTCACTCGATCTTGAATATGAACGGCGAGACCATTGCAAGTTTTCCGACGTGATCGGCCGTGTATTATCGGATGCCCCTTTGCAGGTAGACCACAAATACAAACCAAAAACTCATCAACAGTCAACTTATGAAGCCTCTGAACCAATTCTGTAAGCGGAAGAGCCAACCAACTGATCATCGGTACATCGAGGGGTTCCATACTTGTGGCGGCGGCAGTCGACATAGAGCTACAAAAACATCTTTTCTGTATGTATCACTGAAATACCTCGCCAGCCTAGGCACGAGTAACTGGCTACCAACTGGATCCGTCGAAGCAAAGGGAAACAACGTTCGTAGTTGGTATTCACTAGAACACAAGCTGTTGTCAAGTAGTAACAACGTGAGATAGCAATGCGCGAACACGGCCCGCTTTCGAATTAATTCGTGATTTTAAAAGATGTGAAACGCACTCAACCAGGACACTGTTCAAGAGGGCTGACAATTGCTGCTCCAGGAGCTCTTCGTCGTAGTAGAACCATCTTGGATAGACACAGTCTGGAAGACATATGTTGCTCAACAGAGAGAGCGTCACTGGAGGCAAGCTTGCGCATGATATCACAATGACGGTAAGCCGCGCCGGAACACTCACTAGGTGCCATCGACAACGACACTTGACGTTGGCTTATAGTTATACAAACACCGTCATACGAAACACAACCAAGGAAATCCAAACGACGGCAGGCCAGACAAGACAAAGGATGAGTTTTGAGACAGGTTTTCAACCAAGCGCAAAATTTTTCGAAATGGCAGGATGATATTGTGGATAATAGAGGGCATCATAAAAATGAGGATAGTGAGTCACATAATGAGGCTCGTCGCAGGGAGGACACTGTCCCTCCTCGAGAACGCGAGCCAAACGGCAAGGAGTCTTTGTAAGAAAAACCCTGAAAAAGCATGAGCAATGATTCATCAAAACAAAACAGAAAATACAATCTCACATGCCGTCTGTTCTGGTGTCTATCTAGCGATGAAAGCGATTGAAAAAAGCCAAAATGCTTGCTAACAATGCTAAGTATCGTACGAATCGGTACGATGGAGCATTAGATTAGATAATTCTCCCACTGACTAATACTGTCCCACGGGTGCGTTTGCAGGAAAATAGTCACGTTAACGTCAACCGCAATGACCAGCCAAGCATGCATGTGATCTGTAAAACTGAACCGTCAAAGTTGCGTCAAAGCTGCCTGGGCGCCTGGCACTGGCATTATGCATTGACCACGCCGAGCTGATGTGACTAGAAATCCAGTATCACGACGCTGTCTGTCGTTGTCATTTCGCATATGCGTTCCTTTCACGCATGGTCTCAAAATATCTTCGCTTTCTCGACCGCCACTCCGAGTGAAGCTCGTACATACTAGGCTGGTAGAAACACGTTGTAGGCGAGACCTCATTGGCCTGTTCCCGTTTCTTGGCTTCCTCCGTCTCTTCGCAACCCAAGACGTCGGTCTCGGATTCTGCCGAAAGAAATGGACATTGCCGGAGCACGTTTGACATAATTCTGGACTTCTGTGCGTCATCCGTGGCACACTCGTTGGGAGCTTCTAATATCTCGTACAAATCCGATGGTTTTGACTACACTTTGACAATATTTTACGCTAGCTTTCTAGCACCACAATTTATTTCACCAGATTGCTCCATGGACTGCAAGTATGCTTATTACCCAAATAAGTATTGCTACAGCACGTATTCCCTGATAAATACTTTTTCTAGACAAGTTCTGACAGCCATCTACAAATTCTGCCGTAAACGAGACCTTCTATGGCCCAGTGCACCGAGTTCCATCCCTCCCGGACATTTATTTTTGTGTTTCCTGTATCGTGAGGGCACTATTTTTGTTTTTGTTTGTACTTTCATTTTCTCCGCTGTCAGACAAACAGGGTCTGAGAAATGGAGTGTCACGACATATGTGGGTACTTTGAGGTATTGTATCGATCGAGTCAACAGGAGGCGGTGGAGATGAATTTGACAGAGCTTAGGTGAGTTACGTTGTGCACGTTCGTGCACGATCTTCATTCATCCTTATTCCATAATTCCAGTGCTCATTCCTCATCCTAAAACCGCTCACATGCGATGCTTGGCCGAGGGAGTCACACGAGAAAATAACCTTCCCTGCATTGAGTCCCTAACCCACTAGTCCTAACTTTGGCGCCGACGGATAGAATTCAAAATCTCGTTATATACTTAGGCTCTGAAGGCGGAGCCTAAGACTTCAGGAATAACCTTGGCAACAAGCCAAATAAAAACATAGCAACTTCCCTGCATGTTCCATCGACTCGAAATAGTGTCGACCGGTGTCGCTACGAGTCGTATATATATGGAACAGAACAATGTTAACAATTCCCTGCAAGCTTAGGCACAACGAACAAGGTATGCCTAGTCGTCAGATGTGTTTTTCAGTGTCCGTCCTGTTGATTTTTATCGATCTCTGTCAGAACGATCAATATTCACGGAGGCCTTGTGTTCGATCACTGTGGGAAGGATCGTCCGTAATTCTTCTTTTGTTCCAGCAAAGTAATGACTCAGGAAGCGGCATTTAGTTTTTTTAGGCCTTTGGAGGAAGTATATCACGGCAATCACTATCAAGCCACATTTTGATCATCAGATCACTTTGAAGATTTTTGCATCAAATCTAGACCACATCGCCGTTGCTCGCTCGGCCATGATATATTTTCCATTCAGCGACAATGTCGTGCCCCGTGCACGGCGATTAAAGACTGAGGAGTGTATATTCACGCGTGGTTCTTCAAACACGGATTTCTTCATAAATACCAGGCACCTGTAGATCTAACGACATTCGTTTGCCTCATCCCTCCTTGCAGTAAAACCATGCCAAGCCAACTCCCTGATGATGACGAGGACATCCTTGTTGACGACGTTTATTCCGCATCCATCAAACACGCCTAGCCTCACCAACATTGTAAGACTTCTTATATGGTCCTTCCTCACATTGATCGTTCCGAAGATGTCACTCAATGCACTGACATATCCCAGTCAAGGCTTGGAAAACCTAACGTCAAGCTCTAGGTAAGTTGCTCCTTCTCTTCTCTAAAGCCATCTAATACCGTGACTAGTCACTGGCAGAACTCCCAAAAATTTCATAGCACTACTCACAACTATGACCAAGGTGACAGCGTCAGCCAATACGATGGCCATCAATTGCAGCGCTTTGCCACACCTCCGCTAGGCCCGGATTTGATCCCACTCATGGCGCCTTCACCTTCAGCTGCGGAGTCCTCACAAGTTGTGTTTGCAACACAGTCCACCAACCAGCTGATTTCAATCCCGCTGCAAAGCCATTTCCCTCTTCTTCTGTTGCGTTGCAGATGGGTATGCCAAAACATACCCTGCATGTTTACAGGAACTTTAGAAGAGCTAAAGGCGCATTGTAGAGCCGGCCATTTTGCTGGCCCCAAAGATGTGCCGATTGCATGCCAGTGGGAAAATTGCACTTACTACAAGCGCGGTGACCGCACAGTCCATGTCATGCGGCGCGACTCGATATGGCGTCATACATCTGAAAAGCATCTATTTTTGAAGAGGGGCATGTAGGCATGCGTGACTCTTTTGTATGTTGGATTTGATCTCACTTTTTTCGCATTTTTATAGATTCCAGCCATGCATACTGTCTCGTTCAATAGATATGCTATCGCTCACCCGCTCTTTGCTTTCGTCATTTACCAAAAATCCACTTTGTTTCGTTTATGCATAGCTTCTGAAGAATTCCCATTCGTGCCTACCTAAACCTCTTCCAGTTAGACCTGCCAGTCCATACGGAGAAAAAATTAGCAATGTCATAAGACGTTGCACCGACTTGTGTATTAACTTATGCAATGCCATAGTTTTCCGCTTTTCGGAGGGATGTGAAACTGATGCCACTGCCACGGGCGCCCATCTGAGTCTCCACGGTATCCGCCTTGCAACGGACGGAGATCACCGCGAGAAAAACTACCCCTCCATTAGACATGATGCATTGATGCCTAACACATTATGGCAGTTATGGCCTTTGCGCCTCATATCTCCAACCGTGACTTTCCCAACACCCCAGAGACAGTTGACTAACTCAAGAGCTTGCTGCACACTGGTTATATTATTGACCGTCATGAAGAAAAAAAACCGAAAAGGATCAACGTGCCCAAATTTCAAACCCTTCACGATCTAAGCTCACAAACTAGTGTGTCCGTCCATTCAAAAGAATGTGCAGGCATGAGTGAAAATGTCTCACACAAACGTCCAGATCTAATGCCTGCACAAACCACTAAGGATTATACATCCGTCCGTCATTATGAAGTCAAATGCAAGGAGCCATAAATGAGATACGTGCCAGCTGTCAACATCAGCACTTGTTGACTTCCAGAGTCCAGACGGATGGGCAACGGATGGGGCTGGCTATCTTGATACTGATTCAGCAGAACTTTCGAGATTTCTTTCAATCTCCGCGGCACATCAGCGGTACCAGGAAAATTGAAGTCTGCAAGGCTGTCACTCGTCTACTATGCACACTGCACAGCACAAATCTTCTGGTCCCACAGATCCTGTTGAATGATGCAGATGACTCTGGCGAAGGTACTCAAGGCGAAACAAGCCATCGGCTTGGAGCTCGGTGGGTTGACAGCCATGCAGCATGTTCGAAAGTGGAAATTTGCGATTCAAAGGTGCGTCAAGTGTTGGTCCAAAGTGCGTGGAAGATTTAGGACTGTTTCCAAATGAATGTTTGATTCGAGACCATTTTAATGTCAGTCTTCGAATGGAATAAACATTCGTGCGAATTCAATGGCTTCGAGCGCTTGGCGACATCCCATGCAAAACATTTATACAAAATTGTGCCTGACAACCTCAAGCCTCCTCGAGGTGTCGAACTGTCATACCTGTGTTAATGGGTAACAATTGATAAATGTATGTAGATCAATATAGATCCGCTGCACAGGCACAACAACGAGTCTTTTGGTGATCGTTCGAGCTTCCAGAAGGAACGACTGGTCTGTTAAACAAGTGGTGATCGGAAGTCACCTTTCGCACCGGTCACTATCTAATCACCGATTCACCAGCTTGGTCGGTTATTCTGACCTCCTTCTAGTTTCATAGGTTTGGTATTGCTGTCGGTGTAACGGTGAAGACCACAGGCGCTGAACACCCAGCATCTACGACCCCGAGGACTTTCTGTCTGAAGGTCACAAGTAACACGGTAGCACCCCAATCCTAATCCTCGCACCTTGACGTGGTGTGGAATCCTACACTTGTGACCTCTTGGGGTGGGGTACTACTCCAGTAGGAAGTAGTGCAAGCAGGTATTTGCCACTATCATGATAGCTTAGTTGACAGTAGTGGTAGATCCTTCGAGCGGTAGCGTGCATCATTAGGTTAAGGCCGTACCAGATTCTGTCTTCGATTGACATAATGCCAGTCGCAAGTCTAGGAGGTCTTGGGGATTCCACACACTAAAGTGCGAGGATCGGAATTAAGGGACTGAGACCTGCGGTATCTTTGTGGTGATTAAGTGCCTAGAACTATGGATCACGCTGGAAGGGAAGTACACGATAGTCCTATAAACTTATGAGCGGGGAGTGACGTATCTTAAGAATCAAATACTGTTTTTGCCAATCACCACCTATAGCGCTCATATGACGGATATGAAAAAATTCAGTGTTGTTTTTTCCACTAACCATACTATCGCTGGCAGACACAGAGATCATGACATTGTCAGTTCACTGATCAAGATAAAATTAATAAGATTATAGCAGGTACATGAGATGGGGTGACGACCTATCGGATAAACATACGACAAAGAAACCTTGAGCGACTTCCAATATCGCTCAGGCTTTGGGGACACCTTAATTTACATTGTTCATTTAGATAATGATAGCCTAGGTATCAGCGGGTATCCCAGAATCACAAGAGTCATTCTATGTAAGTATAAACGAACCAACGCTGACTGGACACTGGGACATGTGGGCATCGTGTGAAACGAGATAAATTCGCCATAAGATGAACACCGGGACATGTGGGCATCGTGCGAAACGAGATGGCAGACAATAATGAAAAAGAGGGGCAAGAGGAGGGTCATCGGAAGCTCGAGAGTTACAAAAATGACTCTTGACGAGGAGCGACGATATCCGATTGCTGCCGCAGAGCAAGTCAGCGCTGAAGCAACGTTTCAACAAAAAGATCAAAACAAAAGCCACGACCATAATGAAAAAAATCATTGCAATGCTCAGCTCGATAGACCTCTCACTACCTTCAGAAAAATTCGTGAAAATGATCAAGACACTTCCAAGACGCCACAATTCATTTCTATTCCAACTTCGCACCAGCAGAAGTTGAGCCTGAAACGCCAAAGAATGAGAGCAACTCTGGTGTATATCGCAAGAACGAGAAGACTAGAAATGGTTTTCAGAGGCGTGGCCCCCTGAGGACAAAGAGAAAGAGGTGAGGTGGATAAGCCGGAGGAAACCCACCACTATTCATTATTGTACCAGGAGCCCGAAGAAGGCCTGAACCGTTCTCGTACAGGCCGAAATCATTGTAGAGCACGATCTTCAATTAGTGGCAGCAGCGGTCATGTTAGTTGTGACCGTCAGACTGAAAGTCGTCGCAAGAAATCTATGAAAGTGGAAGGAGGACAGAGTCCAAGCTGATGAATTGGGCGATTTACCTAGTGAATCGGTGTTGATGTCACAATCAGTGACAAGTATGCGCACAGACCAAGACTCGGCCAGAACCGAGTGCGAGGATTGATTCGACTTGTTTAAGCTATTAAAACTCGATTAATTGGCGACTGGTGCGAAAAAAAAAGGTAATTTCAAATCCCCACCTGTTAGAATACCGGAAAAAAAAACGTTGTCATGTCCGCTTCATGAGGGGAAACAATAAGACGGTCATTTTTGCACAGGAAGTCCCGTTGTGTAATGGATCCAGATTGATCTGCATATGTACGTTTGCCAAATGTTCTTACCGCATTAACACAGGATGTCGTGTTGCCGAAATGATAGTGTTGCGTCATTCCGAGTCGAGAACTGACATCGAAGTGGTTTTCGAACCGAACTTTTGGAAAGAGGCTGCATCATTGCATGACCATGGAAAATTGGGGTTTCAAGGCGATGTCAGATGTGCTAACTCCGCTGCTGAGAAGTTGAAGAGGCAGCATGATGGCATAGGTCATTGATAAAGTTCTTGAGATCCGGGGACACGGTGGGTTATCCGGTCAGAAGCCTTTCAATCCTTCCGTTCCTCGAGATCAAACGGTGGTTTATGGGGCGGTAGATAGTAGATGGGATAGGAAACGACATTCCGACTCAATGGGGACACGCCGCGGGCAATAGACGGAAGAGAAACAATTGGTGGCACATCCGACGGCCTCGCTGGCAGTGCTACATGCAAGAAAGGAAATAATTTCCCGGTCTGTCTACGTACAGAGAACATTGTTCAATAGTCGGAAATAAATGAACTCATGTTGCAGATCATTGACTCGCCATAGCGCCGCTGACGCACCAGTTACCACCTCCCCCGACTTCTTTCGAGCTCGGTTATTGTATTTATTGTACAGTAATTCCTAGTTCAAACGTTCATTGGCGAGTCAGATGGTAGCAGACTTTGCAAGTTGTCGCTGACATAAGATTTTCCCGCACAATTGCTTAGATGTTTCCTTCCAACAGAACCTTGAAGGCAGTGAGAACTCTCCACTTGTACCCCGACTTCGATGCGTTTCATGGACACAGTATTTCCAAAATTGCTCGTTGAACCACAGTTTCGGATCTAGTACTGACGCGAGGAACGATTCGGATGTGGAGATTAACTCAACTACGATGGCCGCACAAACGGATGTTCTGCGGATATGAAAACCTTCCACTGGTATTCGGACCATCGCCATTAATGTCATGGTCGACTAACTGACGCTGGTCTTTAAGGCGTGACAGCCTTACGAAGTTACTGGCAGTATATCGGTCGGCGTTACAAAGGTGTGGCATCCATCACACTCGTATCGGAACAACTTAATCGTTGATAACTGGCGTGACTTACTCAGTACAGCTAGGCTCAGTTGAAATTCAACTTTTTTTTGCAGTTTCTTCGGGCTTCAACCTAGGTTCAGGAAACGTAAGTGGCAGGACTATAACTCCAGCTCAACATAAAATGCAGGGCCACAGTAGAGGCATAGCTAGTACTACAATGAAAGTGTGCCGGTAAATTTTGTCTGGGTTCAATGAATATTAATACAACTTATCTGCACCTGTCTATTATAGACCCTCGTGTTTAAATTCTCGGACTACCGCCGTGCTCCCTTTTGCGGGCGACTGCTCGCGCTCGAGTATTCGGATACTGCCCTGAACAGCTGGCCGCACCTGCCCGTTGTAGACGCCTTCTCCTAGCCTCGAGTGTATCTTACATCAAATACGGCATGCACCCCTGCTGGCATTCATCCCCTATTATATTGCAAATGTACTAAATGAAGTACGGTATAGTCCACGATTATTTCGATATACTTGTTATGGATGCCTTCCGTCGCTGAGGCTATCGGCATAAGATCACAGCAATTGTATATTTCATGTCCTCGTGCCCATGCTTGGCTACTGCGCTGATATATTGGAGAGGTATCAATAGGTCGCACATCGTCGGAACTTGTTTGGGACTTATCGCTGTATATTTTGTCACTATGTAAGCAACACCATACCGCTTGGTTTATCATGGTCTGGCAATATATATATTTTTGGCTAACTCGTACATTCCCTTTCCTCCTACCTTTAAACGTGGTTATTTAATGACCGTAGGGCCCACGCCATCTCCCCAAACCCCCGGATGAATTTTCCCTGAAACCGGTAGGTTATATACCATGCAACCATTGCTTGCTACAATCCTATCATTTAGCACACCCATTCCAGATAAACTCGTGCCCCATCAGGACATCCTCGACGACGACCTTCATCGTACCTTCAACCAGTGGCCTCCTCGACGTTAACGATATGGTAGGATGTACTTCTCCATCACACTAATTTTTTTAAACTGACCCCTTCAAAGTTAGAGAAAGCGAAGTCACAGTCAACCACAATAGATCATCAGACATCAAGCCCTGTGTTAGTCTGCTCCTTATCTTCCTTACAGACATCTAAGATTGTAATCAGTCATGGCACTCGACCCTCCATTGGCCCATGGACGTCAGGCGATTCGTCAAGCAGCACCGATCACAACCGCCATAACTTCACACGGGATCAATACTCAACACTATCCGTTTCCGCATCCTTTTCCCAGGCCTTAGCCATACCCCCACCGCAAAATGACCACTCTACTACCATCAATATGCTTCCATTTGTTCCGAATTATGGCTTCAATAACAATATACCAACCCTTCACAGAATCCAGTACCACAATCCGACATTAGGTGCCAGCATCGTGCATTCTTTTTCTCCTGCGATTGGAAGCAGCTACCCGTCCCCATTACCACCCCAAAAGTATGTTCTTCATTACATTTACCACGTACAAATAGCTATTTGCTCATAACCACTTTCATACACAGGGTGTATCCAAATGGCCGTTCTTCGCGGCCCATCATTTCTTCGCAGTATACCGTGATTAATGATACGCCTTTCGTCTTTGACCCTCATACTTCCACCTCCGATTTTTCGCTATACAACAACAACTCACGACATCATCAATGGCAGACCCATGCCGTTAGTCAGCCAGGAATCTCAAGCCTGCCGTTCACGCCGGCGATACCTCCGCCACAGGCTGCGGAATCTTCACAACAACTTGCATTTGTGATGCCACCCTATGCGATCCATGGTGAACAACCAAGCTACCGTTCGAACCAGCCGCCAATAAATCAGCCCCCTCCACCCTCACTTCATAGCCATCCCTCAACTCCCGTTTTGTCATGTCGATGGCTAAATGACGCCGCTATACACTGCGGATTTACAGGGTCACTGAAAGAATTAAGATTGCATTGCAAAATCGTCCATTTTTCTGGACCAAATATTGCGCAGATTGAATGCCACTGGGAGGGTTGCGACTACCACAAGCGTGATGACCCCACTGTTCACGTCATGCGGCGTGACAGCATCTGGCGTCATACGTGCGAGGTACATTTGAGGTTGAAGAGGGGTAGTAACTAGGCTTCCGCGCCTCTTCGCATTGATATTTTGGCAATCTCTTTTGTTGTACCACTGCTAGCTACCCTATGCTTTCTTCTGCTGTGTAAGCTAGGTCTGCTGTCGCCGCCTGCTCCTGCTCTTATCGACCGTTCGCCATAGGTTTACTTAGTCTCACATTGCATAGTGTCTATCAATATTTTTAGGGTATCCCTTATAATCAAGAGTTGATCCGTTTTGATCTCGTTTTTAATATCAGCGTCCGTGTCACCTGGAAGAAGTTTAGTACCTGCTGGGCACATGTCGTAACGTTTCGTTTGCATTTAAAAAAACCCGAGTAACAGACCTAGCTAGAAACCATCACACATCATGGGACCTGGGCGATTATTTTTAGTGTCGAAACCTGATGCATCTGATGCTCCAGGTACCTTCTCTGTGGACTTTCTCTCGATCTTTTGAATCAGAAGAGTGATTGCTTATCACCGAAGAAGACGTAGTGTACATATGATCCAGGGAAATTGCGGACTGCATCAATGTCAATGCATCACTCGCGGCAGATGTACGTGAGTCTGTATCCACAATCAAACCCACCAATGCCCATGAACCTTCTCTCTATACCCACAAGAGCCAATCACTATCTTTACGTCGACCCGCTGGAATATTTGACAATCAAATACTATGAGTACAGATTCATCGTGAAGACATATCGAAAGAGTCGTGCGACTTCATTCCAGAAGAAAACTTACCATCCCAGTGCGTTTCTTCTTGAGTAACGTACAGAACTCGCCAAGCAACTGGTCAGGAGCGTCTAGATCTGGTACCTCGAATACGCACCCCATCCCTCGAGGGTCCAACGTTTGTTTGTCGTCTCGAGTCGGACATACGAAGTATGTGCTATGGCATACTTTGATTGATCGTTCAGCAGAAGAAGGCTCACCTTTTACATAACACGCGTATGTTCAACGTATGGATGATTTTGAATGTCCGTGGCAAGTCAGCGCTGCGCTGTGTTTGTCCATGAAGCTTTGAAGTAGACCAACAAGTGGACATGGCTTACGTAAATGATAATCACACCATGCGGCGGCCCGCTTCGAGAAGCGCTTGGAATCCGCACTCAACCAACGTCGACGTCCTGGTTTCACGCATTACGAGTCAGTAGTTTGCTCACGTTGCAACGCGCGAAATCAAGCCCAAAATCAAGACTTGACAAATACTCATGGCCCTGACGCTACCTAGCTGGTCGAGCGCGCTCAAGGTCACTAAGTCAAGCTCCAGTAGACGTGTGATTTCTCATGGTATCGCCAACCAGGAGTGAGTTTCGGGCTCCCATTACCTTGCGCATTCCATAATGACAGAATTGCGGGCTAGTTCAGCACGCAGAATGTCTACCGCTACTGCAGACGCGCCGCCATCCGCCCCTTCAGGCAATCTCCCACTGTCAGGAATCCGAGTTCTTGAGCTTGGACAACTCATTGCTGGCCCATTCTGTGGCCAATTGCTGGGGTAAGTTCTCCAAAGAGCGGCTTGATATCATGCAGGACTGTAAATAGACATTTTGGTGCAGACATAATCAAAGTTGAGCCACCTTCCACCGGAGACCCACTACGAGTATGGCGCGAACTTGATATTGACGGAACGAGCCCTTGGTTTCGAAGCCTTGCGAGAAACAAGAAGAGCATTGCCATTGACCTGAGGAAACAGGAAGGAAGAGAGTACGTTGAAGATTAAGGTTCCGTCATCTCGATTTCATATCCTATTACAGAATCGTGAAACGGCTGGCTGTAAGAAGCGACGTCATAGTCGAAAACTTCAAGCCCGGAAGTGAGTTGCGTCAGCATGGTTCGTATATCCGCACTATTCTCAAGGGTATCTTCAGCCCTGGAAAAATGGGGTCTTGGGCCACAGGACTTACACAAGGAGAACCCTTCCCTGATCTTCACCCGTGTCAGCGGATATGGTCAAACAGGTCCATGGGCTTCACGACCAGGATATGCGTCCGTATGTGAAGCCGAGTCAGGATTTCGTTTTATCAATGGACAGCCAGACCCGAATACCGGACTGCTTTCGGGTCCTCCGATAAGACCTAACATCAGTCTCGGTGACTCTGTAGCTGGTTTACACGCAGCGTTTGGCACTGTGAGAGGCCTAGTGATGTCGGATGTACATGTACTGACATTCCCAAGGTGCTGGCATTGTTGTCGAAGCAGAAAAAGGCATCACGAGGGGAGCAAAGTGGTGAGACGGTGGATGTGAGCATCATGGAGAGGTAAAGATCTACCATTTTTCACGACTTCCACTGGACAGTTTGCAGCATGTTGAACCTGATGGAAGGCATAATTCCGGAGTATGATCGTAAAGACAAGGTGGGAGCTCACCGCGCGTCCGTTTAAATCACGTCCAATTTTCATCTTCACAGGTCCGTGGACCATCAGGTTCGTCGGTGACTGGCATAGTTCCCACTAACGCCTACCCCTGCCTCCCATTACCATCAACCCCAACCTCGCCAACATACGTAATCATCGGTGCAAATGGAGATACCCTCTACGCACGACTTATGCATGCTATCGGTCGTGAAGACCTCATAGGAACGTCGTACGCACACAATCACCATCGCGTCGCACGGCAAGGTGAGATCGAAGAAGCTATTTCGGCATGGACCAGCCAGCGGCAGGCTGAAGAAGTTCTGACCATTCTTGAGGGCGCTGGCGTCCCTGTCGGACGCGTCGTAGGCGTGAAAGAGATTGTGGAAGGCGAACAAGTAAAGGCCAGAGGAGCAGTGGAGGACGTAGAGGTTGGCAAGGAGGGAGAGGGATGGAAAGTCAAGATGCCGAGAGTGTTTCCTGTGCTCGAAGGCTGCGACACGAAGACCAGATGGGCAGGACCTGATCTGGGTGCACATACAGAAGAAATTTTGCAAGGAGAATTAGGGCTAAGCGCTGAAAGTATCATCCGGTTGAGAGAAATGGGCGTCATTGGAGTAAAGCCAGTAGCTTCTGTAGTGTAATTATATATGCTTCGATTAATGGTTCGACTGTTACCATCATGATTATATCAGCGATATATACCCGTTTGATCGGATACTGCATGCAGTACAACTGACATGGACCTGATAGGCTGGCACACCATAAATACCACCTTACACCTCAGCTGGCGAACAGACTTATAATGTCCACAAGTTCACATTGTGACTTCACAATATCTCCCAATACCACAAGAAAGGACATCCTGCATCAGGCTTCGCGATTTCTTCGAGTCCTTCGAATTGCCCTCTCGAATACTTTCACTCCACCACCTTCGACACCACCCACAACCAAATATTTATCTTCGTCACCTCCAAACGCCATTCCTTGGACATGGTTTAGCCCCGTACGCACTTCGTTGAAGTTCATTCACCGGTTCTGGCCGTCCCTCTCCAGCGGTAAAAGTGAATATTGCAATAGTATCACTTTCTGAATGACTCGTCATTCAATCTATTTGACGCGTAGATGAATGTTTCAGAGATTCTTCCCGGGCACGTTGGGTTCAAACAACAGAATGTCCGCTGCCGTCGTAATGGCGCCGTATTCCGAGTCGGTATCGGTAACGCAGAAAGCGTGAACAAAGATGTGAGAGGTGTATGGGGCACCGAAAGTGGAGAGAACATGTGTATATCTAGCTCTAAAGTAAGTTCCAATAGCTTGTAAAGGAGATTTCTTGTTGCAACAAGGTTTCAAGCTTTGAAGTGAATGACACACCTCGAGCTGCGACATGTCATAGCCCACCCCCTGCTTCGGAGTCAATATGACTACCTGCCATCGCTTCGTTTGGTGAGTTTCCAGACTCTAGACCTTATCAGCACCCAAATCCAGGATCAAGAGTTCGTTTTTCTTCTGGTTCAGTGGGTCAAAGACAATTTGATGGGGGCGGGATGAAGATTGTCCAGCTTTGTTTCGACCTACATGTTCAAATGGCACTGAAAGCGTTTAGCTTGGTGAGAGTTCGTAAGAGGCGGACGTTGATATCGGAAGAGTCGCGATTATGCCCGAGGCATAGTGGGTGCAGACATACATGAGTGCGAGGAAGGAAACGTGTTCATCGCTTTGTTGTGATTTACCACGACATTCCCAATGATAAGCTCGTCTTCCATGACAAGCTCCCGCACCATTCAGCTACGGTTTAGAAAACCACATGGCCATACGGCCATTGGCATAGATTACAAATGAGACATCGAAAGTCATTGCCATATGAGTTTATTGGTTATCCAGTAATGTGCTCATGCATCACAAACGAAGTCGACTAGAAGCTTTACAACGATACCTATATGTGCAAGAATACCATAAGGATCGGGAAGTGGTTTCTAGTGACGCCTACGCTTGCTCTGCGTCTTCCGACTAGACACGTACTCTTGTCTGGGGTTCATGATACGGCGGAGCAAGTATCTCAAGAGACCACCAGCATATGCATTATCTCTCGGAAAGTACTTTCCCGTCGCTTTAGTATACTCGCTCAGGTCCACCTCCGAAGAAAATATCGTCACTGGCTCCTCGGTAACTTTTGTATCGATCAAGTCAACAATATTGACATGAGTGGCTTTGACCGCCTGAAATGTGACCAAACTTATCAGTAGTGCAGACGGGGACAAGTTGGGCTTCTACCTCGCGGCATAAATCAAGAGTATCAGGAATCGGTGAGACACGGACGATCTGACACAAATTGCGCCATGAAGTGAGATCATTCACATCCGTGCCGTATATCTCGTTGAACTGTTTAACAAGGGCGTCCTTGAAATCACTGTGAGCTTGTTCTCTTTCTTCGTCTTCCCTATCCCAGCAAAACTGGTCGCACATCCGGTAAAACTCCAATGGAGCTGACGCCGACGAGTTGTATGTGAACTTGGGATATGTTGCAAAAAAATCATCTAGAGGTGTCTGCGTATATGTTTGGGAGCGCTGATGCGTGTTTTAGCTTGTCTGCGAGACTGAAGAATGGTTGTATTGACCTACATCATTGGTGACTTCGAACTCTTCGTCATGTGCAAACCTGCACTGGGAGCCGAATCGACAACTAGCGGTCTGTGAGTAACTGTAGCACACCCTAGAGGACGATGACATTTCGTAGTAAGAAGTACCACACGTCGTACTCGTGCAGAATATAGTGTCAGCTGGGGGGTCTTTATATTACGCTTGAATGCCTCATTATTTCCGATATCACAGGAAAGGATAGTCTTTGCACCTCACCAGTAAAACAATTGGAAAATCACATATCCGAGTCACGGTGGACCCACAATTGACAAACACTTCATGTGCAAAGCCAGCTTCTAGACGTACGTGTGGGAGGCGAGTGGTCCCCATCGAGAGATATAGGAGTGTATAACTTACGTGTGCACAGGACATGCACTCAAACTTCGGTCAGATGACGGGTGCATTATGACCCGAATGAGTACCCTGTTCGGCGTTCGCAGCCGTCCTGCGCCAAGATGGAATTTGCGACTGTTGTGCCATTCACTCGAAATACGGCATAGGATACAGAGGGCCGGTAAGGCTTAGTTGTGTCACTAGACGATGATCATGACGCTGGATAAATGCTGAACCGTGGCGTTGATGAAGAGACATAGGCTGGTGACCCTGGCGGTTACAAGTCTAGAAGAGACACACCCGAGCCTACTTTTGTAAACACATCCAAATATAGGAAGTCTTCTAGACCCTCTTGATTCGCTCGTGAGTGGTGACCACCTCAGAATTTCGAAACCATTTTCATGAGAGACTCAGTCAACATCGATCTCATCTCTTACCATACTCTGGCCATAAATGGTGCGCTCAATGATTGCTAGCTATCTACTGTTATGATAGTGGTTGGAGATAATGATCACCTTGCGGAGTAAATGCACGTTGTTGTAATTTACTATAGTGACCTTGTTTTATAATCGGCGCTTATACTGAATATCGTCTACAGTATACCTCTCCTTCGAAGTTATACTCTGCTGAGGCCTTGTACAACTTTACATAAATCCGGTTTCCTTGGCTCTCTTGTTTTCATGCATCTCACCACAACCTCTTCAAGACATTCTCAACACGGAACAAACGCTCGATAGTACTTTATATGTACGATGTCTACTGGCAGCCGGTTTCATTCACAGCACCATGGGTAACGGTCCCTCTCTATTCGTGCGCACGCCACAAGAGCATCTGGAGCACATGTGGAAAACTCCTAGTCCACTCCCATATTCCTGTCCACCTGGGTGTGTGAGCTATATCTCCTCGCTTGATCACTATCGATTGCTGAGCTACCTTGATGGGCCAACAGACACGTCCGCGTTTATCTTCTTCCAGAATGGACTCCGGGTAAAACCCCAATGAAAGAGCCATGGGCTGCGCTGAAAAACGACTTTGCGCTCGAACCTACGGGTGAGCTCGATTTGAAAAAGGTGAAGGCAAAGTGGGCCCTGGAGCGGTGTTCGGTGCGTGTTTCCTGCATGGTGCTATGTCTACTAAGATGTTGGTTGACGTGATAGGCAATCGATCTGGAGAGAATGCAGCCGTTTGAGGAGACGTGTAAGGGGAGATTGTCGCTGCTTGCTTTGAAAGTGTTGGCTGATTCGAAGGGTGTCGTTTGGATGTACGGTGAGTCCGTGATACTCTTGAAACATATTTCCTGTGCTCCTCGTAAGGGAGACTCGTTGTTTCACACACGCCCTTCCAAGACGTACCTTTTGGTGTATCTAATGGAGTTTCATGCCCCAATGCTTATTTTTCGTCTTGCAATATAGAACCAACGCCCTCTGAAGATACTGTATACATACGCGAAGGCCGCCTACGTATCGTACGGCAGTACAATACTGCAGTTGAACGCGTTTTGGAAGCGACGCTGGGTCGCCTCTCAAAGTTACTCGATAACGGTGTAGTGGGAGAAAGCGTGTCTCATTACTACCCCGAATACTCTGGTGCTGACCCAGGTCAAGTTCCCGACGTGCCGCAGGAGGCGCACAGCGAAGAAGCATCGGTCAAGGAGAACGTCGGGGAGGCCGAAGGTAGCAAAACAAGCGCGAGTCTATATCAACAGCAACGACAACTGATATCCTTCGTGGCAGTTTTGTTCTTATTTTATTCTGGCGCGCTGGGTCGATATGCTCAATTTGGGAGGGATCTTGCGCTTGGGTGGTGACCATTTGATTGACGATTTTTCTACCGATAACTATGCCTATATGTCCTTCCTCATGCCTTCTGACTGCTGTTTGCACATGCTTTCATGCTCTGTGATTTCCTACTACCGCTCACTTAATTGGTCCACCTGTAATTTTCAAACTATGACCTATGCGCAATGTTTTTTCTCTACACCAATCCCAGGCCGAGCATTCAACCAATTCCCACATGACTAGCTTCGCGTCCTGGCATTTAAGGAAACACAAGAAGCACGTTTGAAATGACATTCACGATGAACTTGTATTATGACTAAATCTAGATCTCAGAGTGGACGTGCCTTGACAAGGAACACGCTTCATGATACTTATCACGTGATGTTTGTTGGAACAGAGTCTCTTCTTTACGCGTACTACTACAAACGCCGGTTTGCAGCATAAACACTTCCAGTGATATCTTCTGCCTTGCTCCCAAGTTCAAACCCACCCACTTGTGGTGGTCATTGACATAATGATTCGCTCGATCAACATAGAGGGGTACCTGTTTCGGGGAATCTCAATGATACTGTCAAATATGACAGAGGTAGAACGCGGAGTCTAGGGTACGGGTGAAAACTCGTTCTTTATTGGATGACTTCCCGTAGGACTTAGAATTCCAGATATGTGATTCAAACGTTATGTGCCGAGGAGCCGCTGTGAAACGTAAGCGATTTCCAACTCCGCACGTTAAACGCACCCTGTTCCAGATTCAGATCGTCGTTCTAAACAACGTTTCAGTCTCCGCGATGTCATACCGCACAAGCAACGTCAGGTAAGTCTGTGCTCCATCACTCTGTGCCATGCATGCTCCCATTCATGCAAGAGCTTCATTTACAATTTTTCTAGGTGATTACGGCGCATTTGCATGTGAAGCAGCGAAGATAGGCATTGTCACCATGTTTTTCGTATGTCCAAGTCTCCCGGATCTCCCTTTTACGCTAATCAGTGATCGTTTCAGGCGTATGCTACACTCCGCACCATGTGCAACGCACAATGCGCTTTGCAATATAAATTGTATGTCTACATTCAATATATGTATCATCAATCTCTCTCTAACTTTCTACAAAGCCTCGAACTCTTCGTTATGCAGCCCGCTGGTCAAACATTCACATACCCCCCCCTCCCTCCACTTCCGCCTGGTTATGGTGTGATGCCATCAAACTCATATTCAGCTCCGTTCTTGCCTGGTCAGCCCTACAGTGCGCTCTCCGGAGTACCATATGGACCTGAGCAATCAGATGGCGAGGACAATGATTTGATTGAAAACCAAGTTCTGTTCCCGTCCTTCACACAATGTCCATCTACTGTTGCTGGTAGCCGTCGTTCCAATGCAGTTCCATCCCAAGCTAAAGGCAAGAGGAAGGCGGCCGCCACAACTGAACCACCAACCAAGAAAAGACCGGGTTGCGGCGGTTGTGCTTCAGGTACACCAAATTACAATGATGATGATGTTGCTGCCCTACTTGATGCATGCATGAACTGCCTTCCACTTGGCACAAAGGGTTGGCTCGCTGTTGAGGAAGAGTTTGCTGCATGGGCAGATAGCCATGACCGTCCCACTTGTTCTGCAAAATCTCTTGAGCTTAAGTTTAAGCAGGTATGTACTCTTATCTACTGTGAACTCTGGTACTGATGTTCTACTTTAAGCTGGTTCGCACTACGAAGCCAACTGGTGATGCTGAGTGCCCTCCTCACATTGAATGCGCTCACGAAATCGACTTCCGCATGAATGAGAAGGCTGGCACCCATGATCTCGATGATGATGAATTTGCCGATGAAGTTATTAATATTGGGAGTGACGAAGATGAACCTCAGCGAGCCAGGACACCAAAGGTCTCTGTCAAGACAGAAGTACGGGATCCTGCACTTAGTATTTCCCATCGCTCTGTTAGCACACCCACTCCTTGACCTTGCACCTCACGCACCTCAGGTCTCGATCTTCTAACTTCAATCACTGCTTTGCTTGATCCTCGCCTTCAAGCCGCTCGAGATGACAAGCGCGCTGCTCGGACTTTGCAGACCACTCAACTTGTATCTACGTCTAACCAGTTGCGAGATGCGCACATGACCATTAATTCTCTTCATGATCAGCTCTTGCAGTGTGAACATGAGCGTGCTAATGCTGAGTGTCGTGCAGACCATCTAGAGATGCAGTTGGAAATGGCTCGACTCATGCAGAAAGGTCCAGATCACCGACCGATGCCATGAACACCACGACCACCACTAGTGATGTGCAAGGCCCGGCTCGGCTCAAAAGCCGGGGCTATGGCTCAGCTTGATAGGGCTCAGGCTCCTTCAGATTGCAGGCCAGGCCCTCCACAACGGCTCAGGCTTGGTCAGGCTCGGCTTAGGGCTCAGGCCTTGGCTTCATATCACAATAGTGCTACAACATGTCTAATGATTGAACAAATACATCTTCGTCATCAGAATCTCGCTGCACTTCTTCATCATCCAATTCTTCGCCCAATACATCCAGTAAGTCACCCATCTGAGGCTCAGGCTGGTCCAAGTCTCCATCACGTGCCTTTTAGGGTCAAACCTTGTCTTCGTCTCATCTTCAATATGCTTGCTGAAATGTTCCATCATGGTGTCATTATTGGCCGCGTTGTCGCAGGTAACATAACCGATCTAACAAATGGCAAGCAATGTTAGTTGCACGAATCACACAACGGAAAAATCGAACTGACCTTGTGAGCAATACCGACATGTTTCACGACCTTGAAAAGTGCTTGACCAAGCTGTTTACCATTGTGCACGTGGTTCAACTGAGTGAAGCCGAGAAGTGCGCTTTCGACCTTCCAAACACCAAGACTTTGTTCTTCAATCCAATGGCCCGTCACTGCGAAGTAGCCGTTGGTGTTGGAGGCCAGCCATCCATCACAGGTGATATTGACATGGCCTTTGACAGCCTCACTCTAAACGTACAGTGAGACCAGAGAACTTGAGTAAAAACCAACCAGAACATGACACATACCAGTAGTCTCTTGCGAAGGTTTGTAAGATTCTGTTTAAACAAGTCAATTATTGCATGCCGTGTCTGTCTGCGGTCGGGTAGGATGACACCATTTGTTGCACGGGCTGCAATGTTGACCATGTTATGAAAAGCGGGATGTTCGAGGGCTTCGATAGGCTGATATTCCGTGAGACACGTGATTTTCCCTACTTCAAAACAAACATACCTGGTCTGTATCAATCAGCCACTGAGTTGCGGCCTCCCGAAATAATGCATCTGTATATTGAACGACCCGTTCATTTGGCACACGTGGCTTGAGGTGTCCTTGAGATATGGAACAGAGAACAGTGCGTTGATATCACGACTGCGCCGCTCTCATCAAGGCTTGGACGGTTCGTTGATACCCGTGACTTTGATATCGGTAAGAAAGCCTTCCGCATCGACTGAATCGGCATTAGGTAGGGGTACTACAATCATTTGTTAGTGAGTTAGCGTGATAAGAGGACAACATAAATGTACCTTTCTTTTGCCGTTTTTTCGGTGGTTTCACTGACACCAGGGGGTCTCCTTCTTCCAAGTCGTCCTCGTCAGAAGCAGGAGGCTGTGCAAGGTCGACATCCTCAGCATCAGGACTTTGTGCAACCTGTTTTTGTCCTGTAGGAATTGTCAATGGGTTGCAGTTAGTAAAGCACATAAAACTAAAAAAAAACTTACCTTTGATGAGCCGTTTGTTGGTATGGGGGCTCACCAGCTGGATTTTGTCATTGTCGGCCCCATCTAAGTCAGTAGGGTCCAAGATAACAGCAGCGCAGTTTGCGATATGAGCTATTCTGTGGGAAAGAAGCTCTTGATCAGCTGCATTGTCCGCACTAATCACCTTTGCTGATGGCACAGCAACCCGTTTAGGACGTGGCGCAGGCGCTTCCTCAGTGTCGGAGTTGATGCGTGGCACCATTGGAAAATAAGGTTAGCCAGGCGATCAGCAAAAAAGGAGGGGTGATCCTGTAGTATGGACTGAAGAAACTATGCAGTTTCTTGGATATCACCGCAGGTCATAGATACTAGATTTGGTTGGCTGAAAGCCAGGGCTCAAAGGCCCGGCCCAGGCTTGAACAAACCTGAGGCCAAGCCTTGAGCCTACATAGGCCACACCCTAAGGCCCGGCTAGGCTCGGCCTAAGTCGGCTGGGCTGGGCCCGGCCCACGGCCTGAAGCCGGGCCTTGCACATCACTAACCACCACAATACATACACCGTGAAATGAAATATATTGATGGGGGAGCATCTACAATCTGGGTCTCACCTGATGCTGAAGAAGAGGTTAACTTCGATCATGACAGCCTCCATGATGTATTCTCTCAACAGGATTACATTGAAGATCCAAAGACTGGGTGTCACACCCTTCGCAGACGCTCCGCATCACCTATCCATTCTTCGAGTGCACAATTCAATGTGTCATTCACTCTGACATCTTCCCGTACTGGCACAAACGACTTATCCGTTGTAATCTCACCAACTCATGCTAGCACTGCAACTCAGCACATTCCACCTACTTTGAGTTGTTCAATGGCTCAGTCTGTCTTGTCTGCTCATGCAGAAGACTAGGCTCTCAACAGAACTCAAGCACTTTCAACAGCGCGACTCAACCCACTCTCAGCCGCTCTCAACAGTGCCACCCAAGTGCTCTCAACAGCACCACTCGAACACTCTCAACAGTGCAAAATTCGAGCGCTCTCAACAGTGCAAAGTTTTCTTAGTTAGAAGATGATGGGGGTACCTAAGTATGTAGTATGAAGTATGTAGTACTGGATGAATAAAACACTCTTCTGGGCATAGGATGGGTAATAAACTGTGCATTAAGTATGTGTGTTGTGGAATCGAGCTACACGATCATTGCTACACTGTTGTGAAAAGAACATATCTTCGAATTGTGCCCAAACCATCCTATCCTGCTCATCCTCTTGCCAAATTGGCATGTATACACTTCGTATTTGATTAATTCCTACCATCCGAACATGTACATTATTGAGCCGAACACACACTTCGAGCAGATCATGACGCTGCTCGCTGAAGTTAATATTGAGGGAAATGTGAAGACGTCCGAAGGAGCCCTGAAGAGCGCACATGCCCCACTCTGCTGTTTGATGAAAAGAAAGTAGCTGCCGGTCAAATGAAAGCAGCTTCTGTCTTTCAGCAGGATCATTAGGGAGGCGTTGTCCTGACTTGAGTGGGGCTTTGATGCGACCAGAAATTTGATCTGTACCTCGCGGGAAAGCTGTGTCAGCAACAAGGTAGTATCCGTCTGGTGTGTGTGTGCTGAGTTTTTCATAGATGGGTCGGGCCATGCGGGAGTCATGCCAGCTGCTGGGTGCATTGAGGCGGCATTGAATTATTGAGCCTGCAAGTAGTAGCAATAAGAATAAATGACTCAGCGGATGATTTAGGCAACGACTCACCATCAGCACTAAATGCAATGACCGAACTGACAAAGTGACTGTGCAACCACCCATTATAGGTTGCGTTCTCAATCTCTTGGTCCTGGGATGTTTGCACAGGTAAGTTTAGTCCATCAAGTGTGCCAAAACCCCCCGTCAACAAGGGATGACGTGCGACGACAAGTTCATTCAAAACTTGAAATTGATCCCCAGAAGGCCACTGGATGTAGGCTTCGGGGATGTTCTTGAGTGCGCAAAGTAGTATAGTGAGGGAAAAATGTAGATAGTGTGAGACAGTTGTTGGGATAAGCGCAAAAATTTGCATGAGGCTGACCTCTTGCATGGTCGAGTTGAGCCAATGAAGAACAAGGCCTAATGCACCGGCAGCGTCCAGGGAACGTTGATAAGCACGAGGGTTAGCAGTGACAGAGATATCATTGCGGGGGATGGGAGTGATATCCCAAAGAATTGCGAAGCCATGTGAGAGAATGTGGTGAAACGTAGAGACATTGATGCCCATGGTTGTGATAAATGCACGGTTGTTCTGTCCTGAGTAGAGTGCTAGCCAGGGAGTATTCAGACGTGGATTAGGAAGTAGGTCACTACAAATGAGATATCTTCTTCTTGCTTGCCGGCATTCAGAGCATTCAGAGCGTGATTGTTCAGCTCCGACAAATATAAGGATGCCAAGAGTTGCAACGAGTCTCTGTAATTCATCATCTTCATCATTGTCATCAGTCAGAGCGAGAGTTTTGTCAGCAATGTTATATGCCATGTTGAAAGAAGTAGATTTAGACTGTGTCTACGGTTCAGAATGAGTTTCTAGATATAAATTCTACCTTGCCAAACCTCTGAATTTTAAGGTTTAGAATGAGATCTAGAATTCCAAATCCTACAGGAAGTCATCCATTAGCCGTGTTAATAACAACATGTTAATAACATGGGTGCCGCCTGGGAGGGGTTAATAAAGTGCTAATAAGTCAAGTGACCCCTGTGAGGGTCCAGTCTTCGTGCCTTCCTGTTGATCATTGTTGATTGAACTGGAGAAGAAGAGATGCTCGACGAAGAATATACTTGGCTGGATGAAGCAGTCACATCTGTGCCGGCTCAAGTGCTCAAGATTCAGCCTTCAAGGTCGAGGCTGAAGTGGATATACACGCACCAATTGTGACAAGGATCTTGTCAGATGAACACGAGAGTGTGGCTGACCAGGCTCTAGAGAATGATGGCCATAGCAGTGATGGTTAGTGACCTGGAAGATGCGGATGTCGAGTGGACTGACTGGTAGAGAACTTAAAAAAAAATTTGAATTTCGAATTTTGGGTCACGTGATTGTTAATAATGTGTTAATAACTTGCTTGTTATTACAGTGTCTGCCACCAAGGGACGGCGACTCTCCCTAGGTTGCAATTTTGATCCATACATGCTCAGATTAAAATTTTGATAGGAAACATAGACAAATGGAGCATAAATCTAAATTTCCAAAATTTTGCCTGATTACGTAATTGTTCACTTTTGCCATCAAATGGCTTCACCATCGAGGTGCTTTGACAATGGGCTGATAGAAGATGTTTTGGAAGTCTTTCTGGACACAGACTATGTGCCTGTCTCAGATGCTGAAAGTGAAGTAGACTCTGTGTCCAACTTTTATGGAGCATTGTCATTCAGTCTCATATTAGACAGTGATATATATATATAACTTCATAGTTCTTTCTCAGTGTCTCAGGA